TGCGATTCGACCCTACCTCGACAAGTTCGCCATTTGTTACTTGGATGATATTCTCATCTATTCCAAAACCCTCGAGGAGCACAAGGAACACGTGAGGAAGGTACTAGATGCACTACACCAGCACAACCTTTCGGTCAACATGGAAAAAAGTGAATTCCATGTGAAGGAAACCGTGTTTCTTGGGTATCTGATTTCGGAGAACGAGGTCAGGATGGAACTAAGCAAGGTGGAAGCCGTACAGAACTGGCCTGTTCCCAGGAACGCGACCGATGTACGCGGATTCCTAGGATTCACCAACTTCTACCGCATGTTCATACGCGATTACGGAAAGATCGCCAGGCCGTTGTACGAGCTCACCAAGAAAGAGGCTGTCTTCACATGGGGAAGGGAAGAACAGGAGGCTTTCAAAGCCATCTGCGATGCAGTTACAGCAGATCCTGTGTTAAAGCTTCCTAACCCACGTAAGCAATTTGAAGTTGAGACCGATGCGTCAGATTACGCCATCGGAGGACAATTGGGACAACGCGACGACCAAGGGAAATTGCATCCTCTAGCGTTCTTAAAGAAACTAGAAGGACCCCGACGTAACTACCCAATTCACGACAAGGAACTTCTAGCTATTATCGAAGCATTCCAGGAGTGGATACCGTATCTCAGCGGTACTACAAAGGAAGTGCTAGTCTACACCGACCATAAGAACCTTAGGTACTTTACGACTACGAAAGTACTTAATGGACGGCAAACGCGATGGGCAGAATTCTTGTCGGAGTTCAACTTTCAAATCAACTACAAGAAAGGATCAGAGAATGCCCGAGCGGGCGCGTTGAGTCGCAGGGCAGACTATGTGAAAGATGCAGCAGAAGCCTCTGCACCTTTGTTTCAGGAACAGCCAGACGGAACGCTTACGCACCCTCTACGAGAATGGGTAGAATGTTGCGCCATCTACAGGGCTAAGAACCAAGCCCCCAGTCGACAGGCTACTATTGCCACGCCCGAAGACAGGCAGCGATGGGAGGACAGCCCGGACGAAGGAGTCACCCTTCAGAACGATAAGCTATGGTACCACGATAAGGCCTATGTATGGCCGGAGCAGCAAGAAGCTCTCATCCAGGATATCCACGCATCCAAAATTGGAGGACATATGGGTATCACGAAAACCATAGCACGGATACGGCAACACTACGGCTTTCCCAGGATGAAAGACGAAGTGGCTCGAACATTGCAGGCCTGCGAGCAATGCAGCAGAACCAGGGTTGCAAGACACAAACCATACGGATTTCTCAAACCTCTGGAAGTCGCAGAACGGCCGTGGAGCTCGGTAACGATGGACTTTATTACCAAGCTACCGCTATCTATCGACACTGCCACAGGAGTCACGTACGACAGCATCCTAGTGGTAGTGGATAGACTGACCAAATGGAGTTATTTCCTACCATATAAGGAAACATGGTCAGCAGAACGACTCGCAGACGTGATCTATAGGAACGTCACCTCGGTACATGGATGACCGAAGGAATGGATCACGGACAGACCAGGAACCTTAGGACAAAGCGACCCAGCAAGAAACTCGACGACTGACGAGTGGGACCTTTCAGGATCAAAAAGAAAATCTCGAACGTAGTATTTCAATTAGACATTCCTGACGCTATGAAGTTAAGATTACACTCATTCCACGTATCGCTGCTAGAACCAGCACCAAGAAACACTAGGATCAACACTAGTGTCAGCATCGAGGATGAAGGAGAAGAATGGGATGTGGAGCAAATCTTAGACTTAAAGATCGAGGAAGGAGAGCTGGAGTACCTTATCAAATGGGAAGGGTTCGGACCCGAAGACAACACATGGGAACCGGTCACGAATTTGAGTTGTCCTGAGAAGTTGGAGGAATTCCACCGGAGGAACCCGGACCGTCCAGGGGCGGAGGACTCTGCAACCAAGAAGCAGGCAAAGCCGACACGTCCACCGAGGACCAATCGAACTCAGGCACGAGGGAGGTAGGGTCCCCAGTGGGCTGCACTTCCACCTGAGATTGAACCTGCACCGTGGTGTGCTCCTCAGCACGTTCTTCGGCCTCCCACTCCTCCAACTCTGTCGCGGCAACTCGCGCTACGTCGCAGGCACGCACCGACAACTCCTCCTGACGACGCTAAACCTCAGCAAGACGAAGGATACGATCTTGCGCCGTTTGAAGGAACGGGAGAACTTGGTCTTGCACCTCTTTCAAGAGTTCGGCGTGCTCCCGCTTTAACTCCTCATTCTCTGCCGCCATACGAATCACTAATACGATTGACAAGAGGATCTCGAGACCGTCGGAGAAAACTTGCGTTCCGCGTCATAGTCAATCTCCTCACAAGGACGAGCGCTGTGGACACACTCGCCACACTTGTCGTACCCCAGAAGCTTCTTGTAAACAAGCTTGCGATCGGTACAGCGTTGACAAGGCATAACTAGAGAACCGAGCGAATCGATAGAAGCTGATAACGCTTGACGCCGAATGGACGACGTGGCTGATCGCTTAGAAATACGATTAGACATGACCCTGGCATGGAAGGAAAACGAGGAACTTACTGTATCGAAAAGGCGACGACGGGGCAACAAATGTTAAGGACAAAAACAGGAATGCCGGAAGAACCAACAAGCCGTCGAGGACGTCGGCTAGGGAGGGGAGGCATCGTGTTACGAACTTAAGTGACACAAAGGACGACCAGACCATTGGGACCTGGCTGCCCCATCTCGGACAAACAACACAGCCTATCAGGGACGACATGGGATCCAATGGCACATGCAGGCGTTCACAGGCGCAGTGGCTCACAGTGAGCCAACATTCATTAGATAGACCTATGGGGCTCAGCAGAGCATCCGGAAACAGATATCTCGCAGAGGGCGAGCAGGTATAAAGAGACTACGGGAGAACTCAGATTGTCAGATAGTTCGACAGTAGTCAATAGATCATTATCACCGAGACCAGTATTACGAACATACTTGTTGTGAACCCTTTGGCTTCACCGAACAGCACTGATAGTTATTACCTTCCGCTATCCTACTTAGGCAGATCAGACTGCCGTTCGTCACAATTCACGAGCATACTTGTTGTGAACCTTTTGGCTTCACCGAACGTCTACTGATAGTTCTACCTTCAGCTATCCCACTTAGGCAGATCAGACTGCCATTTGTCACAGTGGGATTCTTAACTAGTATGACAGGCTGGGGTGCATATGGCCAGACGGCCAAACCTCCAAAAGATAGGACGATTTTTCTGCGTTGCAAGGAAGAACTGGAATGCACTACTATATAGGCCAATGCCAACCTGTGACGACTACTAGGAACTGATCTATCTATTTAATGCCCAGTTCATTTTAATTTTTACTATATTTTAATATAAATGTAGCAAATTTAGCCACGTAATAACGGTTGCGAGTATAGCTAGCTTTTTCCTTATTTAATATCTATTCGCATACTGTGATGAACAGCAGTCTGATCTGCCTAAGTGGGATAGCTGAAGGTAGGTAACTATCAGTAGACGTTCGGTGAAGCCAAAAGGTTCACAAGAAGTATGGTAGCGTTATACTAGTTTCAGTGATAATGATCAATTGACTACTATCGAACTATTTGACAATCTGAGTTCTCCCGTAATCCTTTTATACCTTGCGTGTGTGTCCTTAACTCCCGTATTCCTGAGTGTCTGCTCACTCATGATGTTGGCTCACGGTGTGACCCCTCATAGTCCGTGAGCCCTGCTGGTTCTGCGTCCTACTGGCTCCTATGGTTACACTGTCCCGCTTCTGCGTGGCTGTCGTATCCTGGTGGCTTGGTTGACCCGTGTGACTCGCTGGAGTTCGTAACACATACGAAACTTTCCTATATTAGTAAGAATTACTTGATCGAGATTTTCAAATTGCGCTTAGAGGTAGTGCTTCGAAGGCGGCGGGATAAGGTGGACTGGGCGACCCTATAATGCTTGGCTGCAGCGCTTTGGGACAGGCTGTTGTAAATAGCTTCAAGTACTAGATCTATAAGGCAATCCTTTTCTGAATTTATAATGCCCATTTAAAGTACAGTCGACGTTGTTTTAGTAGAGTTGTGGTTGTTGAAAGAAAGAGGGTATAGTGGTTGATTGAGGGGAAACGCGATGTGGGACGCCATGCACTGTTACGTGGTATGCTTTTGTTGTTGTTGTTGTTATTTTTAACGTCTACTTCCGCCTCCCGTAGGGCATGAGACGTGCCGCACCGGTGAGTCTAGCATACAAAATTAAGAGCAATGCCCTAACTGTCCACCAAAACCATTAATCCGAGGGCAAACCGAGGCCTATTGCCAGTGTAAATCATGTGTTGCCCATAGCGTAAACGCGGCCCAACACTTATAATCGAATCGCCCAGTGGGCGAGCCGCCAGTATATGACGGGACCTGTAGAACAAAGGAAAAGGTGTTACGTGGTATGCGTTGTGGGGTCGTGACTGATATGGGAGAGCGGACGGGATCCCGAGTTTTCTACCATCTGTGGTCGTATGTGGTAGAAGTCAGCGCAAATTACGCTTATCAAGCTTTGAAAAGTAATGGGGGATGTGGGAAGGGTCAAGGTGTAAACAAGTTCGTACCTAGGTTACCATGACAACACAACAACACATTTGTCAACAGCTACACATCATGATTCCTATAGCAAATAGTCTCCGTATCTACTTTTGTCTCTATTCAGGTTCTGTAGGGCGTCGACTCTGTTGATCTAATACCATTACTACTGGTTCATGTAGGGCGGCATTTCAACCTTCTGCTCATCTCTCTGCAATCGACTGTCTGCTTGCTCTCATTACGCCTCTGGCTGCTGCTGCTGCTGCTTTCTGCCCTGGTTTTCACCAAATACAATATCGATGATCTCGTCTAGGAATGTGAATGCCAAATGCGCGCTAGGTAAAAGAACATGTTAGTCTCGTCAACTTCTTTCATCAACCTGAACAAATGCTGTGGGGAGTAAGAACTCACTTCAGCCGCTCGTTATTAAACGTCGCAAAAATCCTCCTGCTCGCCGCCTGCGCATTGAGCCGTCCCACGACACTCGCCGCCAAATCCGGCACCAGCGTAGCGAGCATTAGGCTCGCCTCCGTTTTCGTGCGTGCCTTCTCCTGCTGCGTTCGCGGCGTTTTGTTAGTTGGCAGCTCGCCGCCGGGCCACATGCCGTCTTTGACAAGATTAATGTATCGCAGCAGCGCGTCCTCGGCCACTAGCGATTTGACGTTGTCGCGCAGCTTGCGCTCGATCGTGCCCCCCAAAAGCTGGTGCAGCACCACGACGACGGCGCGGCCGCGCAGCCAGTTGTTACCGCGGTTGAGCTCAAAGACCTCGAGGAAAATGTCGCAGATGGGCTTGACGAAGGGCTCGAGCTCCTTGTCGTTGGTGAGCTCGAACGCGTTCAGCTCGGCTTCGGCCTCGGCGGCTGTGACTACGTCGTCGCCCCCGGCTCCGGCTGCGCTGGCGGCCGCCAGTTGTTGGTTGGTGGCTGCGGCTAGGAGATTCTGCCCAGCTAGCGAAAGTTGGTCGAGTACGGGGATGTTGCCGAGGATGTCCTCCATACCATCGGCGACCGAGTCGTAGAGGCGAGTCATCATGTCCTTTTTGCTGTCTTCTAGTGACGACGTTTGGCCCTGGGCTGTGGCGGGCGTGATGGCCCTTTGGGAGAGAAATGTTCGGAGTTCCCGGCTGTGGCAGACGTCGGGAAGGAGGAGAAGTTGGTTGAGATACTTCTCAAGTGCGACGCGACGCTTTTGCAAAAAGTCGTTTTGTAGCTTCATCACCATGCGCCGCCGAGGGAAGTCCAGGTTGCGGACAGACGGATATTGTGACCGTAGCTTTTGATGGAGCTCGAGGAACTCGCTGTAACGGCGGGTGACGGTCCATGTCGCCGCTGGCATCTTTTCTCCAGCATTCCGCAACACCTCAATGGCGTACATGGCAAACTCCTTACCATCCTCTTCTCGGCCGACGTGGATATTCTTAATCTTGATCGTGGAACGACCATAAAGACTGTTATCACTCTCCTGAATAACGTATTGTTGGCGTTGCAACTCCTTCCTTCTAATTTCTCTTTGTAAGCTTGCTTTCGACTTCCGAAGGATTCTTAGCTCGGCCGTGTTATTGGTCAGTTCAGCCTTCTTTAGCAGAGAGTCCACGACAGCCTCTTGAGCGACCAGGCGATCGATGTCATTGCTGAGAACGGTGATTGCCTCCGCCAGCCCAAGGTCTCCAGGTGCTGCCTCATGAACTTCATCCATCTCGTCATCCTCCTTGTTCCCGTCGGAGTATTCATGCTCATCCGACAGAAACCGGTTCTCGTCTGCAAACAGATCGTCGTCGATAAAGACGCCTATACGAGACGCAGCGCTCACAAGACCTAGGGATGCCAAACTGGGCTTCTCGGGCTCTTTCGCTGTCATCGGTCTCTGCATGTCAGCGGAACCCCTGCTGGGTCGTCCCAGATCCACGGAGCCATGATTGGAACGTGGCGTAGCAGACATTGCTCGTGTCGGTCCGGATCTTGGTGGTGATGTAAAGAGGCTTGAGCTGTTCACGTCGTCACCGAAAAGAGATGCACGCAGATCCTCTGCCGTTGGCGGCTGGCTGTCCTCCATAATATTATTTAGAGCCTGCTCCACCGCCTGAACGACACGGGTATCGGGAACCGGCGGCGCTGGCTCCTGATCAAGGCTTTGCACTGAATCGGCCAAGCCATCCTCGCCCAGATCATCGTCGTCAAACATGGACGTGGGTGCATCGTCTTCCATGGACCGACGAGTCCCCATAAGAACATCTATGCTTTGTGCTCCTGCTCGTAGGTCAAGAGATGACCCGGCGCCCCTGTTGCGGGCACCTGGAGGCAGACGAAGGGCCATGCGTAACTGAGGATTTGGCTTGGCAGTAAATGAGGATGCTCTGGCCATTGAAGGCCCGGCCAATGATGGCCCAGAAACATTTGGTGCCACCATGCTTTTTGATGCCTCCTCAGAAGCCAGCGCTTTGTAAAACAGGTCAGACTTTTTAAAGTTCCCCAAATGCTTCGCCTTCATTTCCTCGAGCACTGCGCTTTGAGCGCGCAGAACAGCCCTCCGTGCCTTGTAATATTGTTCAGGCGACGCTCTTCTTCCTGCCCTCAGAAACTCCTGAATAGTCCGCTTGGACGAGTCCGGCACTTTTAACTCAGGCCTAGAGAGATACGCGGCTTCAATTTGAGCGAGATCCAAACGGTCTGAGTCTGTCCAGGGTGGAAGCTGCAACGGAAGCTGTTCTCCTTCTGGTCCGTCATCCTCGAGCGGGTTACGGAATCCGTCCACAACAAGCCAGAACTGAACCAGGGGCATGAGGCGTTGCCTATCCATGTACTCCATAAAATAGGACAAACTGGAAGGATCACGCAGCACATCCGTCAGGGAAGCATTTTCCAGACGAGACACGGTTGGTGTTGGCAAAGCTGTGTTTTGTGGTGGGGGAGCCCGCCGATCTCCACCGGCTGCCAAGTGATGGACCTTCTGGTCGAGCAGTCTCTTTCCCATCTCGAGGCGACGCAAGTAAACCTGGTCGACATTCTCCTGCTGAGAATCCCGCTTGAGCTGAATAGCCACTTCGCTCCGGAACCGCCTCGCATCCGACAAGTTGTTTGTTTTCCGAATTGCACGGATGAACTTTTCGAACTTCCTCTCGTTGTCACCAGGAATCAGTCGAGGAAATGCTACCGGTTTGCTGACCCTGGGCGCTGGCGAAGCGTGCTGGTCCAAAGCCGCCCGAAGCTTACGGACCGTCGAGCGATCCTGAAGCATACTCCTCCCGTAATTCTCCATCAATTGATTCCAGGTATCAGGATCGGAAAGCATTTGCATGATGGGGAACATGACAGCGCAGGCGGTGATCTCGCGGACGATGGATGAAACTGCGCCGGAAGCCAACATGCTCTTGGGCAGGATCTTGGGCAGAATTCTCAACATGACCTTTCGCAGGTAGTCTTGCTGAGTGGTCTTGGTGTCCGAGAAGGACAGTGTGGCGGCGGGATGGAGCTTGCCATCTCTGTACCTGGAAGCAATCGCCAGGTCCAGTTCATCCGTCTCTGTAACCGATCGATTCAGCTTGCGCCCTCTAACCGACTTCTCGGCCTCGTACACATGGCGGAAATGTGCTGTCAGAATGGGCACCAAACGCGTGGTGAGGATGGTAGCGAGGTCCAGCTGGACAAGGCGGTCTCGCACTGTCAAGGTAGCGCCTCGTATTGCCTTGTCTACCTCATCGGTGAAGACGGGGTTTTTACTGATGCTCGAGTACCAGACTTGTATGAAATCGCGGATGATGTAGCCCAGAACCTCGTCGAGAGCTGCCGAGACCTTGGGCGACTCGGGGTAGAGCGATGCTTTGGTGGACGTCTGGCGTGCCCGGAGAGCGGCCACCTCCTTCGCCCAAACTCCCGGGGCAATGAAGGCGACGCCATGGGGCCGTGGTGATCGTTGGAGTCGGCGGTGATGTGGTCCACGAGAGGTAAGCATAAGCAAGGCGAGCAGGCCGACAAGAGTGACGAGGACGCCGGCGGCGAAGGCATAGTTAGCCCAGCGGATGGCAGGGAACCAATGGACGGCATATCCCCAGGAAATAAAAGCAGCAATTGCAGCAAGGGCTATGTCTCTCCCTCGAAGAGCCATTGCCATACTTTAGCGCAGACATTTGGCGCTTGTTGTCGCCGCATGGTTTTATCGCCAGCTCGATCTGGAAGTGGTTCGGTGTGAGGAGTGCGGTCCCGTCGCGGGTGATGGCAGGCGGGGGTTGGCCCATACTTGTTCGTGGGCTGTTTAGTAGAGCTCTACTGGACGCTAACAAACCAGCGAGTCCCATTGCCGCTGCCAAGCTAACCCGCGTTAGTGACGCCAAGTCGTGCGATGCCAGATGGCCAAGAAGGTTCTCCAGGGGTCCAGTCACGGTGGGCACCGTTACACCACCGTTGACCTTGCTGTATTGTATTTTACGCGTAAACTTTCGTAGTCCTAGGTCCATAATCCGAGTGGGGGTTAATTGGGGTCATTCGAAGACATGTTGCTTTACCACCACGATATCGTGAACAATGACACAACATACTCCAGCAAAGGGCACCATATAGGGGGTCACCGCGAGTTGGTTTGTCTCGTAGTAATCAAAGGAACGCGGGTATCATCGACATTTGCATTTTGTCCACATCGCTAGCCACCTTTTCTATGTCCCAGAGCACGCTCAAGCAGAAACCTCCTCCGGCCACTGAGGATCCTCCAGCCTCCTGAAAAGAGCAACATGCTTCTGCCCGTTATGCCTCGTCACCTTCTTTCCCTCCTCCGTCTCATTGCGCATAATCTCAACCAGCGGATCAGCCTCCTGCTCCTCTTCCGACACCCTTTCAAAGGCCGGATGTGTGTTGAAGTGTCCAACCATCCACTCATGCAGGTCAGGCACGTCGGTGATGGTGTAGATGATGCCGCCGGGGCGCAGCACATATGCGTACTCTGAGTTGAGCGTCGTGGAAACGATTCTCTGCTTGTGCTTGCGCGCCTTGAAGTGCGGGTCCGGGAAGCAGATGAAGATCTTGTTCAGTTGGCCCTTGGTGAAGAAGTTGGGCATGAACTTCATAGTGTTGGCGCGCAGTACGGCGATGTTGCGGTACAGCTTTTGCTCCTCGTTCTGCACGCGCAGAGCTTTGATCCTATCTTCCACAAATTGGGTTACCGACACACGGATCTCCAGGCCTGGGTTTACAAAGTCAGCATAAAATTCATGACATCAATGGTGCCAAACACTCTTACCTAAAACAAGAGTCTCGGGAAGTACGGGAGCCAGAGCTATGAGTAGACCACCGAAACCGCAGCCAATATCCGCTACCTCAACATTCTTGGTCAACTTCCTGATGGCAGGAGCCGACAGTTCTTGGCCCAAGGTCTCTTCAGACTCAGTTCTCTCTGTCTTTTGCTCAGTAGGCTCTTCAACTGCATAGTGAGGGTAGAGAGAAGCCCAGTCCATCTGCTCTGGCGTAGGGGGACTATGGGTACCGTTAGTTCAAGAACATGAAAACGGTACCTCGACATATGGAAGCCATCTCACTAGATCAAGGAGTGGTCAGAGAAGGGGTTGGCATGAGCCCTCTGACGGTAGAACTTCTTGCGCGGCAGCTCAGTGACTCCATTGGCGCGGAGAGCGGCACGGTAGTCCTCGCGCTTTTGACGCTTGTTCTTGGGCTCGGACATAATGATTGCTGAATTGAATAAGTTTTGTTGTTGGATAAAAGTGTGCTGGCCAGTTTCCGTGGGTTCAATAATGGCCCGTGGTGTGGTGTGGTGTGGTGCAGTCAATAAGTCGGTTGAGATGCAGCAAAAAAGTGAGACTGAGAGCGACTCCAAAATCGACTCTCAAAAGTTTCATCCCCGGGAACAAAGCAAATCTGGAAGCCAAGGTTCCCGTGTCGCTGCGAAAAAGCCCACAGGGGCGTTCCTGCAGTGAGAATGTGGGAAAGCAGGCACAGTGTTAAGTGAAAGATACATAATCCACCTTTCGTATCGTATCTTACGAACACCTGTAATGTAACTTACGGCCACCTCACACGATACAAACCGCTACGTACACCATGTACAACATCAACGTTACAAGGATGAAGCTCCCGAAGCTCCTGGAGTCGGACGGCGGCCCCGCTATCGGCAGCCGCATGGCGACATTTTTACCCAAGAAGGACCCCACGAGATTACGGTATCAGTCATCGGTTCTGGTTGAGTTGAGTCAGGGTCGTCAACTATTTCCATTCAACTGATTCTAGAGGTATCTTACTTGACCCTTTCATCCCTCTTTTATAAACTACGTAATTCAAGATTACATAGACACAATGGCCTCAGCTCGTCAAGTTAACATTGCCATCATCGGTAAGCACTTACACCAATGGCACCAATTGCGCCAAATCAAACCCAGACCCTCCAACCCTAGTGTCCCTCGCAATTAAGCTAACCTTGACCTCCCCCATCTTCCAGGCGCAGGCGGAGTAGGAAAGTGCTTCCTCTCCCAGCTCGAGTCGCTGGCCGCTCGCCGCCAGAACAAGCAGAAGCTGGTGCTCACCTACATCGCCACCAGCAAGAAGGCCGTCTACAGCGACTCGTACTCGCCCATTGCCCTCGACAGTGTCGTCTCGACACTCTCCTCGTCCTCGCAGGCTCCCCTCGCCCTCCCCAAGCTCGTCGACTACCTCGCCGCCTCGGGCACCAAGACCGTCCTCGTCGACAACACCAGCTCGCAGGACATCGCCGATGCGTACCCCAGCTTCCTCCGCCGCGGCATCAGCATCGTGACGCCCAACAAGAAGGCCTTCTCGGGCTCCTACAAGCTATGGCAGGACATCTTCGCCGCCAAGGAGGAGGGCGGTGCGCTGCTATACCATGAGGCCTCGTGCGGCGCCGGCCTGCCCGTCATCTCCACCATCAAGGACCTGGTCGAGACGGGCGATGAGGTGACCAAGATCGAGGGCGTCTTCAGCGGCACCATGTCGTTCCTGTTCAACTCGTTCGCTCCGACATCGGGCTCTGGCGGCGGCAAGTGGTCCGCCGAGGTGGCCAAGGCCAAGGAGCTCGGCTACACGGAGCCCGACCCGCGCGACGACCTCAACGGTCTCGACGTTGCGCGCAAGCTGACCATCCTGGCCCGCTACGCCGGCCTCGAGGTCGAGTCGCCCACTTCTTTCCCCGTGCAGAGCCTGATCCCCAAGGAGCTCGAGTCGGTTGCCAGCGGCGACGAGTTCCTCGCCCGCCTGCCCGAGTTCGACGCCCAGATGGAGGAGGTCAAAGGCCGAGGCCGCGAAGGAGGGCAAGGTTGTCCGCTTCGTCGGCAGCATCGACGTGGCCAGCAAGCAGGTCAAGGTCGGTCTCGAGAAGTTCGACCTCTCTCACCCCATTGCTTCGCTCAAGGGCAGTGACAACATCATTAGCTTCTACACTAAGCGGTATGGAAGCAACCCCCTCATTATCCAGGGCGCCGGCGCCGGAGGTGATGTTACCGCCATGGGTGTCACCAGCGATCTCCTCAAGGTGCTTGCTCAGCTATAAACCAGCGCTTATCCCCTAAAGCGTCTGCAATTGAATGATGAATAAAATAACGATATTTTGGCTCTCGTTCCGCTGTTCTGTGTGCCAGGCCGTTCTCTGATAGTACCCGTTAATCCCCCTTCCATGCCTGCGCCGATGTTCCATCCATCATGATCGCGATACCACTCCTTCATGTGTGACTTTGACATCTCCGCCATCACCCCCCTTCCTCAGCACAATCGGTGTAGAGCCATTCATCGCCAAGCCCGTCGTGGCCCCCTTCATCTCTGAGTCCTTGTAGTTCGACGACGAATTGTTCCTTATCGGTGATAGCGATCCTTTACCCGTCGGCAAACCAATGTGCGAAGGCGTCGCTGCAGGTGAACCACCATTCGGGCTAGCTGCGACGCTGCCTCCCGTCATGTACTCGATGTTTTCTCGCTGCGGGTTCCTGCCGATGACGAGGAGCCTCCACATCCAGAGGGTGAAGTCATACACGACCAGGGCAATGATGGGGAGGATCGGGGCCAGCGCCAGTGTTTTCTAAGTTTGTGGTTGAAAATTAGCATGTGATTCAATGACTTGCCTACGGTTTGAGGATCGGAAGGAAGGCGGGAGGAGAGGAAGCGAGACATACAAAAACTCCAGACACCACTTCCAGACCGTAGCTCCATTCTGGTGGGAGCAGGCTGGCGCCTGTGATCCAGCTGTACCAGCTCGCAAGGTCGGATTCAGACATTTTTGCTATTTTAAGATTGATGTTATGTCTCCGTGTGTTTTCGAATGTGAAGTGGCGGTTGGATGGCAGAAGCCTTTTGTTTCGTCTGGTCTATGTCCAGAGATCGTGCGTAGTGTATATAAGATTCGAACCAGCTGACTTCTGCTAAATGACTTGGTGGAAAGAAGGCAACCGACAAAGTGCTGTGTGCGCAGATGTCGAGGAAGGTGGCGTGCTGCTGTAAAAAGTTAAGTCCGTCCTGTCTCCTGTCCGTCGCCGTCACTGTCACCCTGTGCTGCAGCTGGGTTAGGTGACCAGTGCAATGTTAAAGACCTGGGTCGTGTCGGATGCGTCCTAAAGCCGAGGACGCGGACAGCAGCCGAGATTGGGGTAATGACACTTTTGATGGAGATCGTTTTGATGCAATGCTGGAAATGGTGCAGCTAAAGAGAATTCCCGAAAACGTTGGCAGCTGTACGATATATATAAAGAGGCTTTGGCTGGTATCGTTGCCGTTGTTGTTGTCGGGGCTGAAAAGCACGTCGGATTCAACAACGGAAGGACAAAGTGGTGTAAGTGTCCAGTCGGGTGGCTGCCTTGTCTAACGGTTCGGGTTGAATTTGAAGCTGGCTATATCGCGGCACGGCGCTTGGAGGACAAGATAGCAGAAACTCCGACCGGGAAGTCAAAGCAGTTGTGAGTGAGGTAAGAAGAGTTCAGTGAGAACAGTGATAAGTTCCTGTCGTTTGTGAGGTTCGGTGTTGCAGATCAGTGATGTCGCTTATCGAAAACAGCCAAGAAGGGAGCACTGGAAAGAGCAACGGAGGAGGAAGGGGAGGAGAGACTGAAATACTTGTTATTTTAGATAGCAAGTGCCGGGGATCAAGGTCGTACAGCAAAGAAAGGGAAGAACGTGGCCGCTGTGAAACATGAAAATAGATGAAGCTGTCAAGGAGGAGAAGGAAGGAGGGGTGTTGTGGTCATAAAAGGAGATCAAAAAGGAGATAAGGTGAAGTTGGGCTACAAGCTACCTCTAGGTAGGTACCGAGCAGGCACTCAGGCCCAAGGTTTAAAGGCATGGAAGTCCATGACTTGAAAAGGTGGGACACCACGGGGTACCTCTACGGCCCGTCGGGGAAACTTCTATGACGGCTTCTTAGAATGGAACTGAAGTGGAAGCACCAATTTGACTTTGGCATTCAGTTTCAGGGGCGGGCCACCACTGGCAGTTTGGCACCGCTCGGTCGGGTGGAGGGGAAGTGGTTCATCCAGAAAACAGCCATGACGCCCTTTCCCCTCCGCGTCACAGTCAGGCCCCTTTGGGTGCTGGTTTGTAGCAAATCGCCGCTGCTTTGACTGGAAGCCGGCCAGTCACAATGCGTGCTTGACAACTGCGTTGAAGGTTCGGTTGTGATGATGCCGGGGTGTTAACGATGACACCGATCTTATCGATAACGTATTTTACAATGGTGTGTATGGTATCTTTCACCGGCGTTACACAGTTTAAATTGAAAACGGTCTTGCTCCCGGTGCTTACATTGCGTACAACCCCAGGTTTCACCGGACAACGCGCTCCCCTAACAATTAAAGCTTCGATGCTGTGAGCTCCAATCTTCTCGGTAGCCTGGACCACGGCTCACAAACTTCGCCTTTCACAAATACACTGCAGTTCGAAACTTCATCACGTCCGCACGCAATTCCGCGGTACCAGAGCCCATAAACCTGAAGTCGCGGCTCAGAGGAAACGAGGTTTTATAGTGATTTTCATTTCGACAAATCGCTTGAACAATCATTCGCACGGGCAGCGTTGAAACTCACCCAACAAGGCTTCGTTCGGCTTTCAGATATCTTCACATCACAGCCAGAAACACAAATATTCGAAATAATGCCTCTACAAGATCCGAATCTCTATGGGCAGCCAGCACCCAAGAAACAAAAGAAAGAGTTGAATCTTCCTGCTTCTCTAACCTTCACGTCCCAACTTAGCTCACTCCTCGCCGCCTCCTCATCGTCATCAACATCATCACCTGCCGCCGCCACCACTGCAAGCACAACAACCACAACGGGCCGTGCACGTCCCTCTAAAGCCGGCAAAGACATCTTTTCGGGAGTGAAAAAGAAGACCAGGCCTGGCGCGAAGACTGTTAACGAGGACAGGGACAGCAAGCTGACACTCAAAGAGCCCGTGGGTACCGAAGATGAGAAAAGGGAGCTTGAACGCGCCCGTCGCAACATGGAGCACAAGGCCCGTCTTTATGCCGCCATGCAACGCGGAGATTACATCGGCAAGGAAATTGGCCTGGTTGACTTTGATCGGAAATGGGCAGAAGAGCAGGAGAAGAAGACAGGGCACACGGGCGAAGTATCATCCTCATCAGAGGACGAAGAATCCGAAGAGGAGAAGGAAGAACTAATAGAGTACACCGACGACTTTGGCCGCACCCGTCTCGTCACCCCAGCCCAAAAGGCCAAGCTGGAGCGCTCTCGCTCCTCCGCCGCCGAACTCGTACAAACGGCTGCCCGCCCTGCCGAACCTGAGCAGCTGATCGTAGGCGACATCATTCAGACGGAAGCTTTCGCCGCCACTGTAACCGCGGACCGGTTGGAGACTATCAATGAGTTAGCTGCCAAGCGCGACAGGAGCGCGACGCCGCCTCCGCCTACCCATTATGACGCGAACTGGGAGATTCGCACCAAGGGCGTGGGCTTCTTCCAGTTCAGCAAGGACGAGAAAAAGAGAGAGGAGGAAATGAGGGCGCTGGAGGAAGAACGTAAGAAGACGGAGGAGAAGAGAAAGGAGCGGGAGGAAATGCTGGAGAAGAGGAAGAGAGAGATTGAAGAGAGGAGAAAGGAGATCAAGGAGAGGAGAGCAAAGAAGATGGCGGATAACTTTCTGGAAGGTCTGGGCGAGGAGCTTCTGGGAGGAGGTGCTGTCGATGCGTCCAGAAGTGGCGCCGGCGGAAGAAAGAGGGAGAGGGAAGATGATACGGAGGAGAAGAAGTAAGACCGACCCGTGGAAAAGGCAGACACGTTTTCCTACGATAAGAGGCAATTGATACCCCCTATTTCGTATTGTTGCTGTATCGTGTAATTTTTACTAGATCTTCTGCGGTGAAGCCTCCCTAGTTTTTTTTACGTCTCATGCCCTACGGGAGGCGGAAGTAGACGTTAAAAATAACAACAAAACAAAGCCTCCCTAGTTTAGTCGCACGGTTGATGGCTGGACAAAAAGGCATCACCATCATTCAGAGAAGGTATGAATAAAGGGCAGAGAACCAACAGAACACATCACATACGACCATACCCACTGGAAAACTCGGGATCCCGTCCGCTCTCCCATAGATAAGCCAGTGAGGGCCAGACTAGTAGTTGGGTCGGTGACGACCAGCGAATCCTGGTGTTGTATGTCTCTTATTGTTTTCGCCCTTTTTGTCTCTTTCCTTCTGGGCTGTTCTACCTGTTTTATCTCGTCATCGCAGTCGTCACCCACCGTCTACCAAACTGCTGTAGGGGTATTTATTTTCAACCAGGCCGGCTATTCCCTCTCCTGGTTCTTCCTACGACATTCATTCAAGTCTGCTCATCATTGCAGAGCTCCCTGCTGTCCTTGCTATCGAGTCAGCCCCAAGTTGGATGTCTACCTGCTGCTGTCATCAAGCCTCTTTCTACCTCCCTTCCAATGTGTTCCGTCCTTCTGAACCAGACCTCTCACTGCCTCTGGGCAAGATGCGTACATCGGGGGAGTCATCCGCTCTCCATTTCCATTCTTGTGCCTCCAGCCTATTGGGTGCCGAGCTTGTGCTTCAAAGCTGTCGAGGGCTGGAAGCTGGACGCTGGACGTTGGACATTGGCCGGTTCATTGCCGACATTTTTGTATGACCGTTTGTCGCGGCGTCATCAACACACCTCTGCACTAACAGAAAGAGACAACCTTGGCTTGGTACTCTCGATGGGTCATAGCCCTAAGCCTCTTCGGGCAGTGCGTAATATTGACAGGTGAGAAAGAGGAACAAGTACTACCCTTTTGGTGAATATACTCTGTCGACCTACTCTCTGGATACTCGGCGAAGAGTCACTCGGTTTCTTTCACATATCTTAAAACCACCGGATCACGCATCACAACTTTCCATCTTTTTCATTTCGAGACCAAAAAAAACGGCAACAAAGCCTGGCGTGGCCGAGAGGGTCCTACGATACCCAAGGGCCTAGCAACAGCCTGGACTTCTGATCACTACAAGAAGGCGACCACCTTTCACCTCTTCACCTACCTGCCATGGGAGATTCGATCTCGGATATGAGAGCTGACCGTCCAGCCTCGCGAAATTGTGATCTGGAGCGAGGGTCAAAGTATCAGATCCGACGACCTGGTACCCAGACGCAATTTACGCAAGGTTGGCGATCCGTCCAACAACAACTTCTGCTGGATTGAAGTTTCCAACTTTCACTCATGTACTCCAACGCCTGCGTCTTTGTAGGCCTGTCGAGAAGCCCGGTACCACCTTACGGGACATGGACGCCAAAACCCAACCCATCCCATCACATCTACAGACAGGCCTTCCAGCAGACACAGCCGCGTACATTTGTATTTCGCCATCACGATGATTACATCGAAGATAAAGTGGAACGAGTACTGCCGCCTGAACTGTGGCTAGACCCCAAATTCCAGCTTGGGCTGGGTCTAGACAACGAACCGCGCTACATCTGGGTGAACTTCGACCTGGATATATGATCGACATCGGCGCAGATATATTCTAGCCCTACGAGCCATATCATCTGGAAATCAAGCGGTTGAAACTTGCGCGAGAAAACCGCACCTCTGATCTCTACAATGACCGTTAGAACGATGGAGACATTCGGTGGTTCGCCAATCTTGAAGAGGCCCACGTCGTCTGTCTAGAAAAATATGACCAGCCGACACCATGCTGGGAAGACACGCACAAGGATCTTGGTTTCTCCTGCGACATCAACAAGCTGTTTCTCATCGATCCCAAGGACGGGCGGAAGGTGACAGCAGCCGAGAATGATGTCGCGGTCAAGGCGGAACTATGGGCGTATTATAGGCGAGATGGGGCCTTCATCAACCCCGATACTTTGTAGCCCTTTCGTACCCTTTCTGCCAGAAGGCTGGTTCGAGGGTCAGGAAGATTGGGACGCGTATTATTGGATCGGCTATTACTATAACCGTAGCTCAATGGAGTGGTCTACGGCCACGAATTTGGGGTAAATACCTAAATCACCCGATTCTGCCATCCACATAAACACGGAAGTGTGTTTCCAACGGGTACTGAACTCGCATATACCGCTGTCTATCCAACATAGATATCCCCGGGATTGTATATTCCGCCGGTCTGGGCTTCGCCGTGCGATGTTTCGGTGATAATAGCTTATAATACCCCAAGCTAAATTCTGTATCTCCTTGCGCGTCCCAACTTGCGGGGTATTTGAGAAATGATGATGGAACTGTGTGTGGGTTCTACCTAGCTGTTTTTTTACGTAGAGATATTGCTCATGACCCATGAATTGCCGACCCTCACCCACGAAACTCAAAAGCCATTGAACATGCTGAGCACGATCGGGTTTCCGACTATGGTATTCTCCTCAGTAGACATAATGAAGGATGCTGCATATCATGCAAGTTAGAACGATGCCGTCAATATTGGAAGTTTGTGCAAGTTCTTTTGGTGGAGAGAAAGACTCACTCCCTCAGAGGAAAACAAACAGCGATCAGAACCACAGCCTTGGTAATACAGGTGAGCTACCGTAGACTACTCCTTTAACAGTGACGCCTAGTCCAAGTCAAGGTCTCGCTGGCGGCGACCATCCTGCTGAACTGTCTCTATTCCAGACAGAACCTTGGCATTGGCTTGTTCTTGTTTCAACTCCGACTCTCGCTCTCGCTCTCGCTCTTGCTCTCGCTGAAAGCTCTCCTCAACACTCTGGAGGTCTCGCAAATGCTGCTGCTTGCGCAGCTCGTCTGGATAGCAAGTTAGCGCCATCCAGTCAAACAAGGTCACGCGCTCCGACTCGGGCACCAGGAACGGTGGGGGTGAGTATGGTGGGAGATCTTTGAGCTTGCTGAGCGGACCTTGTGCGACAAGTTTTAGCGAGCGTGTGATGGCTTCGGTTAATTTCCTATGTAAAGGTTACAGTTAGTTACGGGTTATTGGCAAATATGGTCTGCAAGACCCTAGGGTACGCATGTAGAGGTAGGTATAAGTGAGGACTTACCCTAGCCTGCCGTATACAGCGTCGCCCGTAGACTCCAACTCTTCGGCAAGCTCGGCTTGATGGTTGTCCATTAGAGTTGGGTTCGGCACCACTACCAATGGTGTCTGAAGTCGGAGGACTTCCAGGATTGTGCCAGAACCTACAGGTAAAGTCACTTAGTTATTCCATTTTCTCATCAAAGAGATAACAAATGATAATATGAGAGAAGGGGCCTATCATTCTCACCAGCATGAGCAACCACCACACCCGGCAGTCTCACATCCCTTTCGCCCCGTGACCTGACATAATGCTGCGTCATGTCATCTGTAAAAGCAAAACTTTCTATCCTGACGGCGGAGCTAAAAGGTAAGGCTTTGACCTGCGCATCAAACCACTCCAAATCCTCGCCGCATTGGACTTTGAGAAGGTCGAAGTCGTTGGTGGCCAGGCAGTCGAGGAACTCGGGCTTGATGACTTCGGAAAGCAATGGGCGGAAGCCGGCGGTGGCGCCTACTGTGACGAAACATTGCCGGGCTTCCATTTTTGTGTTGTTGGCTTGTGGCTCAAGTGAAGTTGTCGTGTTGTTATCTCCAAGCTTTGGGCGTTTAGCTTCACTTTCTTCTCCTTCCCCTTCTCCTCTGTTCTCCTTGCCGGTTTTTTGACCCTCTCCTTCAGATTTAGTCCAATGGCCTGAGGAATTGACTGTTGTGAGTGCGCTGGAGCCACGTTTTTGGCCAGCTATCTGTTGAGGATCCGTTGTCTCTGTGTCAATGGTGTGTTTTGTTGTCGTCGAGTTGTCCATCTTGTCCGTGGTGGGTGGGTCAGTGAGGTGGTGTCTGGATAGTGTTGAACAAGGAGAGTGCCCCAGAGTAATATTGATTTGGTCTTTGAGAATGACGAATTAGAAATATATCTTTCCTAGATGATATATGCTTAAGGAAGGTGATGTTGGAGAGTGAAATGTTCATGCAGTTGATGCTGGATGTTGAGTTGAACAAGGGGTTGCGGTAAGGGGACCCGATTACGGTACTTCTGGCAGAGGTACTAAGAACTGGACCTTGCGCTTATAACTGGTGGGTCACTGCAGGGAAGGTACGTGTAGCGAGGTACTTATAGTTGGAGAAGCTGCAGGGACGTCAAGGCTGCTAAAGTGTGGCGGGGCAACTCATTTCAGCGCTGTCTGGCTGTGGCTTACGCTCCCCTCCGGACCCCTCCGGCCACGCTGCCCGCCCGCAGTTGAGGCTGAGCCCAAATTTTTTGGATAGCTCTGGGCACGATTGCGACTGAAAGTCCGGCTCCCGAGCGCCCGTGTCCCCCGTCCCGAGTTGTCGCCCGGTCGCCCTCCACTATCGAGCTCCGATCCCGATTCCCCCGCGCGCGCCAAATTCCCACACCACACCACGCAGCCTCACGGTCACCCCTCCTTCCGTCCGGACACACAACAACCCGACAACACCCCCCGGGATGGCTTCCTCCGCCAATGCGCTCCGGCTCGGTCTCCGGACATGCAGCCGCCAAACACAAACATCCAGTCTCCGGATCGCCGCCATCCAGCGCCGGGCCCTTTCCGCCACCGCGACACGATGTGAAGGTGTTCCCGTACTAAAGAAGGAAGACCCTCCCAAGCTCGAGTACACCCGCCCTTACAGCCCCGGCGAGTTCCTGAACGAAAGGCTGAACTCGGACGACCTTGAGGACTCGGAGCGCGAGGTCTACCAGCGCGCCCTTACCTCGTGGGAGCAGACGCCCGATGACCTCAAGAGGAGCTGGGGTACCATGGTCAGAGATATCGAGCAGGCGACGGCGCCGCTAAGGAGGGTGGTCATGCCCAAGAGGCAAACGTTCTGGTACGAGGAGGAGAAGGACATGGACCTCATCACCAACGAGGACGGCGAGGACGACTTCCACGAGAACGACATTATGAGTCTGGGCCACGGCAAGCTGGAGGAGCACCGCGAGTTCCGCGAGTACGCGCGCATCGCCGTCTGGGAGATGCCGCTGCTGTCCAAGTACGCCAAGCCGTTCGTGCCGCCGACGAGCGAGGAGGTCCTGCGCTTCCGCTACACCACCTACATGGGCGAGTTTCACCCCGCCGACAGGAAGGTCGTGGTTGAGTTCTGCCCCAAGGATCTCCGAGACCTCACCGAGGTCCAGCAGCGCAAGCTTATGAAGCTGGCCGGACCCCGGTACAACCCTGAGAAGGACATTATCAAGATGAGCTGCGAGAAGTTTGAGCACCAGGCCCAGAACAAGCGCTATCTCGGCGATCTGATTGAGAAGATGATTGTTGCTGCCAAGGTACGATTTTCTTTTTGTTCATCTGTTTTGCCATGCGACTCTTCTAAGAACCGTTGCTAACCGAACCCTTTTTTGCTTTCACTATAGGATCCCACAGACACCTTTGAGGACATCCCTCTCGATACCCGTCACCACACTTTCAGCAAGAAGATCACTTTCCCCAAGGAGTGGCTCCTCACGCAGGAGCGCAAAAAGGAGCTTGAAGCCGCCAGGCAGCAGGCCCTCTTGAAGGATGCCGAGAAGGTTGTCAAGGGCGCCTTGGTGGATGGCGCTGATATCCTTAAGCAGTACCTGGAATCTGGTGCTGCTGAGGCTATGCATGCCGTGCCTGTCACGGCGGGTCGCGGCGGCAAGGCCCTTCCCGGAGGCAAGGGTGGAAAGATGCAGCGCGGTAAGAGGTGAGGTGGAGAGCGACGATGAAGCAAGGGGCGGGCTTAAGTGTGTTGCTGAACCCAAGAAACAAACAAACGGAACGGAGAGGCGAAGCCAGGGAGGGCTGGGCTGGGAAAAGAAAAAGGCAACCAGTTTATATAACATGACTGTTGCTGGCTTCGCTCCCGCAAACCGAGCTTGCTTGTTTTAGCCAGCGAAGCTTCTGGGGTGGGAAGAGGAAGCTGGCTAGTGTATAAGAAATCTTAGTGTACACCATCTGTCTGTAATAACATGTGAAAGAAAGTCTGGCAGGTCCTGTCCCGGCGTGGAAAGAAAACTGAGCCATGCTTTAGTTGCAATTGTTGAGATTTCTTGTTGAAGGTCAAGCGGAACTGAAGACAATGTTCCAACACCCGTGTTACAAAGACGGTCTGACGCCCGTGCGAACAAACATCAGTATCGACTTGCCGAACCGAACCCTAATGCCAAACCATACCCAGTTTCCCCGTACTCTAAGACGATGGGATGGTCATCATTTTGTTTTCTTCGCGCCAACATGGTCGCGCTTAAACTTTATATCGGATAGCGGCAGATCTGTGGGCAATCTTGAATTAGGAAGCGCGCGGTTAAGGCCAAGACTTTGTGGCTGTTTGCCATTGGGTTTCGGCACAACCAACAACGCCAAAGAACTGAGGAACCTGGGACAAGCCACAACCACAGGGAGTGACAATTCCCTTGTTGAACAGAAGAATGTATCTCGTTACACCCAATGTTCGAGATTTATAGATGAACCCCTTTTGCTTTGTTTGTATCAGAGAGCTGACATGATAATTTCTGCGGCAATCATTCAACCTGGTATGAGAAGTAGATATTCCACTTGGAAGTTGAAGGTCTTAACAAAAGGACAGCGAACAGAACAGCATCAGATACCACTACAGAACGCGCCGCACGGGAGGAATCGAGGGAGCTTCCGTCCGTACAGGTGTGGCGTTTTCTCATCGTCGGCTCAACCCAATTTTTGTTTTGACATGTGTGTGTGCTCGAGCTGATTTCCTGTTTGAGAACTCGTCACTCCGCGTTTCAACTCTGTTCACGGTTCTGGGTGGCTACAGTACAGGCGTGAGTTCTTGGGTTGTACCCGGATTCGGTGCATCCTCAACTCAAGATGACTTGGTTGGAAGGTGACGCCGTTTCACAACTTCGGAGCTTATACGCAGGGGGGAAGCTCGAAAAGGTCTTGGGTGTCATGAGCCAATCACTAATATCTGCTTGAAGGAATTTGGTACCTGCACTAGCCAGGGCTCGATACAGGATATTGACTGCTTCCGGGCAGGTCAGAGCAGCTATTCTGTAACCCCATTAATGGCAACGTGCTTCCCCACAGCTGGATGGCCCGGCAGCTCCACCAATTGATGGCGTCGTTCCATGGGAATTCGACGATGCAGGGCTTTTTGGCAAGAACGGTTGGCTGGGGGCCACGGGTCGGTTGAGACCCAAGCCATTGGCGTCCACCTCGACGCCGCCTTGGCCTCACATTGGCCCCTTTCGCCTTGGTACCTGGCGTTCCTGGCGACTGACCCGGGCATTCCCCCGTCTCCAAGAACTGCAGAAATGAGACCCTTGCTTTGCTTGTCCATTCGCAGAATCTCATCTTCGGCCACTCTCTCTGCTCTGAGGCATCTCTCTTCCATTCCTTCTCACCAATCTCTGGCTCGGACTTGTGTGTCGTTTTCTGCTCTGGTCCGCCCTCCCCTGGCATTTCCTTTACCACGTTCCTTCAACAAATTCTTTTTCCAATCGTAGAAGGTCTTTTGGATTTGGATACGCGCGAAGGGATTTGCCTATTCTCTCATTTTATTTTCGTCTCTCTCTTGGACTCAAAGCCAGCGAGTCGCTTTACAATAGCAATCAACAACATCAGTCAAGTTAACCAACCAAGTCCTTCATTTGAGACTTTCATCCCGTCTCCCAATTGAACTGCTTCGACCACAATAGCACCCGGTCGACCACAACTTGCGACATCGCAAACACTCCAGCCCACTTTTGACCCGGCGATCAAACGTCAATCCGGCCGCGTCGGTCCACGGTCCCTTCTCCAGTCCTTTCCAGTCCCTCGAAACTCGACCTGTCGATCCGGCCTCTGCCACCCAAACAGTGTCCATCACTGCCCATCATCACCTTGCCAATCGCTGGCCCCATCCCGTCATCCTCGGCGCGCGCCCTCCGCAGTCTGCACCCCGCGAACGAGTCAACAAGTCAACGAATCAATCGCCGAACAAGACGGACCCTCGAATCACTTACTTGCTTGTTTGCTGCCCGCATGCTGGTGGCTGACTCTCCCGATTCCGATTCGGCAAACGCACGCAAATCCTCGGCGGCGCTTCCATCACCCTTCTGAATCTGCGGCAATGCGACTCCAGCCGGAATAGGGCTTGACGGTTCCTCCACACAGCAAAGGAAACGACCCACTCATTTACCCAACCAACTGCTTCTTCTTTGCTTACATCGATCATCCTGTATTCTTCTTTCCCTCACCAACTTCGTCGTCGTCGTTGACACCTCCATCGACGTCACGAAAACCTCGAGTGTCTTAACCCTTCACAGAGGTAGGGCACAGTCGATACCATCGCTGGACGAGGAACGACTTGTGCTGACGGCGGGTCCGGGAGCATTCCACTCATTACCTTCTACACTCTTTTGAGTTCATCTCAATTGGTCTCGACTGTGTCGATTGACCTTATTTTTTATTTATTTCTTCTTTCCTTGCCCATCTAGGATTCTTTTGGGCAGCTTTACTTGCTCCTCACCTTCTTGACAAGATGGGGTTTCTTGACTTATTCCGCCGAAAGGTGACTGTTCAACCGGAACAAAAATGGGACTTTATCGTGAGTCTCTCTCAGTCAAAACCCAATGGTCTTGTGCGCCCCACTAACCGGCATCTAGAGTCTCAATGACTTCAAGTCCACATCGATCTTTACCCCTCTAGCGTACGCCTACCTATGGGTTTCCATCTGTATCTCGTGCGCCGTCTACGTTGTCGACATTTTCACCATGGTTCAACTTTTGGCTTTCAAGCAGCAGTGGTCTTCCCAGGTTCAATCGGCCTCGATCATTCCCCCCGACGTATCAAAATGGATCTTCACCATTTGCATCATTCTTTCTGCTGTCAACCTCATATACGAGCATATTCGTGCCAACCGGGCTATGCGCACCGGAAGTGTCGCCGAGTCATTCCTTGATCACTTGGCCGCGAAACTCGAGAGTTTGCGCATTTTCGGCGGAAAAGGATGGAAGCGATTTCTGGTTTTCGCTGCCTTGACTGAGAGTAAAAAGGGCGTCGAGTATATTGCTCTGTTCTGCTACTTTAATTTCCAATGTAAGTCTCCATTACCACACTTCCCCCTCTGTTGCCTTTGGCCCAAGTTATACTCACCAACGTGCTTATCAGCATGGATCCGTGTTCTTCTATGTTCTGGACCTCGCCAGGTTGTGAACGCATTCAGTCTATACTCCTTCTTCACCAGTGAACTCAGGATAGACGGCCAGGACTTTGGAGACTCGGTAATGGATTTCTTCAGAAAGATCGAGGCTTTCGCCGAGAACGACTACCGCCAAGCTGCTACTCTATCCGGCATGTGCTTTACACTGGTCATCTGGATCTTTTCATTCCTGTCACTGCTGCTCTCCGCCGTCTTCTTCGTCTGCTTCCTGTGGTGTTACATCCCTCGGGCGGATGGCGGCTTGACTGGGTTCTGCGAGCGCAAGGTCAACAAGCGCTTGAAGCAAATTGTGTCGGCCAAGATCAACGCGGCAATGGCTGAGGAGGAAGAAAAGAGGAAGAAGGCGCAGATGAAAGCCGCCAAGAAGAAGGGCGAAGATAGGCCGATGACGATGAAGGCGACACTACCAAATGTTGGCGCTAGCATTGAAAGCAGAACCGAGAAGTTGCCCGAAATGCCATCGCTCAGCAGGCAAGATACCATGGCCACCCTTCCGGCCTGCACCTCCCGACCGTCTACCCCCGGAGGCTACGAGCTTGGTTCGATCGAAAAGCGACCGATGCCGCCATCCCGTGCAGGGACTTTTGCGACACAATTCTCTGGTACCTCCAGTACGTCACTCATCGGTGCAGCTGCCGAACCCGCTAGACAGCGCGCCAATGATGTTCCTACTGTTCCCAAGATCGATATGAACAATATCCCGCCGACAAGAACAGCAACCATGCTCTCGAAAAACAGCTATGGATTTGCGTCGCAGTCGAACTTCGAACCCCGTCCTCTTGCGAGGGCCGCCACTGGGCTTTCCAACTACGATACGGGATCGCCTCAGTCAGACTTTCAGCCTCGCTCTCTTGCTAGAACGGCCACTGGCCTATCCAACGTCAGTTCTGCGCCTTCGCAGCAACCGAGCTTTCAGCCTCGGCCACTCACCAGAGCTGCGACTGGCATGTCTAACATTGGTCCTGGGCCTCAGCCGCAGCTTCAGCCGAATCAGCCTCGTCCTCTTACTCGGGCTGCGACTGGGCTGTCTAACCCGAGCGCTGGATCCCAGTCCCAAGCGAACTATCAGCCCCCTAGGGCTGGAACAGTTCCACCTCAAAACAACTTTGGACCTGGCATGCAACAACCACCTCCTCCTAGGGTTGGAACAGTCCCTCCGAGGAACGATTTCGGACCTGCAATGCAACAGCCAAATTCTTCGTTCGGACGCGATTATACTGCTAGTCCTGCGCCTTACTCGAACCAGCCCGTCTTCCAGCCCCCTGCCAGGGCGCCGACTGCTCCTCCGATGAGCTATCCTAACAATAACTACAGGGGTGTCGAGCCGACACCGATCGGACATACGTATACTGGTAACCTCGGAAATCAGAATCAACACGACAACTTCTCGAGCGGTAGCCAAGTATCTCAAACCAACAATCCCTATGGTGGCCTCGGTGACCATATGTCGAATGGGTACGATCGTGATGGCTACGGTGGTGGTTATGGCCAGGATATTTATGGACAGGACAGCTACGGACAACCAGGATATGGGTATGATGCCACCGGCCATGACAACTACGGACACGACAGCTATGGGTATCCTACGCAGAACAACTCACAGATGCCACCAAGGCTGGGAAGTGCTCCACCGCCACAAACGCAACCCGGATACCAACCGTATATTCCCCAAAGGAACATGACTGCGCCGCCGGAGGGGCAACCACAATATCGCCATCAGCAGAACCCTAGTAAGAGTTCTCTGACTAGTGTGGCTGAACTACCAGCCGAATTACCGGTCAAAACCCCGAGTGAACAGCACCCCTCGGCCAGAGCAGGAAGTGTCACATCAGATTATCTCGAGTACATGATGGACGGCTCACCTAGCTCAAGGAAGACGGATGCTGCTCCCAAGCCGAGAAATGGGAGCGTAAGCAGCCAAGGTAGTGCTGCTGCTAACCAGGAAGCCAAGAGCAGTGGGGCGCACTCTAGGCAAGGAAGCGCTGATAGTGTTTCCAGGGCTGTTGACTCTGGCACTAAGAGCAGAAGCAGCAGCAGGAAGGGAAGCATAGCTTCTTCAGTCGGCAGCAGTGATCCTCACCAAAGGCAAGACAGTGTTGGCAGTGTTGCGTCCACTGCTTCTCGCCGGGATCTGGAGGACAACAGCACTACTGCTGCTCATGCCAGGCAAGCCAGCAGCGATAGAGTCGCCCCCACCCAGACTCCCGCCAGCCGCGAGGACTACTTTGCCAACAACACCCTCATCCGACAAGCAAGCAACGCTGCTGCTCCTTCCAGGGATTATCTCGGTAGCAGCAACGATAACGATGCCAGACCAGGGAGCAGCCAGAGCCGGGCCACTTCTCAGCAGCAGGATGACGACGAAGACGATTATTTCGGCATCAACCGTGCTCTCTCCCAACGCCAACAGAGAGGCGGTGCTTCTTCCGATCGCGAGGTCGACAACAGTGATGTTGAAGATTACTTCGGTCCCACCACCTTTGGCAACACCTTCATGCGGACCAACACAGCCCCCATTGCTCTAGACAGCAACAACAACAACGATAACTATGATGGTGTAAGGCCGATAGCAAGGACGGCTACTGCTCCTCCTTTCCTCCAGCAGGTGCAACAACAGCAGCAACCTCAGCAAAGGCAACAACAACAGCAGTACATGCTGCAGCACCGAGAGCAGGACGAGGAGGACTATTTCAGCCAACCGAGCTACCAATCGAGCTATCAACCGAGCTACAACAATTACAACAACAACGTTAATAACTACAACAACACCACCAATAATGCTATCAATAACAATGCCGGTAGAAATAACAACAACAATAACGGATGGAACGAGGATATTGAACGAGGGGACAACCTTATGAGGCAAATGCCCCGCGGCAATGGGGGCAACGGAGGAAACGGCGGATATGGAGGACAAGGACAATATGGAGGACAAGGAGGACAAGGAGGAGGAGGAGGAGGAGATTATGACTATGACGGCAGTGGTTACGGCGGTGGTAGCAGGTGGTAGTGTTACCTTGACCGGTCTAAGCTAGCCTACACCCAACCCAACTGTCTAAAGAGCCAGGCAATACTTCTTTAATAGTATGATGTCTTGGCGGTAGTCATCGATGAATAACTCATACCCACACACACACACACACACTTTGTTGCATACATCTTTCTTCTTTTCGGCCAAAACCGCCGACGTTGGTTTTAGTTTTATTTTTAACGATAGGCACGCAAAATACCCCCGTTTCGTTGTGTTCAACAAATACAATACAAGACAGTCTCAAACACCGATGATTGAACAAAATTCCAGGCGAATGGTGATGTGAAATGTAATTTACACAATTGAAAATACAAAACTACCGATACTGGCTTGACAATGTAGGCCATCCTATCCCACCCAGCTCCTTCCCTTCCCTTCTATGAATGATGAATAACAATGCTAAGTAATTTGTCCCATCCGCTTATCCTGACCATGGTGCTTAGGAAGAGTGACGACGCCTATTTCTCCACTTGCCTTGCGGGTTACTTATCATTACAATTACCCCTTTTCACGTCCAATGTGGCCCGGCCCTTCTTACACAACAGCAAGTTAGTTGTGGCCCGTTTATTTCCCATCCAAACAAGCCTGAATCTCCTTCTTATACTTCTCCTTCACCGCCCGCCTGTTGACTTTTTGCGTAGCCGTAACCAGACCCTGCCATCAAAATCCGTTAGCATAACCATCATCATCACATAATTCTCTATCTCCATCAGGGAAAGGAGGGGAGATGAGCACTCACATTAACAGGCGTCCACTCATCATCAACCAACACCACACCCGCCACCGTCTCCATCCCACTCAGTCCCGCGCCCCTCCCGACACTCTGCAACTCCTTGAGGACCGCATCCCTCAACTTCCTGCTCCTATGCATCTCAGGCGCCTCTGTGCTAACCCCCAACTCCTGCGCCTTCTCCGTCAACGCCTTCTCGTTAGGCACGACCACCGCAATTGGCCTGGGATTCCCGCTGTCACCGTGCACCATGATGTTGTGCACAAACACGGCACCCCGATACACAGCCTCTAGTTTCTCCAGAGCAATGTACTCACCGCCCTGGAGCTTGACGAGGTTCTTGACGCGGTCGATCACCCGTATATGGCCGTTCTCGTCGATCTCGCCAATGTCGCCGGTTTTGAACCAGCCGTCGGGCGTGATGGCCTTGGCTGTTTCTTCCGGATTTTCGTAGTACTCCTTGACGACGCAGGCGCCGCGGAAGAGGATTTCTCCTTGGGGAGGAGTAGTGTGGGTGTGGTAGTTGAGTTCGGGGATGGAGACGAGCTTCATTTCGACGGCGGCGGGGTGGCACCGATGGCGGTGGAGGTCCATTGCATGGGGGAGCCGAGGGCGCCATTGCCGCAGGTTTCCGTCAGGCCGTAGCCGTTCAGCATGGGCGCTACCACCATGGACATGAAGTGTTGCGTTGAGGCGGCGATGCCGCTGGCGCCGTTGACGATGAAGCGCAGGTCGCCGCCCGTCATGGTGCGGACCTGACCGAAGACGAGGTCGTCGAAGATGGTCTTACCCGGCAAGTTGTTGGAGACTAGGAAGGACTTGATGTTGTAGGCGCCCCAGAATAGGGCCTTGGTCAGGGCACCGGCGCTGTTGACCTTGGCCTCGACTCCCTTCTTGACGGTTTCCCACACCTGTGGCACGCCAACCATGACGGTGGGCTTGAAGGCGCGCATGTCGCCCGGGCAGTTGCGCATGCTGGTGTCGGAAAGGGTACGCGGGTTAGAGTACCCGAGGGTTCCGCCAACGAAGACAGCGAGGTTCTCGAGGACGAGCTCGAAGATGTGGGCGAGCGGGAGGTACGCGAGAACTCGGTCGCGGTGGGTAACGGATTCCTCCATGACGGCGAAGAGACCGGCTACGGCGGCGACAAAGCCGGCGTGGGTGACGGGAACACCCTTCGGCGGGCCGGTGCTGCCCGAGGTGTACATGATGCAGTAGGTATCCTCGGGACTAGGAGGTGTGAGTGGGACGGGGTTTTCTTCGCCGAGAGCGCGGAGCTCTTCGAAAGAGAGGACGGTGAGGTCCGGGTGTTCGGCCTTGAAGGCATTGATCTTGTCTTGAGATACGGGCTGCGTGGTATGGTTGTTGTAGATGACGATCTTGACGGATGTGGCCTTCTTGAGCGGGTTCGTGGCTGTCTTGAGGAGGTGAGGATCGGTGAACATGGCGCCCGCCTTGCTCTGGACAAGGGAGTGTTCGACGCCGCTCTCGCCGAGGGTGTCGTAGGCGGTAACGATGGTGAGGGACTGGGACGATGCAGCATGCGACATGCCGAGCCATTGGGGGCTGTAGTACACAGACAAAGTGCCGTTAGCAATGTCCAAACCTAAGAAGGGATGGATGATTGAAAGTACCTTGTGGTAGCAAAGAAGTGCAACCTGTCCATGGGTTCCAAGCCGAGCTTGCGAAGACCAGCGCCTATCTGCTTCACAATGGTAAAGTATTCGCCGTAGGTGATGTACGAGTACGGAGTAAGCTCAAAGTATTGCCATTCCTTGTCCAGCATGACGGTCTCGCCGTCAACGACCTTGGGAACCTTCTTGATGTCCTTGTGAAGCTTGATCAGGTTGCGGCTTCCTATGGCGCACTCATCACCGTAGAGCTCGACGGTTCTAGTGAGAAGGTCTAGGGTGGTGTTGACTCCGGGGGCAGGACGAGTGATGAGGCCATTCTTAGCCTTGGGGTGTCGGCGGGGGATGGTCTCGCCTGGAATGGGTTGGGCATTGGGATCCTCGACGGTAAAGGGAGGTTTCTGAACGAAGTGCAAAGGCACGTTTCCGGGGCCTGCGTTCGACATGGTCGTCAGGTTGTGAGAGGGTCTCTTGAAGTCGAGTAGTCCGGCCTAGAGAAGGTAGGTGCCGAGTGAGAATATTATAGAGCTAAGTCGGGTCTGGTTGGGCCGAGGCTTGTCGAAGTGTCAATTTGGCGGAACCGGGAGCCGCTCGAGGACTGTCGTTTGGTTGAGTTTTGGGTAGCGTTGGTTGTCAGGCGTGTAAGATTCGGGTTTGGTGACGCAGTCAGACACGGAGTTGGACGGCTTTGTTGGGGATGAATTAAAAGCTGCGATTGTAAATGGTATTGATTGCTTCGAATTAGGATAAGGTGGTGTGTAAGAAGGGAGTGCTTCGGCTGGCGTGGATGGTCAGACTTCGTGTCTTTGTATAACAACGGAGAGAACGGGAAGAGAAGGTAGAAGTTGACCGGAGTTTCACAATAACTTGAATTACGGAGTGGAGAGGACGTTGAGTGGGCACTGCCAGTCCCGCCCGTCAGGGTCTTGTTGTTAACGAAGAGGAAATGGGTAAAGGTTGTACAGATGACCTCAATGACAGCAAAAGTTGTGGAACATGCCGAGATTCAAGGCAACAATGGCATTTACTGTAGGTACTCCGTATCACCGTCTCTCATCATGTTGTAGTGGAAATGGAATTCCGAGATTCCCAGCGGTCGATCATAGTGTACAAGATTGTCGAGTCTCACTTTCTGGCCCTTGACCTCGTCACCTTCCACTTTATGCCCCGCGGCGACGTGTGACGTCGCTTTTGCATGCAAGAGCTCCCTCAGAGGCTCCGGGGCTTCCAGTGGGGCTCCACAGCGGACAATGCGGACGGGATTGTCACGAGCTTGAAATTGTCAACGGGGTACCGCTAAAACGGGGCTTTCAACGGCTTGGCACTAACAGACCAACAGGGGTCCTATAACTTTAAATTCGTTCAAAGACCCAACGCTTCTTGTTCCATTCCGAGCTGCCGAGGCATCTTCAACTTAGAACATCCACTTTGACTTCTTTCATTCCTTCTTAAAAGAGAGACGACGAGCGCAAAGCGGAGGCATCTGGTGCTTCAAAATTCCGTGTTGAGGACCGACGGAGCATATCTGAATGGAACACGGCGTGCTAGGTAAAGAGAAGTTATTTGGACATATCGGATGAAAGCTCGGACTCTTTGGGCTCCTATTCAACTAAATCACATCGATTTGTTTGCTCTTCATATTTTCAAGAACACTGTCGCCGCTTTTTGTTGAGAGTTCTCAGACTGATCAGCACCATTCACCAGCTATCCGGATTGCAAGACGATCCTCTGCCTAGAACACAACCACCTTTGACCTCCAATTGGACATCTCTTTGATGTCGTTAACATCCTGCCCTACACGTACACCGTTAACGTCAGCTTCACACCTCCAAATGCGGCTCGTTGCAACCCTCCTCGTTTCGTGGCTTGCTTACGGAAGTGGCTTTAATTCGGTTAACGTTGCCCAGCCTGGACTAACTCAGCAACAGACAATCCATGAATTATGGTCCGCTTGTTGATTGGATAGACAAGCAATAGACACAGCCTACTGCTTGTGACTAACTTCATCATCTACGGCGCAATATGACTGCCTTCACACCGTCACGAGACCATGGCTTACTTTATTCCAACAACAACGTCTTCAGTTTTGTTGATGGTTGCTTGACTGCTTTTGTTGAGAATCACTACGTACCTTTAGGCGTTCTCACTCGAAAGACACCGCATGATGGACTTTGGAAACACCACACCAGAAGGATTCATACCCCCTGAGGATACACTTAGCTTCGATACCCTTGAGAATCAGTTTCTCACACCACCATCTTCCGGTCTCTATTTGCACAATAATGAGTATACACAAACTCCGGCCTCCATGACCGGTTCTAGTTTCGGTACCGGTTTCGGGACGAGTTCGGATACTACCGTTTCAAGAACTGTCACCACTCGACGCAACAAACCCGTCCCACGAAAGGGCCACATCAAATCCCGACGTGGTTGCTACACCTGCAAACGCCGGAAAGTGAAGTGTTCCGAGAAACTGCCCGAGTGCGACAACTGCACCCGTATAGGCCTTGTTTGCGAATATCCCGAGCCGCCCAACCCTTCTGCTCTATCACGTTTAGTCACTAGATCGGGACCAGGAGGACCTCGAGCTTCTCGACGAGATGATCCTCCAACAGCAGCAGCAATGGTGCTATCAACAGCTCCCTCTCCTACAACTTCCCCTTCGTTGACCCCTACGTTCACCATGGAAAACCTCCGTTTCTTCCACCACTTCCTAGTCGCCGCTTACCCGCCTCTCCCCGTGCAAGCGGACAGTGTCTGGAATAACGTGGCGGCTTTATCCCATGGTGTAAGCTTGTTTCCTGAATCTCATTGTACGCTCAGTCTAACATCCGTCAATGTCACATTACTCATATCTAACCCACGCCATGCTCGGTCTAGCCGCCTCTCACCTCTCCCTCCTCTCCACCAACGAGTCCTCCTCGTCCTCTCTCTTCTCCTCCCCACCCAACTCCTCTCAAGCCGCCCTCTCCCACCGAATCAAATCCATCTCCCTCCTCAACGCATCCCTAAGCACCCCCTGCTCCTCGCCAGCCTAAGGCGACGCCCGCTTTGCTTCCATCTTGATTCTCGCCTTCCAGGCGTCTTGTTTACCAGACGGCATGACCGAGTTCTTGTCCATGATCAGGCTATGCAGCGTCATCGCTGATGCGGGCGAGAATTCAAATTTCCAGGATTTGGCGAAACAGGGGTATTCGGATAGCATGAAGAAGATGACGGCCAAGACAAAGGCGGAGGTGGAGAGGAAGGGGTTTGTGTTGAAGCCGGAACAGGAGAGGTTGGTTGAGGGGTTTTTGGAGAGTTTGGGGAGGCTTAGGGTGGGTAGGACTGTTGTGATGGAGGGAGAAGAGAAGGAGGACTTGCAGATGAGGATATTAGAGGGATTGCAAGGTGCTGCAAGGAAGGGTAGGGTTTCGCCGGCTCAAGGTTAGGGGTTTTTTTTTTTCTTCTTTTTTTTTTTCTCAGTTCTTGCCACAGTTCTTGCCATCATCCTCCTTTGCTCCCTTCTCTTTTTCTTCTCATGCGGCTTTCAACCGAGCTGTGAAACTGACAGACTGAATATCGTGCAGCCTTCCAAGAACTAACAAACCTTTACTCGCTCATAATCAACGCAGCAAACGCCGATTTGCCTCTCACACTGACCTTGCAAATTACCGGGCCCAGATCCTTCTCCTGCACTTCTTTCTCATGGAATTTGCTCTAGGCGATCTAAGTCTGGGCACCTTCCGGTCGCGCTTCATCTTTCGTCGAAAGGTCTGCTTCGCCTGGCTGAACGAGGTCGCTAGGCGGATACCGAAAACAGCTGAGTATGCCGAGCTGATAGAGTGGCCGTTGGAGTTTGGGCGGACAGTGTTCGCCCGGAGGGAGCCGACATGATGGGAAAGAGTGGGTGGTCAAATGAACATTGTCCGTGTCAAATACAAATATACTGAATGAATGGTAAATTCCATACCCCTGGCAGTCTAATTTGCATGACTCTTTGGAGCGGCTATGGCTGTTGGTCGTTGACAAAGGTCACGGATGCATAGCGAATGTGTAATGGAAGAAATGCATGCAATGTAGCGAAGTGTATAGCGGTAATAAATTGCAAGACTCGCTGTACCAAAGCGTATCTAAGGGCGAAACAGCGCTTAATCTTCTAGATCGGACGAAATGCTGACAACCGCGTTCATGAAGCTCATGTTAAACAACCATTCGGGTCACCACCAAGAAACCAAATAACACACCAAGAATTCACCTTTACCAAAAACTCACAACTTAGCCCCCTCCTTTCCTGCTGACTTCTTGTTCCTCCCCGGCGGCGGCCCCATCAACTCCAGAAACTCCTTGCTAAGCACCCTCTTCTCCGTCCCCTCCCTTCCCTTCCACACCTTCCTGAACTCCTCATCCTCCTTCCTCCACACCTTCTCCAAGTCCTTCGCAATAAACTCGGCCGCCTCCTCAGCGCACCGAGTCGTCGCCTCCATCGGCACCAAATGCCCGAACCCTTCTACTGTCCGCACCTCCACCCTGCCCGCCTTCGCTCCACCACTGCCGTTCCATCCTGTACCCGTAAGCTCCAGCTTCTCCTCGCGCGTCTCGGGAGGGCAGACATCGGACTTGGACCCAAACACCCACAACACGCCGGGGCGTAGGTGCGGCAAGAAGTTGGTAGTCATGGTGCCCTCGGCGCGATAGAACGGGAATTGCGGGTCAACAGCCTCATTCTCGGGCAGGTCCGGCGTCGGCAGATCCTGGTCCGCTGCCCCGATCTGCTTCTTGGGGCGGTAGTAAGTGAAGCATTCCATGTGTTTTGTCGTCGTGAGTGTAACTTCTTCAGACGATGAAGAAACCGGGCGCAACCCATGTTCAATCATCACGTCTAAACACCGCTTATCCCAGGTCTGGTAAAACTTGTTCTTTTTGAATCCCTCCGCCGCCACTTTGCGCGATGGCCACACGTCCCGCCTGTAGGCTGACTGCTTCATAGGCATGAAGCCGTAGGTGGGACCGCGCTTGGTGAATTTGGAGATGACTGGATCCAAAAGGACGAGGGAGGAAAACAGGCGAGGGTGCAGGAGGGAGAGGGTGACGATGGTGTTGCCGCCGAAGGAGTGGCCGACTCCGACAAGCGGGCGAGGCATCTCCCGCCGCAAAGCGTTGACGACGCACAACAGGTCGCGCGCGTGGTCGTACCAGGATGGGTCGTTGCCGAGAGAGGATTCGTTGATCAGACCGGACTGGCCTTGCCAGGCGGCGTCGGCGATGAAGATGGAGCGGATTTTGATGCCGCGGGTGGAGAGGGCGAGGACCAGGTCTTCCCAGAGGGGCTCGTAGAGTTCCTATGAAGGGGGTGTTAGTGTCTCATAAACATAAGTGTTGGTGAGATTAACTGACCTTGACGAAGCCATTGGCGTGAGCGCCGATAATGGTCAGGTCGCCTGGTTGAGGATTCGGGTTGCTCTTGGGAATGTATTGCTTTACAGAGAGATATAGGATCTCTTCTTGGGAGTTGGCGGTGGCATGGGCATAGTCACGGATGTGTTGACCCTCGACTTTGTGCTCCTTGATGATGAAGGAGGATGCCATTGTGGCGGTGGCTGAAGACAAGAGTGTCGTTTCTTCCTACTGCTTGTCGTTGTTGTAGCTCTGATGTTTGTGTATAAGTTGCTACGAGACAGTCGTCTTGTGGCACCTCAAGTGGTCCCTTATGTTGTGTGCTTTGAGCGTGTGTAAGGTATCGAGGGTGTCAATCGGATGAGTAAACAAACAACCTTGGGCAGGACTCCGAAGCTGACGAGTCAGGCTGAGGAAATTCGGGGTATCACGATCAAATGGGGTTCACAAAGAGATCAAAATAAGGAAGTGTTGACCAAAATCCGGGGATGTCGATCGTGGGGTTTAGGTTAATTACTGAGCCCCGCCGACTGGTACGGGACGAACTGCCGAGGCATAAGCCATTCGTCGTGGCGCCGGCTATTGTGGTAGCGACTAGCCCCGGAAATCGACCCCCGGATCCCGTTTCGTGACACTGGACCGTATCTCAACAACAACCCATGTTTGCAAACATTTGATGATCGAGAATTATACTCATCTCGAGTCGGATGAGGGCAATGTTCCGTAAGTTTTGCTCACCGGCACCCCTTGTTGATGAGACAAGTTCCCCTAAATCCCAACGGTGATCGGCAACTCCAACACTTATTGTGGTTGGCGTGTAAGTCGGCTGTTGGGTACGTACCAAGTGCGGCTGTAAGATAGTAGCTCACATCGATAATGACTAGTATGAAGCCATTAGAACATGGGAAGTTAGTCAAATATCTTGAAATCTTCCAGACGCTTTCTGAAAGTATCCTGAAGCTAAGTGAGGCAGCCGTTCGGTGTTTTATGGCAAGATGTGACTTGTGTGAATCCCGATTCCCAAGCATTCACAAAGCGAGGGGATGAAAGTTAATTACCTATGTAGGGGAAAGTAGTCCCACGGTCATGTGATACAGCGTGCCTGGTTCGCGTCATGGCCCCACCCTGGCTTTTTCCGATCGCGTCGCCTGCAGTGGCTCCCAATTTGCCAGTGGCAGACAAACAAATGAGAACGTTCTCCCAATCAACAACCACACTGGTCGCATTGCCAATTTGCATATGCCTGTCGCTTTTCACAACCCATCACCCTCACTTCTGCCCACCACTAGCCCATGGAAATCGATTAGAATCGACTCAACACTCGGAGCTTCGACGCTTCTTGTATAACCTGTAATTAATCCACTGAAACCGCGTTTACATCAAAAAAATGGCCGGAGAAAACGGGAAGCCGGGTCTGCTGGACAGCTGCTTCATCTACTTTGTACAAAGCAAGTCACTGTCGGCGAGTCTGATATCAGAAGTATGTCTTCTTTCCACTCTACCTGAAGCGAGGTTGCGGATCACCCTAACACCTCAGTAATCTGTAGCTGTCCAAGGCTGTACAAAAGCATGGTGCCGAAGTCCTCGAGCCAACGAAAGACGGCAAAATCCCGTTAGAACACGCGACCCATATTGTCGCGAACACGATTGACTTCGAGCAGTATCACGATGCCCTCCAATACATGATCCCCGTCGTCAACACCAACTGGATCAAAATGACGCTAGCACGGAACAAGGTCGCCCAAGTGAGGCCGTACTCCCCCGATCCTAGAATGATCTTCTCCAACGTTATCCTCACATGCGCCGACATCCCCGAGTTCGACAAGGAGACAATTATTGGTGCGACCATGGCGCTTGGTGGTATGGAATCAAAGGACTTGACGCGTCAAACCACCCATATTTGCGCCTTGTCCATGGACCACGAAAAGTGCCAGGAGGCTCTGAAGAAGAACCCCAAGTGCAAGATCGTTCTTCCGCACTGGTTCGACGACTGCTTTAGGCTAGGGAGGCGAATCAGCGAAGCGCCATACACGCTACCCGACCCCGAGATCCTGCGCACAGGGCCCGACGAAGAGATCAAAATCCCAACGAGTGACGCCCTGGAAGGTGCCACGTCCGTTATACCTAGTGCTGTGATGCCGGGCAAGGAGAGGGAAAAGGTTGTCGTCTTCTCACAGAAGAAGGTCATGATATCTCAAGATCTCCCCATCAACCAGCGACTGCGAAATATCTTGACCACTCTAATCGAGCAAAGTGACGGCGAGGTGGTGCAGGATGTTGATGCCTGCGATATGTATGTGTGCCAGTATCGCGACGGCGACGACTATGTTCAAGCGTCGCAGCAAGGGAAGGACGTCGGTAACCTTGCCTGGCTTTACTACCTCATCGTACACAATGAATGGACGAGGCCTACACGACGACTTCTGCACTACCCGGTACCACGAGAGGGTATTCCCGGCTTCAGGGATATGAAGATCACACTATCAAACTACGGAGGTGATGCTCGAGTATACCTCGAAAATCTCATCACCGCGGCGGGCGCAACATATACCAAGACCATGAAGGCTGACAACACCCATCTGATCACGGCTCGGATGAACGGCGAGAAGTGTGAGGCAGCCAAGGAATGGAACATTGAGATTGTCAACCATCTCTGGATCGAAGACAGCTACGCCAAGTGCGAAGTTCAAAGCTTTTCTAACCCCAGGTACCAACACTTCCCGCCTAGGACCAATCTGGGCGAAATCATTGGCAGCACCTTTTTCGACGAACAGAGGCTGCGCGATGAGTACTTCCCCGGTGGTGACCAATTTATCAGCACAACAGCCAAGAGAAAGCGCAAAGCGAACGACGCTGCAAACAAGAATGTGTATGCTGCCAACTTGGCAGAGACCGATGCCGGCATTGCTGGCGAATCGAGTCCACTCGGTGGAAAGGCAGCCGGCAGGCCACCACGAGGGAGACAGAATAAGCAAAATATTCAAACGCCAGCAAAGACTGCCCGGACTACACGTGAAAAGGAAAACGATACGCCATCGGTCATGTCCAGCGGTAGCCGTAGCGCCAAGGACAAGGCATTGTCTAAGCTACACCAGCTGGCACCAGATATTGCCTTGTATGAGAAAGAAAAGAAGCGCACAGGGAAGGACGGCCCATGGGGCGGCAAGCGGGCCGCAGACCAGATCGACCGGGGGCGGAGCGTCAAGGAGTCAAGTCCAGCAGAAGGAGAAGACGAGGAGGACGAGACAGCACAGAAGCGTCCGGCCAAGAAGGCTAGAGTGTCGTCAGGTCCAGTGGAGATGCGCATCTGCTTGACGGGCTACAAAAGATGGGTAAACGACAAGATTCGAGAGGAGGCAGACAGGGTGAGTCTCATATTTTTCCTAACATATGCACAACATCAGCTAACTTTTGACAATCACCAGCGAAAACTGCGCGCCATGGGCATACAAATCGTCCAAGACAACGTTCCCTGCGACTACCTCGCCGCGCCGCGTATGGTTAGAACTATGAAGTTTCTCCGTTGTCTGGCTCGCGGCCCCGAGGTGATCTCGTCCGACTTCGTGACCGCCTGCATCGAAGCCAACAAGGTTCTCCCTATCAAGGACTACCTGCTCGTCGACAAGGAAAACGAAGAGCGGTTCGGCGTCACCCTTGAGACGGCCATCTCGCGCGCCCGCGCCAACCGCAGCCGTCTGCTCTGGGGTGTGCCCATCTTTTGCACGGCCGAGATCAAGAACGGGATGCAGAGCTACCAGACCATCGCCGAGGCCAACGGGGCCATCTTTAAGGTCTTCCGTGGCCGTGGGGGCTCGGCAATCAAGCCTACCACCCCCGAGGAGGACGGAGGGCGCCGCCTGAGCCGGTTTACTTGTTGACGTCTCCCAGCGGGCCTGAGAAGGCCCTGTGGCCCAAGTTTGAGGAGATGGCGAAGAAGGGGAACATGGAGCCCAGGATTGTCGTGTCGGATTGGTTGCTGGATGTGGCGATGAAGCAGGAGTTGACGTTTGATCCGAGGTACTTGGCTGTTAGGTACTTTGCTGAGAATCCGTCGTGTTGAGGGTCATTACTAGGAAAGGATAGGGAGGGTGGATGTGGGCAATTAATGTGATCGTTTACCAAATTTTTGTTGTTCTCGGGTAGAATTATGGCATGGATGGCGGGTTCAAGTACCATACGTATGTTTTTTATTTTATTTTTGTTTTTTTTTGTTTTTTTTTTGGGCAGCAGGTCGGACTGGGTCGTACTGTTGTAGGTTTGTAAATTGTTTCACCAGCGCGGGCAAGTTTAATGGAGGAACCCATCCATCGTAGCATGGTATATCATATCATTCTTTGCAGTCTGAAGTGGTGAACAGCGTGGTCAAAAGCGCAATCTAAGCTCCTACATTAGTTTAATCATACTCCACGACCATAGCGAATCGTCTACAATACCTGCCACTATAGTCACTGTCTCGTCCTTTGTGACGCTCATTCATATCCACGTTGGAGGGAACCCATGTTGACTCACGATACACTATCAAATCTCAGCAAGGCTCCCAGCTAAGTTTGTTAGCTCTAACATGGACTCCATACGTACTCATCGAACTATGTTACTATTTATGTAACGCGGTCTTTCTATAGCCGCTGCGGAATATTGTTCACGCCGAGCGTTGTAGCCAAGGCGGAGCAGAGCGCAATAATTGAGAGATTTCTTCTCTGATTTTCCGCCTCGTTTGCGTTTTGTCACACTGTAAAGGAAGGAAAAGGAAGTCGTACACATGGGTCGACCGATAACCGGCGATGTTCCCGGGGCCTGGGAAGCGCCGACCGACCGAGCATGTGAAGAATTCATGATGTAGACTGATAGCGACAGACTCCGAATGACACCCTGGAATTTTCCGTGCTATGATGAATAAGTGAAATGCTTTGAGGATTGGCACTAGGAGATGAACGCTAGGTATGAACAAAGATATGAACGCTTATAGCGGAAGGTAATGCTAGTAATCGAAACCCCCCCCCCCCCCCCCCCAAAAAATACCCCGGATGGGTGCCTAGAAATTGCTTAGACATCCCTTCCTCCCAGGGCATCGCTCGTTCACCTACCTCGCCCCGTTCGCTACCTTCGCTCGTAGATGTTCGCTCGCAAGTTCGCTCGGGGATAGTTATATTTCGCTATGTTAAGATAGCAACGCTAGATGTTTCGCTAGGAAATACGCTGAGGTGAGCTCACCATGGGAGAGTGCCTAGGACTTGCCCAGACAGCCCTCCCATAGCGTCGAAAATCGAGCATGGTTCGAACGATTCATCCGATGTCCTCAGAGGCCGGTAACGCTAGATGGCAAAACCCGAAATGCTCCCTGGCAAGACCCCCCCCCCCCCCACTTTTTCTGGTTGTGCACCTATCTGTGTAAGCCGCGCAAAAGCTTTCAAGGCGCATCAGCAATCTTCGTCATTTGCTGTCACCGTATTCATTGCCGTAAAATTAATCAATTGGAAGTTATTGATATTGGTCTCGTCGTGGCCCCTTTCGCTATTTTTATAGGGCTTTCCGGTTGTTGCCCGTGAAGCCCAATTGGAGGGACGGTTTCTGGGGAAGCGAAGGGTGTTCCCGAAACTCGCCCTCTCCTAAGGCGCTCGCAATGGCATTGACATTGATACCGCCATTGATACCGCCATTGATACCGATGTGGATGAGGACAATTGCCCGATAGCGATAACAGCGGCGACGACAGCGACGGCAGCGACAACAGCGACTGAGATGGCGATAGCTTCAAAATCAATGGCAGTTTGAAAACACAAAGGTCTTGGCGGGCGCGGTTGAGAGCCAAAGATTGGCTGCACAGCTAAAAGAAGTGGGGGGAAGGGGGGGGTCTTGCCAGTTAGCATCACCGCTCAGAGGCAACGCGGGACCCACTCGGCCATTATGGACCGTTGTTTTCAACTGGGAGCTAAGCCTGTATAGGAATAGACTTATCCGAATTCTGACTTCGTAGCATGTTTCCATCCCAACTTCCAACACTTGCGATTTCTCGCATACCTTGGAACTTTCGCACTTCTCGTCAACAAATCATTAGGAAAATAACTCATTGATACGCCCATCCATGCAGTGGCATCCAGCGCATCCCAAAAGTGAGCCTCGGGTGTCCAGGTGCATATGGAGATGTCCCGGGCATGTCTACCTTCTCGGCAAGTGTGTTGAACAATAAATGAGGGTACCTAGGTGGTCGGGCACATACTTGATCACAGACTCACAACAGCTTCAGCCACGCCGTTAAAAAAGAGATACGTAGCTCGCAGGTCAATATAAAGTGGCCAGTAATACCTGCTACAAGCGAGCGTACCTGATGAATATGGGTGACACTGCCGTCCCGTTCACGGAATTTGTCTTGTGTGCCTGTCACGGTTCCTGCAGCGTGGCGGGCGGGCGGTGTTACAAGCACTCACCAATCATGTCCACTCGTGTCGCACTTGCACGATTGCTGTTTCGAAAAGCAGAATAAAGAATGCCCGATGTTGAGGGTGGAGGTTGTGAAAAGCTCCGAGCTACCACGAAAACCATTGAACTTCTTGCAAAGCCAGCCAAAGAGAGGAATGACCTCCTTTGCTCCGTTCCTTGTCCCACGCCACTCTGAGTCAATGAACACCCCAAGCACAGACAAAGTTCATCTCATCTCATGTTTCTTTTCTACGAACCGAACCGAGCCGCCGAAGAACTCCACCAACTGATCCAATGACAGACTGTTATCAGATTTTTCATCCGTACTGTACGCCCATAACGTGTGCAAAATCTCCGCTTTATTCCCACTCACAGTTTCCACGTTTCCACTTCTTCTCGTTTTCTTACGCAGAAATGCCCACTTTTGATGGGACGAGCAAGGAGAGAAAGATCTGATAACTCGCCGGTGGAGCTCCGAAGCAAGAGAGTTGCGAGTTGGCGGGACGAGTTCCTGAAATAAGCGCACCTCGGAAATCCTCGTTGTTTCAGGGCAAGGGGGGTCAAAGCCGGACTAGAGATCAAATCCAAGGAAGGTATCGGGCGAGGGGTTGGAATTTGAAGAAGTGGAAAAGGGAAACAAGGGAAGAGACTGGGAGTTGGGAATGCATTTGTTTACATCTCGACCTTATGCAGAAGGCGGTCTGGCATCGAGGGGCACCGGAGCAACAAGGGGCGTGCGCAAGGTAGCTTAACTACCCCTACCTATCCCATTTAGGAACACAAGAAAAACAAAAGCCTCTTGCAAGCAGGGGGCTACTTATGGTGTCTCGCAAACTGACGAATTTGCGGAGGCGAGTTGCTCGTCTTTGTCCGTCATCCGTCGTGCTAGGTGCCACCTCACTAGACTCACCAGCCCACCAGGTGGAAGCTGGCATGGCACGTTCGCATGGCTTTGATCAGCGAATTTGTGTGGGGTTCAACTTTTCTTCCGTCCGACCCGCCACGTCTTTTCATGAGTCTCTTTTGCAATGTTGGGATTCAGACAGAATTCCCATTTGTACGTAGGTGTAAGTATCTACGGATATGAGAGGAAGTTGACATAATCGCCCATGCTTGTTTCCCATGACTTCTCTGGCTGAAGCAGTCTACCAAACCAGATGGTGATGGCTTCCCTTCCAAGCGTGTGCTGTGGCTCGCCCTTCTTGTCCCTTGGCTCAGAAAACTTTCACCTTGACGTGAATGCAACCCTTTTGATGAGGATTCTCCGACATCGTCCTTCAAATTCATCTGTGACCCATCGAGACCCTTGTCCCAACCTGCTTGAGTGTCGCTGGTCGTGCAGTAGAAGGGCCTTGGCTTTGGTCGGGAGCCACGCTCGATTGGTATTGTCTGGACCCCTTTTTACGCATTGTTCCCTGCCCGGCAAGTGGCCGCTCTTGAGGAGCGAGCAAATGCTATTTGAACCTCTGATGTCCCCCATCTTCCTCCGGTTTTGAATCTCTTCTTTTTTGATTTCTTTTTTTTTCCATTCTTCTTTCCTCTGACGAACAGACAGAAACGTCATATCTTCATCCTCGGTCGAGATATCAACAAAAAAGGTGTGTACAATATCAAACCCGGCAATATTCTTTGCACATCATCCTTCTACCCCCCTGTCCACCATCCAGTCCAATGTCAGTGCCGGAGAAGCTTGGTCCATGCTTTTTTGTTGGGCGTGGTTGCGGCGGCTTGGCCAAAGTCTGATAGCCCAGATTTGTTGTCAAGAGAGACATGGGAAAGGGGCAACTCCAATTCAGGGGCAAGCAGCATTGGCAGGGGCACTACACTAGACTGTGGGACTGGCGTGGTGGCAGGATTGGCAGGTCCCTTGGTCACCTTTTTTTTGCTGCTGCTGAGGTGGGAATGGAACCACCTGGCATTCCAGGATCACCCAAAAGGTGACCCCGGCCTTCTGGACCTCTCTTCGAGTGAAGAAAGAGAGCTTGTTGGCAACAATGGCGCCAAACAGCGGTGAAAAGGGGGCCAGAGTTGGGGAGTTGGTGTTGGATCGTTCGTTGGACGGGATGGGTTCTGCCAAAAGATAGGACGACACGCGCTAACCCCAAAGTTGCCCCTCCGTAAGACAGGAGCACAGGCACTTTTCTACGCCAGGACCCCCAATTTCTCAAAACAACCCCTCCCCTGAAAACGGGACACGACAATCTTCTCTCTTCCTTCTTTTTTACTCCATATTCTTGCCCTTCTCTCCCTCTTCCCTCTCCTCCGTTACTTCCCCCTTCCTCACTTTCCTCACTCTCCCCTCGACGTTAATCGCCAGACCCAATTGCCCACGCAAAGATGGCTTCCCGTCCCCAGAACATTGGCATCAAGGCCATCGAAATCTACTTCCCCAGCCAGGTACGTCCAACTACGCTATGCTAGCTGCGTACGCGCGCATCTCCCGCCGGCCGCGTTAGCTCCGGATGACGCCCTCCCCCTTTTTTGCAGTCAGTCCTCAAGCAAAGAAACAAAAGATGACTGCTTCGGGGACGTAACACGCTTCTCGCCTACCGCAGCAGCACATATCCTGTGCTTTCTGCCGGCCTTCTGCTCGCTGCGCTTTTACTTCGCATCCAGGCGCATCAGACTGACAGCTGTCATCTTGACTTTAGTATGTGGAGCAATCCGAGCTCGAAAAGTTCGATGGCGTTAGCGCGGGCAAGTACACAATCGGTCTCGGCCAGACCAAGATGGCCTTCTGCGACGACCGTGAGGGTGAGTTCTCCCCTTTCCTCCCATTCCAGCACATACCTCTGCGCGCGTTTTCAGGGGCTGACTTAGCCATGCGTCTGCAGACATCTACTCTCTCGCCCTGACTGCCGTCTCCCGTCTCCTCAAGAACTATGAGATCGACACCAACTCGATCGGCCGCCTCGAGGTCGGTACCGAGACCCTTCTCGACAAGTCCAAGTCCGTCAAGTCCGTCCTGATGCAGCTTTTCGGCGAGAACACCAACATCGAGGGTGTCGATACCATCAACGCCTGCTACGGTGGTACCAACGCTTTCTTCAACTCCGTCAACTGGATCGAGTCCTCCGCCTGGGACGGCCGTGACGCCATTGTTGTCGCCGGTGATATCGCTCTCTACGCCAAGGGCAATGCCCGCCCTACCGGTGGTGCCGGCTGCATCGCCATGCTTGTCGGCCCTGACGCCCCTATTGCTGTCGAGCCCGGTCTCCGCGGCAGCTACATGGCCCACGCCTACGATTTCTACAAGCCCGACCTGACCAGCGAATACCCCTACGTCGATGGCCACTACTCCGTCAACTGCTACACTGAGGCTCTTGACGGTGCCTACCGCGCCTACAACCAGCGCGAGAAGCTCCTCACCAAGGGTGTCAACGGCCACACCGAGGACAGCACCAAGACCCCCCTGGACCGCTTCGACTACCTTGCCTTCCACGCCCCTACCTGCAAGCTCGTCCAGAAGTCGTATGCTCGCCTCCTTTACCACGACTACCTTGCCAACCCCGAGAGCCCCGTCTTTGCCGAGGTTCCTGGCGAGGTTCGCGACATGGACTATAAGAAGTCCCTGACCGACAAGGTCGTTGAGAAGACCTTCATGGCTCTCACCAAGAAGCGCTTCCAGGAGCGCGTCAACCCCGCCATCCAGGTCCCTACCCTCTGCGGTAACATGTACTGCGGTAGCGTTTGGGGCGGTCTCACCTCCCTCATCGGCCACGTCGACAGCGCCCAGCTTGAGGGTAAGAGGATAGGCCTCTTTTCCTACGGCTCCGGTCTCGCTGCCTCTTTCTGCTCTTTCCGCGTCACTGGCAGCGTAGAGAAGCTCGCCAAGACACTCGACCTCCCCGCCAGACTCGCTGCCCGCCGGGCCGTCCCCCCCGAGGCTTACGATGCTGTGAGTATTCCTGATTGAGATTCGAACAAGACTCCTTGTACAAGATACTAACAATCATTCCTACAGATGTGCGACCTCCGCAAGCAGGCCCATCTCCAGAAGAACTACACCCCCAAGGGTGATGTGTCTACTATCGAGTCCGGCACCTACTACCTCGAGAACGTCGATGATATGTTCAAGAGGACATACTCCGTCAAGGCTTAAATGTCTTGATAATGGAAAACAGGGGAAAGAGGAGGGAATTCGCATTATACCACTATACATTAATTAGGCTGGCTGAGGTGTCAGGCATAGAGAGAGTTGGAGACCGCGATGATTTCACGTTGCACTTTGTCATGACTTTATGGAGTAAGTGAAACCGAGGGGGTCCGGTTGTCTATCTACACTAGAACTGGGAAGGTGGGAGACTTTGGGAAGGGAAGGCAAGGGAAATAAAGGGAAGAACGGGAAGGAAGAAAACCAAGCAAGCAAAAGCTGAAAGGGCAAGAAAGCTTTGCGAATTCTTCTTCACACATATTACACATATAACTTATACTAATACTCATCGGCGATCATGGCCGGTATGATGGCTGGCTTATGAGGACCGGGGAATTTGATGTAAATATACATGTTACATGATCAAATCTGAAGATAATCAAGACTTGAGCAAGACATTTTGCACGCTTGCTGGTGATGAAGTGGACATCCATTGATTCTGTATCGCAAAGGACATCACATTAAGATACAATGTAATAACGAGTAAAATGGTATCGTGTCATTGCTTTCATCCAGTCTAAACATGTCCGAACCAGGATCCCAACCCAGCCATAAACTTCTATCATCCCATGTTGTTAACCAATCTTTTTCATCCCAGGCATGAATCCTACAATTTGTGAGTCCAGAGGTTCGCAAACCGCTCAAGATAACCATATTCATCAGACCAACCAAGTAACGGAAACGACAACTACTAGGGCGTTCCATACCCGGAATCTTTCCCATCTTCCGATCCCGGTCCCGTCGCCGTCACTTCCTTCACTTCTGTTACCGAGATCTGAGGCAGAACATCAAGACCCTTCAGTTCCACGGCTTCGGTGGTCGCCACATCTTCGGTATTGTTTTTCGGGGTGGTCTCAGGAAGGTCCTCCTTGACGGGAACAACATGAACCTTGACGGTATCCTCTTTGACGAGTACAGGTGGCGTTGTCGTTGTCTCCTTCTTCGATTGTTTCCTCTTGGATTTCTTTTCCTTGATGATGATTTCCGGTTCTGATTCTGATTCGGATTCGTCGGACAAAGAAGAATCAGAATCAGAAGATGATGACGACGAATCGGACGAGTCAGAGTCGTCGTGTCTTCTTGACTTCCTCGACGACTTCTTGGAATTTTGGACGTGCTTACTCCTTTTTGGCTTGTTCTTTTTCTTTTCCGTCTTTTTCCCCTCTCCTCTTCCGTCTCCTTCTCGTCTTTCTTCTCATTCCCCTTTTCTTTTGTCCCCTCCTTTTCGGCCTTCTCCTTTTCAACCTTCTCCTTAGCCTCCTTCTCCTCCCTCTCCCTCTTCTCCCTCGCCTCCCTCAGCTCCTTCTCCATCTTCTCCCTCCTCGCTTCCACAACCCACTGCTCTGCGCCCTCCACCGCCCCCTGCGCGTTCCGCTTGTGTTTGAGCAAGAAGCCCTGGATCTCGGCCGGAGAGAACTCGTGCGCGGGAATCTTTTTGGCAAACTGGGAGGCTAGCTCGACGACTTTGAGAGTGGCCTCGTCGCGCTCCGATTCGCGACGGGCTTCGTCGGTTTTCTTCTGCTCTTCGGCTGCTGCTGGATCTACTTTGGGAGAAGACAGGGTCGAAACGCAATCAGAATCAGAAGGTGGTGTGCCAACCTCGTCGCCCTCAAGCGGAGCAAAAATCGCTCGGAAAATCGCAGCCGTCATCTCCTTATCCGCACGCCCGAACTCGACGATCATATCGACGCGTCCGGGACGGATCAGGGCTTTGTCCAGCTTCTCGAGGTGGTTGGTGGTCATGATGAGGACGCGGCCCTCTTGGGAGGCGACGCCATCGAGGATATTGAGGAGACCGGAGAGGGAGAGGCGGCCGCTGGGGGCGGGGGTGGTGGTGGTGCCGTCACCAGGGGTTAGTTGACCGGGAACCATATCAGCGCTGCCGCTGCCCGGATCGACTGCAACGACCTTGCCGTCTTCGCGCGTGTGAGTAAGGCCGGCGGTGTCGATATCCTCTAGCAAAACAACGCACCGACGCGGAAGTTCAGAAAACAGAGAGGCGAGATTCTCCTCGTTGGCAGCGATGGAAGACAAGCTGACGATGTAAATCCTCATCTTGAAAAAACCAGCCAGCGCCAAACTCAACGAGGACTTGCCCGTTCCCGGAGGACCATGGAGGAGGTAGCCCCTGCGGTAAGGGATGCCGCGGTTGGCGTACCATCTGCGCGTGGCCGGGTTGAGGTAATCCGTCACGTCATCGATCAGCTCCTTTTTGACCTTCTCGTTCAGGATGACAGTCGAAAAAGGCCGCGAGGTGCGCGCCATGCATCGCTGCCAGGTGGGCTCGCTGCCGCTTCCTTTGGTCGTTCCGCGGTAGATGAGCGTCTTAGCTTCGTCGCGCTTCATGTACACCTGTCTTGCCTCGAGCAGGAGCTCCTTGAGGATCCAGGGGTTTCTGCCAAAGCACTTGATGGAAATCTCCTCCTTTTCGCTAGATAGCGAATATCCGCCAACCTCTCGGCCCTGTTGCCGGTGGAAGCACAGCAGTCGGCCCTTGTACCAGAACCAGTGGCTGCCAAACGTGGGGGTGTACGCTAACGCCTTCTTTTTGCCCTTGTCGGTCTGGTGGGCATACCCTTCCTCGGTCCCGTCCTCCTCCTCCTCGTCGTCGTAATCGAACCGCCACAGCCACCAGACGCGTGAGTTCAGGTTCGTGTTGACGACGAAACGGCGCGCCCCCTGGGCAAACTTCTGCGCGGCCACCCAGCCCATCAGCATGTTGTAGATCTCGTCGTCGGTGCGCACGTCCACGACGGACATCAGGTAGCTGTCGATCACGTCCCAGCAGTATGTGCTAAAGTACTGCCAGACGAACGTGAGGGCGCCGCATATTAGGACGAGCGGGATGTACAGGTTAAGGTCGATGTTGAGGTTTTTCTGGATAAAGGCCGAGAAGGTTGAGAAGCCGGGGAAGAACATGTCCAGAAGAACCATCTGGCCAGTTACGGGCAAGCCGGTAGCAGAGGCCCCGGCAGTATTAGATGTGGTAGAAGAGGCGCCATCGGGACATGCGGTCGTTTGCCCGGCCATTTGTTGGAGGAGAATGTCCATGTTGGTCGTCTGCTGGACAGCGAGTCTGAAGACCGCTTTTATTCGATGATCTTGTCCAAAGATTTGAGCCGGGACAAATATTTGCTGGAAGAGGAGTGGTCGTTTTATATCGGTTCTGTTTGCTTGTTGTTACTTCCCAACTTTCGGTTTGTCGTATCCTTTGAGGTCAGGCGGTGTATTGTGTATCTATAGCCGTAGAAGTCCCTCCGTTTTCTTCTTCTTTCAGGTTAAAATGGCGTGGCACAGATCCGCCGTTGCGCCGGATTGGACGAACCGGGGAAAAAATTAAGCAGTAGTGAAACGAGATACAGGATCGAAGTGACAAGTGTGGAAGATTGTTGGTATAACGTAGGTGAGTGCCGAGGTCCGACCTGGATATACCTGCGGTATAATACGAAGGGAGTGGCGTAACTGGACTTGTGTTCCCGTTGGATGTCGTTGAAGGGGCGAGGTTGGCCGAGGTGTCGAAGAGATAGTCTTATACCTTTAAGTTTGCTTGGATGAGTTGCTTTGGGCTCCGGATGGTCGGTATTGCCGACTGGAGAATGGTTGGGATAAGCGGTCAAGTCGACATGAAGAAAATACCAGGCATTGGGTCCTTATATACTCATGTGTATGGGACCCCTGGCGAAAGAGGATACGCCAATAGCCAGGCAGCAATACAGTCATCAAGCTAGTAACTGGGGCTGATACCTCTGGAGAAGTACCATACATGGAGGTGAGAAGAGAAAGAGAGCGAATAGTAGACCGAGTAACGATCTCTAGACTGCCACTTGGACACAGCCAGGAGAGTGTACGCGCCGTGGAGGCATCAAGGTACACATAGTCCCTTGTCATCCCATGCATGTGATGTGAAGAGAATTGGGAGAGGATCCAGTTGAGCGAAGAACTAGTATCCACGTATCGGGTAAGGTGCAAATCAGAACCAAGAGGGTCAGAAGCAGCCGCAGCACACATCAGCATAACGCAAGGGCTCCCGTCAGCACCAGGACCCAAAGATGCAGCATATGCAATGCAATACCAGTTCAGTTCCTTGCTACCCCTGCTTGCCCTGGCTTTTGCTGCAAGTTGGGACAGCTCGAAGCGCAGTGCAGAGCAACGCCACTGGGCAAGATTGAAAAGTGGCTTGTAACCCTCATCCGGCGTTGCAAGGATGTTTCTGTGGTGGCCGGGGCTCCGAAGTTCAGAAAGTGGAAGGCCTCAATAGAGTTCTCAACTTCATCGTTTCCATGCAAGAACCGAGGGAAAAGCAAAGAGAGGCAACTGTAACAAGCCACGCCGGGTCCGGAGGCAGATGAGGGAACACCACCACCACCACACTGAACTACTCTTCCGGCCGGCCATTCACAGCCACTCAGAGCAGACGGAATGGCATTGCACGGCAGAAGCACCCACACAAAATGCAGGCCGGTGGTGACAGCGGAACAGTAAACGTTGAAAACCTGGGGGGCCGCCGAGGCTGCGGCATGACGCATGTCCAAGTTCGGAATGGGGGCTGCAATGTTGGGCAGGAGATAGGGTATGCACATGAAATATCGGTATCAGTTCCGAATGACATTCTGCCACTTGACAGATGCGTTGGACTGGTAACAGGCTGGGATAAGTCGTCCTCAGTGATAGATATGTCGATGATCACAACCCAACCAGTAGAGTGGGAAAACAAAGTGTCTCTGCTAACTACTCACAGAAAGACGTACGTTTCGGTTTACGCAGACTACCACGCCGTCCGTCACGTCTTTAAGGGTAGTAGTATGGTTTCTGGTGGAGATAACATCCAAGATCTGAACCCAACCTTCCCGGTCAGTCCCCGGTCATCCTGCTAGGGTGCGGCGTAAATCCGTAGGGCTCTGAAGACGGCAAAGCTAGTTCTTCGATGGTGACAGTGACTGCTGGTACTGTACTCTAGCGTGTCTGACGAACGGATGGCGGTGCGGTGCTGACTTGCTTCTTTCGAACGGCCGCGAAATGGTTGTCGAAATCATGAGCCCCGCTATCGTCACCTCAATTCCCGAATGATGTGAGGTACGAGAGCGACGTCATGGATTGTTGCGTTGCTGTCGGTACCGTGAAATGCTTGGTTAATCGGAATCCCCGTGATCGAGATGGACTGTTCGAGACCTTGGCGAACACCCTTCTGAATCAGGAAATCCACTCTAATCGGCGAGGCAGAAACCTGAGGCAGTGAACCTGTAGAAGGCTGAGAGGTTCAGTATTGAAACTGTGGGGTAGGTAGAAGGGATGTGATGTGGTGTTTAGGCTGCCGCTGTAGTAAGCTCGGTAAGCTTGTCTCACCTACCCTCCACCATCGACCCTCCACACTTCTGTCTTGGTGGCTTCCTGGCATGGAATTGTTCCAGTTGACGATAGCCTCGAAACCTGCTTTATCCGGCGGGGATGAGACCTCTTGACGGCTTAGACCAGGGTCTGGAATATTTTGACGATACATACCTCCAGTTTCTAGCATCGGCTCTGCGACTCTTTGATAGTACTTGTGGGAATCCTACCTCGACCTCAAACCCGCAACATATTCTGGCCATTCATAACCATGTTGAACACCCACCCACCTCATCACGACGATAACGGTTGTATGTACGTCATGCGGCGGTGTCCAGACATGAAAGAAAGAGCATCTCGAAGAGAACTGGCTTCAGTGACTTGTCACATTTCGGCAGGTGGTAGGGCTGAGGAGTGGATGGGACTTTTGGTGTTCGCAAACAGATGTCAAGGGTTTGGAGGCCGACACCATTCCCAAAACATTCCGTTGGATCCTCATGCCGGACAGACCACATTACCCCACCTTCTCTTAACTATTAACCAATAAGAATGGTAAGTTGACCCCGATAAGCGATAACCATTGCTTCAACTTCCCGTCGGGACCTCCGAGGCCGCGGCAGTGCAAAGAATTGCAGTCATCGCCGTCCATCGCCGGCCCCGTCATCTCGGCAGTGCAACGGGCGGCCTCCGCATTTTTGACCAAATTCGGCCCCACTTCACCACCACCCCCGGCTCGGACAACGTCACAACATATCCGCTTTTGCCGATTTGGGAATTCCAATGCAGCACTACCCAACACTAAATATTTACTCCGACACAATTCGGCTATTGATTTGGGTCAAGTCACTTGCTCATCAACTTATTATACCCTGCAGGACCGGAACTTCGACCTTACAACTTTGACAGAGAGAACAGCCTCACGACCAGACCGTGACATGTCCCGAGTCTTCTGACAGGGAAGGAGGAAAGAAAAAAGAGATCACAAGGAAACTGACACCCATCTGGACTATCTACGTTCGTTCATGCTCATTCCGATCTTGCCTGTTGCCTGTTGCTATCCGTCAAATACGTACCTAGGCTTAGGGCTTTCCTTCTATATAATCCCCAGCTTATCTACAGTTCGGTAACATGCATGATCGAGTACTAAAGATCCCATGTCACTGACGTATACTACATGATGACGAAAGCACGCAAGGAGCTTCAATGCGCTCACCCGTCCGATCATCCAGGGGATATACCTAGTTTACTCAGGGAGGGATGTTGAGGACCTTGCAATAGTTTCAGACATGACTCGCTCGCGCACTTCACTGCTTCTTTTCCAAAATATTTGCCAATTACTGAGTATCGACCACTCTCATTAACTCTGCACGTGGGGCTGAAGATGCCACCAGAGTGAATATCTAAACCGAGGCGATGAATGAGGAAATCGATGGGCGAGGATATATATGGCGACCAAGAAATATGGAAGTGAAAAGGATCTAAAGTCATAAAGAGAAGACAGATCTGATAGAGTTGATCTCGAGCCCTAGCTGCATTATTCACAGACTGATCACGGTGTCTAGGTAGTTGCCATGTATTCAAGCGAAGCCATTCGATGATTCATTCGAGAACCATGATGACATTTGTGTTAATCAATTTAAAACGTCTGACAACTCTCTGGACACTGAACCAACTTCTTCTTTCTAGACTGCGTCTACACAAGAGCAATACCAAGTCACTCCTAATTCCTGTCCTGATCCCGAGGTGACCGTCATCAGCAAGATAAAAACCCCTATCACACGCCATAAACCCACAAGTGAAGACCCGAAGAGACCAAACACAATGTTTACTTCAACTTAACGAACACACACACAGACATACCCAAGCACGCCACTCGGCCAGTAGTCAACTCTATCCTTCCATCGATGGTTTATTTTGTTATTCCGTATCACTTTCCAAAAGTCATCACTCCGGCATAAACACCTGAATACCATTTCCATCTTGTTGGAAATGTCCTCCACCTCCCCCACCTGACATCATCGGAGGAGGTGGTCCCGGAGTCGGCATATGATGAGGAGGATGTGGAGGATGCTGGAAGCGCCCATGTCCATGTGGTGTCATTGGTGGCATCGGTGGCAGAGAACCACCACCCATACCGCCCATTCCGTACATCGGCTGTTGCTGTTGCTGGTGGTACCCCGGAAATCCGCCACTGGGAGGGTAAGAGCCAGGAGGAGGTGGTGGTGCTGGGGAAGCAAAAGGAGGGGGCATCATGCCCGGGCCTGGCTGGTCATGCGGGAACGGACTCGGAGTGTAACTTGAGCTTGCAGGGCCTCCAGGGCCTCCAGGGCCTCCACCTCCCCGATAGACGTATTCGTTGAAAGCACTTCCACTTCCGGCATCGCTGATACTGGCACTATCGTTGGTTGTGCCGTCGTCGAATTCTTCCTCCTCCTCCTCTTCTTCTTCTTCTTCCTCGGATATGTCGCTCGGCGGCCCTTGTCGCCCATGCCCATGACTGTGTCTGTGACTACCACCACTTTTGCTAGAGCGTTTCGAAGAGCGAGATTCCCTCCCACTCTTGGGCGGTTTCCATTTCTTTGCCGACGCTGCTGGTGGTGGTTGTTGCTCCCCATAATATCCATCAACAGGCCAGTATCCACTGCCCCTGGACTCAATAAAGTAAAACTCCTGCTTTGTCCTGCTGCCAGTGCTACTGCCACTAGACCAGGAGAGCCCAGAGTGTGAAGAGCGTTTGGAACTACTGGCACTACTCCTCGCATCGAAGTCGTCCGTCGGAGTGTAATCGTAGGTTGTCTCGTAGACACGCATGGCTTTCACCTTGCGCGGGTCTCGGCCGCAGAAATAGACGAGAGCGCCGACAGCTGCGGAGTTGGGGAGACGCTTTTCGCGGCAGGTGCGAGTGGAGGAGGCGGAGGAGGTGGTAGAAGAAGAGGAGCGGCTCGAAGGACGAAATGCCATCTTGTTGCTTCTTCGGGTTTTTGTTTGAGTGAGGCGTAAATGTTATATAGAGCTGATGGAAGCAGCAAGGGCTGTGGAAGGCTGTGGGGACGAAAGAAGACACCCGATTCCAGTGCGAAGCGATGGTCTTGGAGTCAGGTACTTGTGTACATCCGGGAAAATCAGTCTCGGAACTGAGACACAGGACCAGGTCTCGTACAAAACTCTGTGAGTAGTATGAAGAAAGAAAACTAGACAAGTCAAGAGGTAATAGAAAGCCCAAAGCATGTGGAGAAAGGAAGGAAAATAGCAGTCTATGAGAGCTGGGAACAGAGGTAAATACATATTTACACATGCACAAGGATGGGACTACTTCCCGAGTGTCTCCATGGAACACACATGCCGTGACGGAGCGATCACCCAGAAATCACCGCGCCCGCATTTGAAGCAAGACGAGATCATCTCGCAGCCTTGCCCCTGTATAGCGTCACCTGAAAAGGGACAGTATTTGCCCGACTAGGATGGATAGATGGAGTGTCGCCTGCCTGCCTGATTATCTGCATGCTTCCTACAAGCTGGGCGTGGGGGAACAGACAGAGACAGACTAACGTCAACGTCAAGGGGTGTTGTTGAAAACATCCGCATTTGTGCTACAGGATGACAGGGAGCGCTCCCGGGCTTCATGAAACGGGACTGGCTGGACTTCCAACTGCGTGGTTCGTCATCGGCGATCTGGTTCATCCCCGTTTGAGCATGCCTAGTTGCTGATGCCCGCTACCGTGGATGATGGCAGGATCGGGAGGTTCTGTTATTGTGGAGAAACAGAGTGTTCGCCAGTCAGGCATGCCGGGCAACAAGCTGAGTTGGAGCCAGGCGTTAAGCCGGCTATCAGCATGTCACACTCCGACAGCAAGATACCAACACCATCATCCGGACTACATGGCGCATGTCAGATAATAAGAAACGAGAAGGATGCCACTCACCCTTCTTGACACCATCTGTTCGCCTGGGTCAAGGACTTCGAACGCAGGAAAGGTGCGCGGCCGTCTTGGTTTTGGAAAATGGACGTGGAGCGGCTAAACATGTGGGTGCATCCGTTCTGATCACAAGCCCGGCGGTCAAGATGCGGTTACCCGTCTGCATGCTTTCCTTTTTCCCCTGGTACCTTTCTTGATGCCTGTCAACTGATGTCAGATCAAGTTATGTCTTCTCGCCGGGCAATCCAGAACCCTCTTGTAAGGACAGTGAGTGACTGTGGACTATCAGTTGGGAGAAAGATGAAGTGTCCACAGTTGTTCACATGCTCCATAATCCTACCGCGTAAGATCGAGGCTGTCGATATGGGCTGAGGGGCATCGCATTGCTTACCCACACCGGACTCAAAGGTGCATTTCCAGAAGGCTTCCATGTTTGGGGAAGTCAATTCGGGCGAGCCAACCAATGAAATGTGAGACGGCCATTGGGACTACCAAAAATGTCCTTTTCTTTTGATTGCCTTCTCCGCCTCATGATGGAAAAGGACGGTTGTAATGGCGAGTCTCTTCAGCATAATCCAATACTTGCACTGCCTACCTACCCCTACGGCCAAGTGGGAAAATTAATGATTTGACCGAAACCAGGGCGAGATTTACTCTTCTCGGCAACCTCCAACCATTGCCCCGCTTGTTTGCGTGCTTCTTCGTAGCAACGTGTTCATGGACGCAAGTATCGAGACTCGGAAGCTGTGCAAAGGTAAGGTGAGAAGCCGTAGAGGATCAGTTAAGAATGAAGAGAGAATGAGGGGTCCTAGAGGCCGAACCAACGGACAGCTACACGGCCGGCACCCAATTAGAAACCCGCCCGCGTTCGAGGTTTCGGCGTGTAACATGATGCTTTTCTGCTTGCTTGAGGCGGGCGGTGGCTGGAGTTCTTATTCACACCGAAAGTGCCCTGGTTTTCCATCGACGCTTGGGTTGTGCCTTCCTTTGCGACATTGAGTATGGGGGATGGTCAACTTCTTGATGGAGAATAGTAAGCTATTGGGGCTAAGTCGTGCCATTTTTCGTACGCTGCTCGTTATCTTTCCTCCAGTATTCGTCCAAGAGAGTTGAGTTGGATCACCCTTCTGCGGCACTTGGACTTTGCAGCATGAGAGCTTGGGAACAGTCGATGAACATCAGAAGACGGAATGCCTATACTTGCACCAGAAGAAGTCTGTGTAGTTTGTCATTGCATCAAGCTTAACTTTGCGCTAGTAACAGGCAAAATAGCCGAACAGATTAATACTAACCAAAGTTGTATTAACCTAGGGTACGGCTCGGCAGTCTGAAGGACGGTAACAACGGGCCCAACCCTGCCGTCTCTGGCCAGACCTTCAAGCCGGTCATGGACTTGGATAGGTAAGGAATATATCTGAGAGACGCACATCGCTATCAAGCAGAACTGTCGGCCAGTCTGATATGTCTGCTATTGTTCCAATTCTCTCATGCAGTCAAGTGTCCAGACTTACGGGAGTGACGGCCGGGAACCCGGTGAGCTCTGTTGCCAGTTAACCCAGAAAACCGGCGATGGAATGGACAGAAGACACTTGAAGTTTGTATGGCCAATTTGTCGTCTCGGCCCTCCAACTTGCCCAAGTCAGGCATCGGCTCGATCCATGCGACGCAATGATGAGCGGTTAAGTTGGGGAAAATGATGGCGACGGCAAGTTGTTGTTGTTGGCTGACAAATGAGGTTATAGAATCGGTCAAGATTCCAAACCTTCGACGGGCTGTAGATTGTTCACCTTGCGCACGGCATAAGGACATGTACCGTCAGGATATTTCAGTCCAGAATAGGTGGGAAGCCCGATGCCGTGTAGAGCTTTGAACTACCCAGATAGATTGGAGGGCACAAACATTTGGTGCGAGAGTGATTTGGATGTTTCCATGATGCATTCGTCCATTGCCAGTGCCGAGTGACAGTTCACAGGGAGTCTTTGACAGGCGGGACTGCCCATTGCGCTAGGATGTCTGGCATGTCCCGTCAATTGTGCTTAAAAGGACTCCATCGAGCGCATGTTTCCAGACCCACAAATATGGCGCTAAAGAGGTGGAGTGGACCGTGGCACGTTGAAACATCAAATCGACATCGAGAAGCGGAGAGAGACAACGGGCAGCACGGAGAGTGGCCCGTCTGAGAGGGAAGCACAACTGAACCACAAACAACCGATTCTACGGATGAGATCAAACTGCCCATTCCGTCTTACATCACCCAAAGCACAAAAGTTCAACTCAAAGCCCAGCTGAATGTCAAAGTCTACAGCCAAGGCATGCATACCTTCCTTGTTACCGTGACCTTCAAATCACGGCATGTGCAGCTCGGCGCCCCTTCCGCCCATCATATTTTCAAGTGCCGCTAGGCTAAGCTTAATGGACTTTTGCACTCCGGGGGTTCTTGCGGTTCACCTCGCCAAGCCCTTTTCCCTCGGGGACTGAGTGGAGGAAAGAACAAAAGCTTGGCGGCCGGACCCCCCAGGCTGGAGTTCGAGGAACGCACCGCTGCAACCTCAAATGGAGGAACCACATGGAGTGCAACCCTCCCTAACAGCACCTGTTCCTGAATTGTTCGGACCTGGGGGAAGGTTTGTGCCGTCCGGCTATTTTCTCTTGCAGTGCTCCATCTCGCCCTTTCAGTTTCCTCACGTTGGACACACACAACAACCGGGCAGAAAGCCAGAGGGGGGCCGGGAAGGAACCGTTCGATCCATTCTTGCCATTCTGCAGCGCAATTTGGCCCCATCGCATTTTTCATCTAGTTTCCTCTGCACCTTCCAGATCCATTCAATCCCCAGTTTCCGCCGTCCGATCCTTCCTTGCAGCTTCACCAGCCCGTTCCACCTCCGCTTTGTAAACCTGTCAATTCTAACCGAAACCTCTTCTCAATCACACCGACTTCAGCCTTCCAAGACCACTTCATCACTCACCCCCGAGGCAGTCAAAGCTCATTCATTCGACTCCACTCACCCGCCAACCGCATCTTTACCGTTCTATCGCGTTAGAAATCCGACGACACTCCTTCTCACGGGGGCGCGCATAACATAGGGACGAGGACTGTGCCATTGTCTCCCAAGCGGGCGGTCAATGGCCTCTAGAGGCCCGATGATCTTCTGACATCGACCTCATCGAGTTTTCGTATTGGGGCCACTTGACATCGGCGCATAAGTCCATATCCATCGTCACCATGGAGCCCGGAGACAGCAAACTGGATTCACCAGAGCGGAGGCGATCACGGAGGACGTCAATGAGGCGTTCGTTGACTCTACGGGCTGAAAGAATAGACGAGCTTCGCGATCCAGAAGACTCAGCTCTGGCACCAGTGGCAGATGATGACAGGCGATACAGTCCATACCATGATCCCAGCCCAGCGGTGGTAGCACTGGGCCATGAATTGGGAGACGACGGCTTGGGCCAAGGAGGTCAGGTTAGGCCGGGGGTCACGAATGACAGCAGGTCACCGGCAACGCCACCATCTACACCGATATTACCAGTACAGCCCTTTTCGCAGGCAGAATTGCGGCCAGACCAAGGAAGTCCATATGGGACGAACGTTGATGTCCCAACAACAGCTCCTTTACCTGAGTTGATGGCAGCGCTCCCGGAAGAGTCACAGGCCCCTCTTCGTCCGCCAAGCCCAACAAAACCAGCAAGCTCAGTAGCAGATCCACTGGCCTTGAGACACGATGGAGCAACGAGCCCAAACCAATCCTCCCAGTATATCAACATAGATCCCCCCCATTCTGGCGCTATTCTTGCCCCATCAGAGCCATTAGGTCCCTCTCACGTTTACGAGCAATATACGCGCAACTTACCCTTCGGACCACCGCCGGGTCTCTCTTCCGACCCTTTAACAAGGGGCTATCCCTATCACGGACCATCCGATCCTTCTCCTTATCACATCTATCCTCGAGATGTACATAACACCTCCCCATATGGACGAGTCGTAACACAACAAGGCGAAGTCCCGGTAGTCGATTACTATAGCCCATACGGACATCACGAACCGCTGCCGCCCTACACCGAACGAGATAATACAGGCCTAGGAGGAAGCAGCTCGAGCTCCGTCGCCCCTACCCCAGCGCCCGTTGCCGACGCCACTCACAGTATTGATCCGCCCCCTGCCTCTTCCGGTGTTGTTTCTTCCCCAACTCCTGCTTCTGCGCCAGAGTCTGCGCCCGCATTGGATTCTGGCTCCGTTGTTGAAGAGCCTGAGGGTCAGACAGTACCGACAGCACAGTCAACACAGGCACCACTTGCGTCGACCCAGACACTGGCCATCACGCAGTTATCGCCGACAGCACAGGTGGCAGCAACAGGACAAACGGAGCAGACGGAGCAGACGGAGCAGACAGGACTGGCGGCGCAAGCGGCGCAAGCAGAGGATATTACTGGTGCTGGAGGTCTGGGCCTTGCAACCAGAAACCCAGAGTTTGACTCGCTGGACGACTTGCGAGCTCCTCGACCCCGTACGTCGACACGAAGCTTTAATACAACCAACAGTAACGACCAAATCAACAAGGAAAAGGCGGTGATCTCAGAAAAAGAGACACCTTTCAAGCGTTGGATGAGAAAGCAGTGGTGTTTTGGTGTGGTTCCTAACTGGGCTTTGGTCCTCTCCTTATGCCTTCTTGTGATCGTGGGGATTGTTGCCGGCACAGTTGTCGGAGTTTTGTTGAGCAGGCATGGAAAGCCACTACCCAAAGGTGGTTATCCGTAAGTGAATGAAACATGCTCCTGATATTCTGCCACCATATTAATCATCGTTCAAAACACAGAAAGCCCACAACGGGGTCAGCACTTCCCAGCAACGTAATACCCATACCAACCCCAACAGATCTTGCTGCGCTTCCAATAGGAACGTGGAGTATACCCATGATGCTTAGCAAGTCCTCTAGTAACTGCTTCAAGGACCCTACACAGTCGAAAACTTGGGACTGCAGGTTTGTGCCCTCCGGCATGTACTTGTCGGTTGAAAATTCCGTCCCCAATGGTTACACCTTCACGATCAACTGTAACCACTCTTTCACCATGTCCAACAATGCCTACTTGTACGGCGAGCAGCCAGCGTTGCTTGTGAATCCCGGGGAATTAGTGCTGGTCAACGATTCGTCTGAAGCTAACCGGGGTCCTGCTTGGTTTCACTCTTTTCCTTACAACAAGACCGTGATTCTTTCCCAGAATTCACTCAACATTTCCACCACAGAAGGTACGGCGAGGATGCGCCGTAGAATTGATAGCAAGGATTATGACAGACGCAAGGGCTTTGGGGCGCAACCGGGAGAAAAGCCTTGGATTTGCAACTGGCCCCAGACGACGTTCGAGCTCTATATTTATGCTCAACAAAACTCGAGTTGGTCCGTCAATACTCAAACCTTTGCGCCGCCGTTGGCCACCTCGTCCGTATCGGCACCGACGGACTCCCCCACAAAGACAGTAGTGGTCACGAAAACAGAAACCGACCACATAAACTCACCAACAGCAAGCATATCCTCGTCGCCGACTTTGTCACCAGATAGAAACAACCACTACACCACAAAGCCATGGGAACAACGACCTCCGGAAGGGGATATGTACTATCATCCCTACAGACAGCGCCAATTTGAGTCCGGGAAACACGACAAAGCCCCCTCCGCGACTGAATCACTATCATCAACCTCCGGGCCTGCGCCTTCGTTCCCGCCAGGCCCAATGGGTACCGGGCCCCGTGGCGATGGCTTCGCTCCTCCACCCCCGGGCTATCCCCGAGTCATCAAATTCGAGGAACGTCGGTATCTCAATGCGCCGGCTCCGGAATGCACGCAATTTGAAATACCCACCAACGGACATGCTGCTCAGCCTGTTCGCGATGAAAAGGGAAATATGGTTGTCGTCACCATCTACCCCCCGGAGGCTACAGAGACGGGTTCGCCACGCTCATCACGTCGCTTGGGCAAGAGGTTTACCGACTGGGACCTTGAACTGGATGAAGAGGATGATAGCCCGATATGGAGCACGGAGGTCTTGCGGAGGGGCGAGGCGGATGGAGGAATATCAAACGCAAGTGGCGGCGTTGTTCCGTTTGGAGGTCAATGTAACTGTGAGTGGTTTGTTACATAAGCATACATGCTGGAAATGTTAGCGGAAGTGGCATTATTACGGGATTTAAGGGGTTCGCATAGCGGTTTGCATGTAGTCAGGGTTTCCATTGCCAGGCGTTAGTTTTGGACATATCAAGGTCGGGCTGAGGTGAAACTGATCTTCTTTACTTACCAACTCGAAGAAGAGCGAATGACACTTGTAAATTGGATATATTCAGATGAACACAATCATATCATGTCCATGTCTCTTTCAAAACATATATATATATATGTGTAACATGAAGTGAACTTTCCAAGTCACAGGTTCCCACCTGCTTACATGTTCCGCTATCTCCTACTCAACACTCCGCGGTAATTTTATTTGCTATTGTCTGAACGAACCCTTGTGTGTTGTGGCAAGTGTATTATCGACCATTAAAAAACGCCGTACCCCATGCTTCTAGATTGACATTAAGAGAAACCCATATCCATCACATACATAGCATTATTTGCAGTTCAGCCAAATATCCGACCTCTCCTCTCTCAGCTTTTCCTTATAATTAAAAGGCTTCCGAGAGGTTCTCGAACGACGGAATCTTGGATACATCGCAGTTGAATTCCCTCTCGTACGCCTTCTTGGGCAAGACACCAGCGTCCAAGCCCTTTTTGTAGCTCCATTGATACCTGTTATAACCTTGGTCAGTAAAAGCAATTTCGACAATCAGGTCATATGTATGGTATGGGCCTACTACTAGTAGACCAGACCAGACCAGACGAAAGGAAAGAAAAATAATAACAAGACTTACGCATCCTCGGTATCCCAAACCCAGTAAAACCACCCCCACCCTTTTTCAAAGCTGTACATCTGCGCCTCCGCAAACATCTTCAAAAAGGTCTTGTAATCATCACTCCACTGATCCGGCGGCGCGTTCGCAGCAATACAATCGCACCGTCGATCCTTGTAAGGACATCGTGGCGTGAGCACATCACTGCCGGGGCTCCCCGTCACCAGCGTCCCCGTCCACCGGTTTCCCCAGCCGACATTCGTCAGGTGTTTCGCACAATCCGTGTCAGCCTGCGACCACTCAGCCACCAGCGTCGGACCGTAGCCGCGCGACCTGTCCATTGATAGTTCCGTCTGCTCCGTCCACCCTTCGCACGCGAACTTGATCTTGTCGTAGTGCTTGTACACGATCTGGTTGGTGTTGAAGATGACGTACTGATGTACGTCCAGCGCCGCGCCGTCGCCCAGGTCCTGTAGTTCCCCCTGCCAGTTATCCAGCCCGCGAAACCCGTCGCCGAAGACGACGATGGCGTCCTTGACACCGTTCTTGCGCACCATCGCGTAAGCGTCTTCGATCCATTGCAGCACAGCGTCGACGGATAGGTACGTCATCTTCGGCTCGTTGGCTAGCCCGTAGTGGGAGATGATGTTCTTGTACCGGTCTTGCGCGAAGAACTTGGAGAGGCGGTCGTGGATTTCGAGAGAACGTTTGGCGTTTAGGTCGCCGTCCGTGCCGTTCAGCCAGCCGATGTACCCTTGACGGCCGGAGTGGTTCCATCCGTTTTGAGAACCGGGGAGGCCGTGTAGATCTAGGTTAACGCGCAGCCCGTACCTGCGACACCACTCGATGGCGCGCAGGAGGTAGCGCCATGAGGTGCGGAAGACGTACGGGTCGCCGTCGTAGGTTTGGACGGCCCAGTAGGAAAAAGGGATGCGGACGTGGTCGAGGCCGGCGTCGGCGATCTCTTTGAAGGTTTGTTCCGTTACGAAGGTGGCGTAGTGTTTCTCGAACACAGACTCGCACCGGGAGCCGAGGTGCTTACAGAGTGTGTATTCGTCGACGACGCCCACTCGTAAGTCGTAGGCGAAGAGGGAGGGGGTGATAAAGGGCTCGAGACTGAGCCAGCCGCCGACGTTGACGCCGCGGGCCGGTAGCTTGGAGTAGTCACCCCATGGCTTGTTGAGAGCTGGGACACGGTCGTTGGCAGCTTTGGAATCGTCCCATTTGGAGAAGAGGCCCATGACGGGTAGGTCGCCGACCATCTGGGCGGTGTAGGTGAGATTGAAGTCGGTCGTGTCGGCCCATTTGAAAGGGTTTAGCCAGGTTGGGGCGTCGGCGGGGATGTCGTCGGGTGAGATGTCGTCCAAGCCTTGGGAAGGAGTGTCATCACTGTCCTTGTCACCGTCGTCGCCTGACTTCTTTTGGCTGACGGTAACGGCGATAATGATAATGATGATGACGATAACCACACCGATGCCAACCGCAATCCATAGCTTCTTCCGTTTCCTTTTGGGTGGGGACGACCCTATTTCATCCGACATCTTGTCCACGGAGTCATAACCACTACTGGAAGACATACTTGGCCCGCCATGTCCGCCACGGAGATTTTGGAATCTTGCCATAAAGCCGCCTTTCTCTAGCATGCCACCACTCACATTCCGTGCCCTTATTCCTTGTTCGAGCATAGGGCCGCTAGCCACCCTAAGCCGACTTGTATCCTCCCTTCTTCTGTTATCTGGACGTAACCGCTCATAGCTTTTAGGTTTGTCAGGTCTAGCATCCACCACCCGGTAGCCCTTGTCGTCACTGTCTGTCCTCCTATGCGGGGTAAGGCGTTGATACTCGTCGTCGCTCTCCATGGCCGATGCCCTTTTCCTCGCCCTTTCGTCCCTTTTCCTTGCCGTAAGATACTGGTACTCATCGTCGCTATCGGGTGGTACCATTCTCGGCTTGGATGGTCGTGGTCTGTCGTCCCTGGCGGCATCTCTGGAATCTCTCGGCCTCCTCGAAGTCGAGTATCGGTACTCGTCCTCGCTTTCCACCGCAGCCACTCTTGGTGGTTTGACCCTTGCTCTCTCTCTGTCCCTCTCGCGATCCCTTTCCCGCTCCCTTTCCCGTTCCCTTTCGCGTTCCCTTTCGCGATCTCTTTCCCGCACTCGCTCCCGCTCTCTTTCACGCTCCTTTTCCTGTTGCTCCCGCTCCCGCTCCTTCTCGCGCTGCATCCTTGACTGTCTCCTGGCCTCACGCATGCGCTCCCTCTCCTTTTCCTGCTCCCGTTCCCATGCTATATCCCTCTCGCTCTGGGCATCGAGGCCCCGCTCGAGAGCCTTTTTGACCTCTTTCTTTGGGCTGGCTTTCCGTTTTGCATTCTGCTTGTTGAGCTGGGCCAGAGCTGCTGCTGAAAGCGTTGCCGAACTGCGATTTGACGATTCTCCTCTGGTTTCGCCTCCTCTGGTGATTGGCGGTACGCTGGTGCCAGACTCGGGTCTCCTGCTTCTGCGCCTTGGATCGCGACCAGCGCGGTCATCATCACTATCCCTGACCGCTGAAGAGTTGCGGCTGCGTCTCTGCGCCGACTGTCTCCTGGGTCGGTAGTCCCGTTCTGGGGAGGAATCCCTTGGGGGTGGCATTATTGTTGCGCGACAGCCACCTCCTTAAACCGACTGCTGCTGTATGCTAAGAAGAGTGAAAGAGTCATGATATGGAAGAGAAAGAAGAGGCAACCCAGATCTGGGATTCAGGAGGTGAAATTGTTAGTCCCTGGATTGGAGCCCCCGAGCCGCTGCTTGCTGAGTGGAGTGGTGACGACGACCCCTGCCACGCTATTTTCTGACCTGTTCCCTGCCAACTCTGCTGCGCCAGCAGGTGTGTCCCGAGCTGAGGTGTTCTGGCTGCCGTGTGCTGATCCAGGGCTTCAGTTCAGGCTTCCAGCACTTGTTCCTTCTGAGGCGTTTTACAAGTCGCATTGCACCCAGCCTTGGTTTCCAGCTTGGTCTGACTTGGCTCAGGTGTTGGAGAGAGCTGCCCTGGACGATAGTTGGCTGGCCAACCTCATCCACTGTTTAAGTTGCCAACCTCTCGATCACAATCTAGTCACAAATCAGGATTCAAGCGCCGACGGGAAGACTGAAATACGAAAGCCAAGGGGGCTTGGAAGCAGTCTTAGGTAAGCCAGGCACGACGATGCTCTTATTTAACATCAGAAAGGCCGCATCATGTCAACTGATATGCGGCTTGTCTTCCATCTTTGTCACTTGGGATGAACCAGTTCCTCTCATACTGTTTGTTTATCTCCGCTAGGACATCGCGGCGCTTGTCCCCATTCCCGTGGGCATGGCGGATACCGAAGCGTGGACAGGGCAGGAGCATCCACTAAACGGAACCAACGCACGGACTGCTAAACTTTGAAGACTCCAAAAGGCGGGGAAGATGGATGCCGAGATGGGTCCTGTCTTCCCCTTGTGCTCCAGCGGGCAGCACCGCTAAAAAGAAGGCATGGGGCCCCACGCTGCACTTCATTTGTTGACAAGAGCGATCTCCAAGACACACGACTCCAACAAAGCCGTCGCAAGCCGACCGGCCGTCATTCAGTTTTGATACAATGCCGGTCTTTTGGGAATTGTGTCCCGTCGATAGGAGAATTTTGCCGTCTCCTCCTCTTCCCTTCCAAATATTGTGGTGTTTGTTGACTTGATTGTCGTCTCATCTTTTGGTTCCAAGCCCATCTTTCATCCTGTTTGTTGCAATTCACAATGAGAGGCTCAACTATCCGACCAAAGGCGCAATGTCTTCGTTCCCTTTCCAAGGGCTTGGTTCAACGTCCTTCAGCCGGTCTTCGATCTGTTCCCGTTGCCGCTACTTTGGCGTCCTCTCTCCAGTCGCAACGAGCGTACTCGACACATCCTCCTCATGCGAAGCTGAATCTCCCTACCGACTATTCGACAACCCCACTGCTTGCGCAAACATCACAGGTGGCGCTCAACAACCCTGAGTTGTCAACCGAAATCCGCAATGGCCCAACGAAGCGTATGAACATGTTCCAGGCTGTCAATGATGCTCTAGCCACCGCCCTGGCCCAAGACGAGTCGGTCTTGATATTCGGCGAAGACGTCGCCTTTGGTGGTGTCTTCCGCTGCACGGGAAAGCTTGCCGAGACATATGGTGCCGACCGTGTTTTCAACACTCCTTTGTGCGAGCAAGGTATCATGGGATTTGCCATTGGCGTTGCTGCCGAGGGAATGCGCCCTGTTGCCGAAATTCAGTTTGCCGACTACGTATACCCAGCTTTTGATCAGCTGGTGAACGAGGCCGCCAAGTTTAGATACAGGGATGGTTCTTGCGGACGGAGTGCCGGGGGTTTGACGGTGCGCATGCCCTGTGGAGGTGTTGGTCATGGTGGTCTGTACCACACACAGTCGCCAGAGAGCTTGTTCACACATATCCCAGGCTTGCGTGTGATCATGCCCAGATCACCCATCCAGGCCAAGGGCTTGCTGTTGTCCGCTATTCGCAGCAACGACCCATGTATCTTCATGGAACCCAAGATCCTCTACCGTGCTGCCGTTGAGCAGGTGCCCACCGGGTCTTATGAGCTACCATTATCCAAGGCTGAAGTGCTGAAGGAAGGAAAGGATGTGACCATTGTCTCGTATGGTCAACCCTTATACAAGTGCATGGACGCACTGCAGAAGGCCGAGAAGGACTTTGGTGTCTCGGTGGAACTGATCGACCTCCGGACCGTCTATCCATGGGATAAGGAGACCGTGTTCAAGAGTGTCAGGAAGACCGGGCGCTGTATCGTGGTTCATGAATCCATGGTCAATGCCGGTATTGGTGCCGAGGTGGCCGCTGCCATCCAAGAGGACTCGGAAACGTTTGTTAGACTCGAAGCTCCCGTGGCTCGAGTTGCCGGATGGAGCATTCACACGCCTCTCATGTTCGAGGCCCTGAACATTCCTGATGTTGCTAGTGAGTAAACCCTGCCCGTTGCGTGTCTGGTGAAGTGACGAGAAGCTGACATTTCATTAGGGATATATGCCAACATCAAGAAGGTGTTGAACTTTTGATGATGAGCCGGAAGAGAAAAACGGAAGAAGGGAAGATGGGGAACTCATAGCGGGCGTTTATCTCTAAGACAATGTCGGTTCTGGCGTTGCGGATGCAGTCTTGTAAATACCGTTGAATACTTGATCTTGTAACGATGCCTGTTGAAAGGCAACTCAACCAACTGCCATCAAGCTGCCCCAAACTCTATACTATACGCCACTGCATTAGGATTCACCGATCGTATGAATCTGTAGCTCGATTGTTGATATTGTGGATGGGTAATTCCTTTGCAGACGTCACAAAAGGTGAGCAGCAAGCTGAATTCAAGATCTTAACAACAGGCAGTTCGCCAGCTGGAAAACCCCTTGACAGCTGTCAGCCTCACAACCACAGCGTTCGTCAGATATCCACACCCCACTTCAGGCGGCCCCGCAGTGGTTTGGTGCCATCCCATGCTCCCGTCCAACTGACGGCGGCGGACATGCCCAAGGCGCAGCTCCATCATCTCTAGCAGCGTGGTACCGTTGATCGATACCGGCTACACCAACTAATCTACAACGAATCTATCGAACACCAAGTAAACAACTCAAAGAACCCTTTTAATCTTGCCTATTTCCTTTTAATTACCATTCGAACGCGAAACCATGTCATCGCACAAGGAGATTGTGTCCTCGTTCGTTGAGGGAGCTCCCCCTGGCGAGGTGCGCATCCTACACCGACATCACGAGGCTGAAGAGTGTATGCTAACATGTTGACGTACAGCTCGCCGATGTTGTTGCAGGCACGAAACCTCTCTCCGAATTTGCCCCGCCACCCTACTTTCTAACGATTCGAGCTTCCAGACATCAAGGCCCTCACTAGCTCGACCCCTAACCTGCTGAACGAGCTCGGCCCGGCGTTCCAGAAGTACAACGAGGAACAGTTTGCGACGGTGAAGCTTCCCGGCGGTAGCCAACCCGTTATCATCAGCTCCCACAGCTCCCTGGAAGACGGCCGCTACTACGATGTTGAGAGCTCCTCGAGCTTCGCCTACGACCACATTACTCAGGTTAGCCCGCCCACGGAGCAGCCAATGGAAGACGGAAACACATGGAGCAAGTCAATAACACCAAGCGCCTACAGAAAGCCAGCGATGTCCAGAGCCACGTTCTAGAAGGCGAGCAGGCCGATTTGGTGTAAGGATAACAAGGGCCTATGGGACAGCGAGAATTGGAGCGCAGGGCTGATGTCAGTTGCAGGAAATCCACGATTAAGGGGCTTTCGGCCTACGTCAAGGAGCACTTCCCGAATGCCGCCTATGGCGCCTACCCGATAGCGAACGACTCCAAGGTCGCGGTCATCATTGTCGCGAACAAGTACAGCCCGAACAACTTCTGGTATGTTGCTCTGGGAACGGAGCTATCCCCTTATCGCATTACCCGCCTTTTCCCGCTAACACGAGGTAAACAGGAACGGACGTTGGCGCTCGCTATACATCTACGACCCTTCCAACAGCTCCATTGAGGGCTCAATCAAGGTAGACGTGCACTACTACGAGGACGGAAACGTGCGCCTGTTGACCAACAAGATGGTCAATGTGAACATGTCGTCGGGCACCGGCAGTGGCATTGCCAAGGAGATCTCGGTGAACGAGAAGAAGTACCAGGAGGAGTTGAACAAGAGCTTCACCAGCCTCAGCGAGGGCGCTTTCAAGGGCTTGAGGAGACAGCTGCCGGTGACAAGACAGAAGATCGAGTGGGACAAGGTTGCCAGCTATCGCCTGGGACAGGATATCGGTGGTGGAAGCTCTAGGCGGTAATGGGTGTTGCGGAAGCATAGAGTGATATAAGTCTAGTACGAAGGGTGGGAGAGCGAGCACTGCTGGCAGTGACCAATACCAATTCAAGTCAATACAGAAGAGCCAAAGAAGGAAAAGCACAGCTCAACTTGTGGTGTGCTGTGTCAGCGGCTGTTCAGGACTCGGGATCGGGATGTATCCGTGATCGCTGCCCGATGTTACAGCTGTGGGGAATTGGTTGAATGGGTCCCGCAACAATGGCTCTAAGAACGGGAACTTGTCTCGGCGTTTTCCCCTCACCCAGCACTAGATAACGTAGAAGAGGACGGAAATCTCGAGTGCTGCTTGTCCCGGCACGGCCTGACACATATAAATAACTTCTACGGGAGCCGGAGAATCAAACGTCGGAAAAAGGTGGCCGGTGTTCGCGACGCAAGAGGGCAATGGAGCCGAGTCGCATACCCGTTGGGTGCCGTGGGATGTTCCCGGTCGGGATCGACCCCTTGAGGTCCCCATTTCAATCCCGCCGTTCGGGCGGTGGCCGTGGGTTCCTCCACAATTCCGACTCGGAGGAGTCTTGTTGAGTGCAAGTCTGTGTTTGTTCCAATCACATGCGGTTGCATAATTTTGCTTGTTTCTGATTGGATTCGTGTGGCCCCTGTCCTGCTTGTGCTTCTCGGTACCCATTGGTACCGCTAGTGGTCTAGCTTCCTCAGAAGGCTGTGTTGGCCTGTGTGCCGTTTCGATTTCGGCTTGTCAAAGCTATCTCGCAGTACCCAGTTGCTAGTGCCCCCAGGTCCCCTCCAGTCGATCCAGTCAGTTCCCCGTGAAACCATTTTTTATCTTGACTTTTCCCTCTCCCCCCTTTCTCTCCTTCTCGCATCTCGTCGCCGGCGTTAACTTTTCCCCCACGATCATTGCTTTCAGCGTCATCTCGGTCCTCCCATTCATCCGATTTCCAGGGTAAGTCAGGAAGCGCGCAATGGCTCGGGTTTGGGCCTGGTCTTGTCCCCTTGTCCATCGGTTATCAGGGCGGCCGTGCTGACTTGCTATCAACCACCTGTCCAGAAAAAATCCCACAACACCGTCAAGATGGCCGCCGAGTTCACCTACCAGGATGTTGCCGAGCACAACACCAAGAAGGATCTCTACGTCGTGATCCACGATAAGGTGTACGACATCACCAAGTTCGTCGACGAGCACCCGTAAGTTTGTCCCCGTTCTCTTGCGCCTGTGCCGCGCTCCTTGCACGTTCCCACACGTTCCATCCGTCGCGTCCTCTGGTCCCCGACTTCCCGCACTTCCCCGCATTGGACACTCGGCATCTGCAAAGAGGAAACATGTGCTGACCCGGTTTTGTTGCGTGATAACAGCGGTGGTGAGGAGGTTCTCCTTGACGTCGGTGGCCAGGACTCGACCGAGGCTTTCGAGGATGTCGGTCACTCTGATGAGGCCCGCGAGGCCCTCGAGCCCCTTCTTGTCGGCACCCTGAAGCGCCAGGTAAGAACGCTTCCCCGTTCCCAGATACTATACATACTTGGCTTCGCTTCGGATCCCATTCGCATGTGATGACTAAACAGTTTCAACTGACCTTTTGCCCTTTTCAACAAACAGGCCGGTGACCCCAAGCCCAAGGCTCCCCTTCCCGGCTCTCTCGCTCCCGCTGCTCAGACTGGCACTGCCACCGGTCTCGGCGTCGGCCTCTACGCCATCGTTGTCCTCGGTGGTGCCGCTGCCTTCTTTGCCTACCAGTACCTCCAGGCCCAGCAGGCCGCCGCTGCTCCCAGCGCTTAAACGCACCCAATCGCAAACCTTCCGGTTGCTTACTAACCTATCGGCTGTCGACCCGCGCCGTGAGAGGCACGGAAGATCCGAAGAAACGAGAAACTCCGTTGCAAATATTCGGGGAGAGGATGGGGAAAGCCCGCCCAAACACATACGGTCAACAAGAATCTACGGGTAGCATTTAAACGACGTTTAATGATCGAAAGTCTACACCCCCATCGACGACGATCCTTGCGCGTCTATCCCTCAAAGTGAAGCCAAGGTATCATCGAGGGCCTTTCTTTACCGGCGGGTTATTCTTTCCCCACTTACCAACCATTTTCGACGGACAGAAATGCCATGAGACGGAGATGAGTTTTGAGCGAGCCTGAACGCTTCCTTCGTTGAGAAGAACAGATCATTTTACCCTTTAACTAGGTGTTAGGATATATGGGAACAGAGAAGGATCATCACGGGAATAAACATACATTAGTCGTTACTTCTCACTTGAAATACAGAAAGTATTTGAACATAAATACAGAGCTACCTCATCGTGGATCTGGTCTGCCATTTCGACAATGTTGAATGGCCTTTGTTAGCCTACGGGTCGTTTATTGCAACCTAGCATTACCCCGGAGCTTTCTCAGTGAATGGAAATTGTCATCGCTTACGAGGGGGATACTTCCTTTCCAATCTTCAAACGAGACGTCACGGCTGTAATAGTGACACTGGTAACTGATTGTACCTGTTATTTCAACTGAACGGTATAGATATCGACTCTTGACTTGACTTGAATTCAGTATTTGTCACTTGTCAGTTCTAGGGGTACGTACGTGCAGATGCCAGTCCGTAGAGGTAGGTAGATGGTGAGCCGCGAGAGACGTCACGGTGGCGAGTGTGGTTTTTTCTTCACATGCAAAGGTACAAATTTCGTCTTTCGTCCCATCCTAGTGGGACTTGTTTCAACCTTCCATACTCACAGAAACGGTTCAGGCCTTCTCTTTACCACAACAAGCCCATTCTTCTTCAAAATGAAATTTCAACGCTGCCAGGTGGTCAATCGAAACTCAAGCCACAAAGCGAATTGGGAGGTCGCATCCCCTTGTGACGGGAGGATCACTTGCAAGGCTGAAGCGGCACCACTGCAGTTGCACCCAGCCCTGAAAATTAGGTACCCCGTACCCCATCGCGAATCACGGCTTAGCGGCGTCTGGAACCCCAACCCCAGCTCACAGGTTCCAGCGCATGGGCAATCAATGATCCATTCATCCTGCGCCCCGACCAGGCTTCGAACAAGAAATCCATTCCTCATTCCTTTCAACAACGAAGACCCGTCCACCCGACCTCTCACCGTCGCAAACCACCGACAAAGCATCTCGGAAAACGATCCTTGACGTCCCGACGACACACGTACCCGTACTCCTTCCGAATCCCGACCTGAAACTTTATTGTCACCTGTCACCAAGGCCGACCGACATTCGAAATCGCCCACGATGTCGAGCTCACTCGAGCGTCAGCAGGCGTCTTTCATGAGCAGCATGTCCGCCGCTTCCTCGAAGCTGGCGGGCACCAAGCGCGCTCTCGCCCCGCCATCGCCGTCGCCCTCAGTCGGCTCCGTCGCCTCAGCCATCGCCGCCGGCAACGGCACCCCTCGCAAGGCGGCGGCAGACCGCGTCGACACGCCCGCCCACAACATCGTCTACTCGCAGCCTGCTGCCACTGGCACCGGTCTCAACATCATCACGCAGGTGACGTACGCGATCGCCTGGCTCCGCGGCAAGGATGAGCCGCGCACGTACCTGGAGATCCTGGGCCACCTTTCGGGCCTGCACTGGAGTCCATCGTACCAGGAGGAGTTCGTCGAGGCGATGCGCCGCACGCGCGAGATCCAGTGGATTCCCGACCCGAACCTCTCCGAGCAGACGTGGCAGAGCGGGACATACCTGCACCGGCCCAAAGTCCCGGGCGTTCGCAACAAGACGCAGCTACTGGCCTACCTGCAGAAGAAGACGGACGCGAGTTGCGTGGGTGTCAAGGAGTTGAAAGACGGCTGGCCCGATTGCGAGAAGGCCATCAACGAGCTCGAGGCTGAGCACAAGATCTTGGTGATCCGTATCAAGAAGGAAGGGTTGCCACGCTATGTCTGGTTGGATGATCCCAGCTTGTTCCACGAGGTCGATCCGGAGCTGAAGGTCATGTGGCAAAAGGTTGAGGTGCCGGGAACCGATACGATCGTTCAGCGACTCAAGGCCGCGTCACAGAAGCCGGCGAGCGAGGACCCAAGGGATAAGATGACAGCTGCGCCCAAGGCGGAGAAGAAGAAGAGGGCGCAGAGGAGGACGGGCAAGGCGACGAATACCCACATGGAGCATTTGCTCAAGGATTACAGCCATATGAAGCGGTAAAGCTGGCTCGTATCATGTGAGTCCCCTGGTTCTTTTGCACTGGTTAGGGAAGACGAACCAGACGGTTAATGGCAGGTGAAAATTTGCGGGGTCAGACGTAGTCATTACGATTGGAAAGTCAAGGGAGCCAGTTGCCTCGCGAAAACGAAAAGAGGCGATCCTTCATTATCATTTCGGAGTCATACAAGAGAACGTTGTCTTTTTTGTGGCTTATATCAACAGAACAACTACACGAACAAAGCATTTGGGAATGGCGTTTGAGAAGGTATCTCGCGGGGCAAGGGGGCTTTTTTTTTTTTCATGAACGCAATCAGAGAGGAGATACAGTAGAAGGTAAACTCTTACAAAGGAGATCTTTAAAGAGTGGTGGTATCAGAGTGGTCTAATTAGCGGGTTCATTTGATCGTCTTTTCGGTTTTTCGTTCACGGACTCGAAAGCGGCTTCAAGAGGGGGGGTACGTGAGAGACATGGGCAACAAAGTTCAGGCGTTTCATCGACGCCTTTCGGTCTTACTTTGAGAGACTCGCAACATGGATTTAGGGAAGAACATCAGCTTAACATTATAAATACACACATTCATCACACCATCGGGCACCCACAACCCAACTGTGTCTTCCTGTTCCTAAGGCCATGATATCTCAATCCGGCATTGTCATCATTTGAGCAGCCTCACAATGACGATCACCCACTTGACGCCATGGCCTTAATCAGCTCGAGACGGTTCCTGTACCCGCGCCCTCCTAAACCCACAGGTTCCGAACGCTTCCATGCAGTCAGCTTTGATGCGCCCAAGGGACTAGTCTTGAAAAAGGTCAAAACGTAGAACCGCAATTACGACTCCCGCTTGAACATAAAACGTCCATCTGATCAGCGGCCTGGTCACCTCCACCCATAGGCGACTCCCACCCTCAACATCTGTCATTACTCTCATTCCATGTAGTCCCTCAAAGCTCGGCACTGAAAGAGAGCTTCGTGGCCCATCCATCAGGTTCCTCCTTTCCCGTAAATCTCGTATGGTGACCTTACTCCTTCCACTCATCCCTCCCCAACTTGACAATCTCATCCTGCTCCAACACCCACCACTTTGCGGGCGCCTTACCCTCCTCCGCCATCCTCACCGCCTTCACCGCCGCCCGCGCAATCACGTCCGCCTCCTGCGCCCAGCTGTCCTGGAGCCAGCTCTGGCTGACCCACTTGCCCAGCCCTCTCACCGCGCTAACAAGCAATCCCTGGCCGGGGAAATGTGCCTTGTCTCTCTCTCCCAAGATCAGGCCCGGACGGAGGATGATCCCGTGCTCGAACTCGAGACTCTGGATCGTGTCCTCCACCCCGCGCTTCATCTGTGAGTAGGGGACCTTGCTGCTCAGCAGCGAGCGCGTTCCAGCCGAGGAAACAAAGACGAAGTTCTTGACGCCCGCTTGCTTGGCGGCCTTGGCCAGGTCGACGTTGAGGTCGTGGTCGATCTTCCACTGGTTGGCGATGCCGCCGGCTGCGCCGCGGGTGGTGCCCAGGGAGGAGATGACGGTCGTGGGTAGAGGGACCAGTGATGAGAGCAAGGTTGGCCAGGTTGAGGTGTCGGCGTTGACGGTTGGAGACAAACGGGTGGAGTTGGTTGGGTTCGAGGGGGCGCGGCGCGAGATGGTTTGGATTTGGGAGGCAGTCGAGGGTGAGGTGAGGAAGGTTGAGAGGATGTGAGAGCCGACGAGGCCCGTGGAGCCGATTAGGGCGATGGAGGAGGTTGAGGAGGTCGACATGGTGATGTTATTCGTTGATGGTAGCTAGGTTTTTGAGATGGTACTTGAAACTTGGTGCTTGTTGGTGGTTGGTGATGAGAGAATATGCGAAGAGCTGTTGCAAGGAAGTGAAAAGGAAGCTCATGAAGATGATGAAATTCCAGTGGGGTGGTTTATCAATGAAAGCCACGCGAGCACAGAGGAATGAAACCGTTTTGGTAAGGAAATGTGGGGAAGCTTTCATTCAGGTAACGGCGCTAGGATAGACTGCCATATGATGATGGATTACCTTCGTTGCCTATGGTAGAATGCCCCCGAGTCGGCGAAGATTTTTGTAAGCCTAATTCTGACTGGGTTGAAGTTAGGAAGCTAAGCGGTTACATAAAATCGTAATAATTAATGATGGTGGCTGCGATGAACGCGGTGTATATTTCATGTGTAAATTATCTGGTATTGCTCCGCACAATAGACTGACAAACGGAGAAGCAATTCAGAAACGGCGATTGCAAGGGTTTGACTTGGAGAATCATGTGCGGAGCTTTGATGGAGCCGAGCTCTAAATCACAGAGAACCCTGATGGACAATCAACGGCCTCAACTAATCGAGCCTCAACAAGCTTCCGGTAGCTTACTTCGACTGATTTATACATGACCATTGTCACTTGCATTTATTTCTCTTGGTCGACAAGAAGGTATCATGATGCAATTGAACCGATTTCCGTCAACAATATGGCCACTGGAGAAAACAAAAACACTGAAGGCGTTCGGAGCTCAATGTTGGTGTCGTCATAGAAGCAAGGAACCCAAAGTCTAATCTGAACTGGACCCTAACCCTGGCGCTCTCCCCGGAAAACCGCATTGCCCCACTCATCCCCAATTTGGAGCTAAGAAATCGCAAAAGAACTTTCCTAAAGTCTCGACTGGAAAAAAGTCAACATTGCCCCTCCATCCGCCAAAATAAAATCAGCAATCGCCCAACTTCACGACCCTGTGCGCTCTCTACGTAGCACTTCTCGCAACACCACTACCATTGCACTGAAAACGCCAGCTCTTCAACCCAAAAAAACAATAACTAAAACAGCAATCATGGCTACCCCCACCCCAGGTGAGCTTTTGCGACAAGCAGATCAAGCAGCGAGAAAAAACACCGAAAGCAGTGACTAACAACCCGCCCAAAACAGCAACCTGCCAATCCGAATTCGAGCAAGGCGTTGCCATCGCCCTTCACCTCTGGCCCGCGCTCTCGCTCGCCGTGCAAAACAACTGGGGCGGTCCCGACTCGGCCGACAAGCGTGACTGGTTCGCCGGCGCCGTCGTCGACCTCTTTCCCGATCTGAACAAAGTCCTCGCTCCTCCCCAGTCCGAACGGCAACAGCAACAACAGCAACAAACGACACAAAAGTCCAAGTCCGACGACCATGAAGAAGCGACAGAAGAACCCGACCAGCTCGACATTGAGACCGTCCTCCTGCAAGTGATGCTGGACGAGTTCGAGGTCAACGTCGACGATGATTCGGCCTTTGAGGTGGCCGAGCAGATTTTGCGTGTGCGCCTGGGCTGCTTGAAGGGCAAGTTCGACGAGGTGGATGCGCTGCGTCGCAGGTTTGAGGGCAAGGGAGGCAAGAACGTGGTCTTCAAGAAGGCCGAGGACCAGGATAACGACACCGATTGGGACACCGATGACGACGAGGAGGCCGACAGTGATGAGGAGATGGGTGAGGCGCCTGCGTTGGTGCCTACGCAGCCTAAGGAGAAGGTGGAGCCTGAGGTGGATGAGGATGGATTCACCAAGGTTGTGGGCAAGAAGAGGAGGTAAAGTCGTTTGTCAACGTCAAGACTTGAAGGGTGAGAGGGGTGGTGGAAAGGGGTAGTTGTGATGGGAGGACGATCATATCCTTGGTTGGCCCCTTTTCGCTGGTCGAAGAAGAGGCTGGTCAGGGTGAAGAAGCAGATGAGGAGCAACGAGGGAAAGCCGGAGGAGCAAGCAACAGCGACTTGCTCTCCCAGGCTCTGCGCAATGGGATTTGCAAGAAAACAGAGTCGCTATATTGATGGTCACAGCAACATTCGGGCTCATCTCACATTACTTCGAAACCTTCAACCAAACCAACCAAGTTTAAACGCCGACTCAAGCCAATATTATCATCGCCCGTATACCATTACAGTCGTGTCCAGCACATGTACTCAACAACTCAATTCGCCCCTTTAACCTCATTCTCTGAACGTTTTACTCCCAGTCTTCTTCATCGCTGCTCTCATCGACCTTGCGACCCTCCTTGGGGCTGTTGGGCGCACGGCTGGGGACACCAGAAGCAGCGCCAACGACGTCATAGCTCGCTTCGCTGTCGGCCTGCGACTTCTCGTCATTGGACTTTCTGGGTTCCGAGGGCTTCAGACTGCCCTGAGCGGCGGCGGCGCTTGATGGTGGGTGGATGGTGGTGGAAGATTCGGTCGAGGAAGATCGCGCGGCCGGCTTCTTGGTGGAAGCTGGCGCAGCCTTGTCCTCTCTGGATGTCTCTTCCTCCGAAGAATCTTCCTCCTCTGAGGAATCCTCATCCCAACCCACTTCCTCTTCAGCAGAAGCAGCTGTATCAATGGTAACTTGTTAGCATAGCGTCCGTAGACAATGGAGAAGGACGAAAACCATCCCAAAATCCATCCAAATCCGTTCAATAAGGAATTGACTCTCTTACCCTTGAGCAAATCCCTCCTCCTCGCCTCAGCCGTCTCGATACCGTGCCTCAAGAAGTAGTACCTCTTCCAGAAACCCGCATACGGCACCTGGTCAGGCACCAGCTTTTCCATCGTCGCCCTAAGCTCGGGGTACTTGTCCAAATCCGCCGCGATTGCCTCCGTCTTCTTGTCAACATCAAACTCCTTGACCCAGGCGTCGTACTCCTGTCCGCTCGCAGGCTCCCTGCTGAAGCTCTCGGGAGTGGTGTGGATGACGTGCAGCTGCGCGTCGAACCGCGACGTGTGAATCACTCGCTTGCCCTGCGCGTCCTTGCTCTCGAAAAGCACGCCATTGCTATTCCTGCCCTCCTCGGTCCGCTTGGCGGCTTCCTCTTCGCTCGGCGGGGCGATCTTGATGGCGTCCTTGAGGAAGTCGCGCAGGTTGGAGCCGAAGCGGAGGAGTGCCTCGTCGGCGGCGTCTTCGGCCTTTTGGAGGTCCTTGAGACGTTTGGCGGCCTCACCACGGAGCCGGGCGAGGACCGAGTCGTCTTCCTGCTGCTGCTTCAGCGAAGCCTCAGCGGACAGGTCCTTGGCGGTTGTCGGGGTCGTTTGTTCGTCTTTGGAAGTGGTAGAGGAGGATGAGGAAGCCGCCGCCACTCCAGACGAGGCGGCGGCGGCGGCTGAGGCAGCGGCTTGAGTGGTGGCTATGGAGAGAGCGCGGGTGCGGCTGATGAGGGTGGTGCGCAGGTCGCTGAAACCACGCGTGGCATCTTGACTGACGGCTGAGAGTTCCTTTTCTGCTTCGCGGTAGACGGATTCACCCTATATGAGTTTGGAAAAGGGCAAGAGTTAGTTCTAGTTGGTCAAGTTCGGTGGTGTCGCGCTACTTGAGGAATGTCTTTGTTGGTGAGGTGAAAGGCGGTGACCACCTACCTGCTTCACAACATTGCCGAGGAAACCCCCGATCCTCGCACCCCAGGGACTGTTCGAAAACGCGCGATAGGCATCTTGAAACTCGGCGTTCAACGTCGGAGGTTGAGCTGGCGTCTTGTCCGATGACGAGGAGGCCTGGTTGTCATCGGCCAAGGTCTCCTCCTGGATGTGGTCATATGCGACATCCATAGCTACCTACTGTATGGATGTGGTCGACGACGTCTGCAATGAGCTTGGTGGTACTTGGGTACTGTTTCCAAAGGATTGGAGGAACGTGTGGATGGATAAGATTCTGCCAAGAACTATGATTTTACGATAACGCCGTTGGATGTGATCACGGTTGCAGTCGATGTGTTGATTGTTTGGCGCAACATTGGAGAGTGTCGATTCTCTGGTGGATGGGAGGCTGATCGATCCCTTGAATCCCCGCCGCATCTGTAGCGCTGCCGTCTTGCCCGTGTCATGGTGCCGCATCCACTGTGGGGAAATGCAAGCACTGCAGCGAGCAGCAACCGCCGCCGGGAGAGACATGCCCAGAAGCACGGGCCTTTCTACAACAGAAAGACCGGGACTCGATCGGCTTTAACCACATGTTAGTCGGTGATACTACCGTTCTTTGAGACTCACACTTGTGAAAGCCGAAGCTGACCACGAGACAAGCTTATCGTGTCTGTCCAACATGGCCTGATTTTGTGGACCCAGGCTCGCCAGGTCGTTGGGTGTCTTTGCCAAACACCGGGCGGATCGGCATCGCAAGCCGCTTGTAAACATGGGATATTTTGTAGCCACTCGGAGACAAGCCTGGCAGACGTCCCATCAGTCGTTGGAACTGCCGACAAGAAACAACATGGGATCTTCAATGGCATGATATCGACCATTTCGAGAGTCTCGGACACAAGGTGGAAAACCATGCTAAAATGCTAGTTGCGATGGTAGGAATCCGAACCGGTTGCGCCCATCTATCTACCTCCTTAACACAAATTCACATGGCTTTGTCGCCGTCGCTCGGTTGGACACCGTACCCGTGGTTTAGGTTTAGATTGATGCGGAGAGTGCATTGACAGTTGGCAGCGGCAACTCTGTTGCTGGAACCCGCTCACATTAAATTGGTCAACGCCATCCTGTTTATGTAGTGAGACACAATGGAGCAAAGGAATCCCATCTAGGAAAAGATACCGACATTACATATCGCGGAAACGGTCCGACTGATTTTCTGCATCCGAGATAACTGGCAGTTCTTTTGTTGGATGCATGGCTTGGGATGAGTGTCACCTGCACGTCAAGTGTACTGCCAGTTGCCAGAATCTGTCTGACAGGCACTGGCAGAGTGTCAGGGGCACGGCGGAGGAACAATCCAGACGTTCGATTGAGTCTCGCTGACAAATTGACTTGGACAACGACCCCTCCACACTCCACTTGGAAACCCCCAAGCGTGCGCCAATTGTGCTGTCCCGTGTAGCCTGCACTGCATTCTGTGAGTTTGGCCCTGTAAATCGAAGGGCGTCCACTCTTTCTCCCGCTTTTGGACAAGTCTCGCCTAGTCTCGTCCCCCCATCGCCAAAGAGTGTCCAAGAGTCCTTCCATTCTGAGATCCGAATCGTTTCGGATAACCAACGAAACACAATCCTGCTAGGCAGCTTGTTCGCCTCTCCAATCGCAGAAAAGGAGCACCCGCGGGATCATACCTTGATCCTGAACCCAATTGCTGACAGGAATCAGAAAAGGCTGAGTGTGCCAGGTGAGTCAGGTGTCAGGCCGACGACGACTGCCATCAAAGTTCAAGTCGGCGTCCGCCGCCATCCCGCCCACTTGCAGCACTGCAGTGGCCAACGGTTCTGCTCCAGCAGTTGTCACTCAACCCTTTCTGGCCGAACCACTCAGGCACTCAATTTTCTCTCCCCTTCTCACCTTCCTTCGACCACAAACTTTCCCCTGATATCTTTACCTCTCAGTCCTCTCCCTGCTCCGTGCAATTACTTTACATCCGCGCCTTTGTGACTTGCCACTCGGACCAAGTCCCCTCTCTTGTCTCAGTTATTGCAGTAGAGACACTCTACCCTTACTGCCTACTCTCGTTTTGATCCCCCGGCAAGCCTTATCGCTTCCACTCAAGCAGAACGTCTTTCGTCAGTTGGGAGGCAACTTGAGTCTGGGAACTACCTAGAGAATCGGAAGCGAACTGGACAGGAACTGGAACTGCCCGGTTTTGTGTTCCGTCCTAGTCCGCAACGGTCAACGGTGCAGCGGTCAACGGTCTTTTTTGTGCCTTTCAGCCTGCCAGTTGCGTGGCCGGTGGCTCGTCCCCGTCCGATCCAAAGCCCGCCTCAGCCTACGGTGCTGTCAAAACGTCATCGTCTCCGCAAGAGAGATCTTTATCGTCACCAGTACTAGCACGCACGAATAGCATCTGATCTACCCCGACATCAGTCTTCCGACTTGGACATACGTACGTCTTGGGCCCGGTACCCCGGATTCTCCGCTAAACGTTTTGCCATTGGACCCACGGTCTTGATACTCGACAATTCCGCCTGTGCGGCTTCGACCGCTGGGAGCAATCAGATCACGAAAGTGACTCCGTCCCATCTTCTCAACACCCAAGGTCTCTCACATCGATTCAACCCGCTGCACTGTCTCCTCCTAGTCACCATCTCGAGCACAGGACAGCCAAAATGACGTCGACTCAGAACCCCCTTCACAATCTCGTTCTCACCCCGCAGCAACAAAGCCTGTTGTTTGCCGCTCTCAATTCAAACAAGCCCACCAACATACAACCTGACTTCTCTGGTCTACCGGCAATGTACAACGGAGCGTCTGCTCAAGGACTCGACCCTATGGGTTTCCAGCACACCCCAAATTTCGGTTACGAATACGGCCTTGACGGACAACATGATCCCAACTTCGATCTCACCTTCGACACTGTTGACCAATCCCACATGACGGACGACCGGTCCAATGCTGCAAGCGATTCCAAGTCGGGTTCCGCCGATGGAGAGTCTCCCGACAAGCGCAGTCATCCGGATGATGACGACGAGGAGAACAGCGAGCCGAAGAGGAGAGAGGGTGAGGGAAAGGTTGCCAAGAAGCCTGGTAGAAAGCCTCTGACCACTGAGCCCAGTTCGGTAAGCCTGCCTCGGTCGTCCGATCCTGCCAGTCCCAGCAAGGATCGCTACTAACATGACAATAACAGAAGCGCAAAGCCCAGAACCGAGCGGCTCAACGAGCTTTCCGAGAACGCAAAGAGAAGCACTTGAAGGACCTTGAGAATAAGGTCGAGGAGTTGAAGAAAATCTCCGAGACTGCCAACCATGAGAACGAGGTTCTTCGCAAGAAGATGGAGAAGATGAGCAACGAGCTCAATGAGTACAAGAAGCGTCTGTCTTTGATGACAGCTCGCCCACCGATGGTTTCACCTCGGGCTATGCCGTTCGGCAACTCATTTGTCAAAAACATGAATGAAGTTGACTTTACCTTCGATTTCCCCAAGTTTGGCGGTCCTCTTCCTGGGCCACACCTTGCAAATCAGCCCACGAAGGCAACCCCTGTGCCGCCCCCTTTGTCTTCAACGGACCGACTGGAGCAGTCCACAAATGGTGTCAATAGCGATACTACACACAATTACGGCCAAATTGGCCTCGATACACAAACCAAGGAGGGTTTGGCCCACTACTCGGCCGACCTTTTCACGCCTCAATCGGCACGCGGTGAGGGAGCAAATTTCTCGACCACTGGAACGGAATCTCAGTACAACGCGGGGGCCGGCACATCAACGAGTTCACCGTCTTCTTCTACTTCGCACATGGGTGGCGCTAGCTCGTCGTGTGGCACATCCCCCGAGCCCCTCACCCATTCACCCGCCGGGTTGAAGTCAGTTGATGCTATGGCGACAATTGGAGAAGAGCAGCCAAGTGTCATTGGCTCAGGTCAGCCAGGTAAGCGTTCGCCGGTCTTGAATGTTTGTATTTACCATATAAGCCGAAGTTTACTAACGCTTCATAGACTTCAATACATTTGGTGTTGACAATGCTCTCAATTGGTTGCCTCAAGACAACTTCCAGTTTGATCCACAGCTCTTCGGAGACTATCGAGAGCCTCAGAACAACGTCCTCAACAACGGATTTGACGATTGGGTGACTTACGATGCGGGCGATGCAGATTTCCTGACATCGTATAACCTACTGCCGACAGCTCCAGGACTGCTGCCACCACAGCCCGAAGCAGAAGCACAACCAGCGAAGAAGGATCTCATCACTCAGATTGATGAGGTGAACGCATCAGATGATGGACCCGGAGAGCAACTTGATTGCAACAAGATATGGTATGATCACGTCGAGAAAGTACTCGAGGTTGTAACCTTCACTAACAACTTCAATAGGGACAAATTGCGCAGTTGCCCGAGTGTACAGAACCAAGAGATCGACATGGACGCTTTGTGCACCGATTTGCAGAAGAAAGCAAAGTGCTCTGGCTATGGTGCTGTGGTTGATGAGAAGGAGTTCAAGAGTGTGTTGAAGAAGCACTTAAGTCCTGAGGCAATGGCGAGGTGCGAAAAGGACTGTGAAGAGGAAAGAGCACGCAAAGCAGCCGCCGCATTGTAAGAGCGGCTCACTTCCATACATCTGACCGCATGGAGAAGGCTTTCTCCTGGTTCAGGGCTACCCCTTTCTGAGAACGCTTGTCTTAAATTCTCAACTGGCACCTCACAGTGGATGAATCTAATTCTTACTCACGTTACGGTTTTGTTCACATCGCGGCGGATTTCTTTGCTACATCGGCAATATGGTTTTCATCAAATCTCGGAGTTGGACGAACGTTGAACGATCCTGCCCCTTTTGGCTCGTCTACAAATCGAAGGTGGGAATACATCACGAATACTGGCAAGGAGTTGAGGAGGTGCCGGAGCATTTACAGCGTTGGGGAAACGGGCTTTCAGGTCCTAAATAGGCCGAGAGCGGGGCTGGTTACTGTTTCCTTCTAGCAGAATGGGTCACTCGGTCAACGCACTCAATGAGAATGCCTACTATGCGTGCTGGGCTGCAAATACTAGGCATTCCATTGTTGCGGCCACAAGACCATGGGGTTGCACTCCTACGTTGCTCTAACTGGCAGGATTTTGAGGAAGGCCCGGAGTTTTATCGGCTTTTTGATACACAGATGATCGGTTTCAAACGGGACCATATGACGTTCACTACGGATTTGAAGTATTTTTTTCAGTCCGTGGACATTAGCGAACTGTTTCATTCGGAATTCAATGGGTTATGGATTGCATGCGGCTTTGAACGGAATGGTATCTCATTATATCCCAACAAACTCACCACTCTTTTCGTGCTGACAAGGCATGGCCCTGATAGCTTAACCTAGAAATAATTAGTGTTCACTTCATCTTGTGGCCTCGTACTGTCATCTGCCTCTGAAATTGTCCGTTTCCTCAGGGTTGTAGGCTCTTACCAGTTACCACTCATCTGCTTTATCATCTTCCCCAACGTCACCTCGAACTGAATTCTGTTCATATTCTTTTCAGACCACCCTCCTCAAGACACTCCCTCGCTAAATTGAATCCCCACCATCACCATCACTAAGAACCGCAGCTACAAACTACCATCACTCCCGCTTATCCGCTACTCGCTCTCCTCCTAATTATCCACGCCAACACCGGCACCAACATGGAACCGGTCTTCGCAGAGTGGAGGAGGTAATCAGTCAAGGAATTGAGGGTTTCCCGAGATATAGTCCGGGAGAAGGGACTCAAGATTTGTGAGAGGAGTTGGTTGAGGGGTGTTGTTGCGCTATTGTTGATTCGGTATGGAGGTCGTTGCAGTTGTCATGGTTCATGATGTTTTTCGAAAAGGTTAGAACAGTAAAAGAGTCCACAAGCGCCTTTGTCTTCAGTCCACCCAGTTGTTAATTACACAGATATCACTTGTAGAATATGAACGCTCGTCGAAAGAAGCGATTACCGAGTCTCTGTCATGAATAGGTATTAGTCTCGACTGTTACCCGCAGATGTTTGATGGAGTGTCGGTGCCATAGGTCTATAACTGTCTTCACGGGAGCAGAGATCTGCCCCCAGCCGCTTCGACGTACAATATATCCCACTGGACTGGAAGATTGTCTCGAACAAGATATGGCGATAGGGTACAAAACAGGGATAACAAACATGGTATCCAAGTTGAATCACACTTTCATGAACACATCCAAGCGTGGAGCAAGATAGATATGATGATGCCTCATCATTAATGGTGCTCGAGGCCGACTCAAGTGGTATTACAGAGGGAAGCATTTCAACCACCTCTCTCCTCCCTCTCAAGACTGGTATATCTTACATGTTACAACCGTACTTCAATTCCGTCGATCTCTGATCCTGATTCTTCTTCACGACTTCCTTCCAACTCTTGCAGCCGTCAACCATTCGAAGACATTGCCCTTTCTGCCTCAGTCTCACTCATACCTGAAGAGCCAGCAACCCAAAGCTTCCCGAGAGAGTGTTCCCGGGCCAGATCCGAATGAAAGTTCAAGAGCGGATGGTTCTGTTCAAACGATGCAGATGACCCGATCCATTTCCAATCACCAACCCACTTAGGCACCACCCTCCCGCTTAGCATACTCCTCCTCCATCCTCTCCTCATAGACGCGATCAGCCTCCAACTCGGCCTCGGTCTTGGGCCTGCTGCTGCCCGCTCCGGTGTTCACTCCGGCGCCGGTGGGCTTCTTCTCCTGGTGGGACTCATGCTCCTTCTTGTCCTGAGCGTGCTGGGAGGCGTTAAGGATGCTGGAGGTGACGGTGTCGGGAGACATTTTGGTGGTGTGTTTGGGGTTTGAGAGTATAGAGAACAGTGTGAAGGTGTTGAAAGTGTTTGGGTTTTGAGTTGGTTGTAGAGTGTTGATCTCTCGAAGTCAAGAGAGACTGGTTGTGGTTGGTGGTGGCTTGGTTGGGTGGGGTGATTTAGATTAGTTTTTTGATCTGGTCAGTGTTGATGGACCTTGAGGAGAGTAGACACTTTTGTGGCTTGATGATGATGAAGATAGGAAGTGATAGTCGAGTATGATTTGAGGAAAATGTTCGTAGAAAGCGATTAAATATCAAGAGACAAATGCATTCTGGAAGGCTGCCTCCCGTGGCAAAGGTGGCGAGCAGATGTGGCTACGTAATACCTACGGTAAGTACGCGTCTTGTTGGGGGGCAATTTGGGGTAACATCTCGGCCAGCGTATATACGACGGAAGTTCTCCCAGCTTCTTTATTAGTTTCAAAACACTCGATATCCACCAGAACTCGGCCAAGTTCCAAACAGTAGTTTAGGTCTCGATCCTTGGCGTTTCCACCAGGCGCTTAGTGACGGGCTAGGTGCATGCTTGTTTGTGTTTTTGTTGTGTTGACAGAACGTTATTTGGAAGTAGAAGGTGCGAGACGGTGATAGTGGAGTCTACCTGGAACCAGCAGCACTAACACTTACACGCTGCGAGTTAACTTGGAACACATCGGTCAGCGAAATGCATGCATTCTGTACACATATGTAGGAAAAACAAGTTGCAAAACATCATCTCATCCAGAAATACCATTACCTAGGTATCATGGCATAGTCTAATTAGGCAACGACATCCAAACCCTCCATGAGCAAAATGTCAACACTGATATCGAAGTCTCTAAACCCCGCCGCTGAGCTCTTTGCCCAACCGAAACGACCACACCCAAGACTCTATCAACTCGTCATTCAAAGCTTCGCAACATCTCCCTCCGTAGCCGGCACACACTTCAACTCTATCCTCCTCCTAATCTTCTCTCTAATCTCAACCTCGGTATATGGGCTCAGCGTCGTAGGATCCAGCTCCTTCTCCTCCAGTGTCTCCGACTTGATCGTAGTAAACGTACTCCTCGTCGTGCTCTTCTCCACATCCGCTCCCTCAGCAGCAGCACTCGGCTTCGTAACCCTCGCAATAAACCTCGACCACCCCTCCATACACCTATCCGCCTCCCTCAGGTTCTTCAACAACATAGCAAAGCAATGCGGCATCCCCTCGTACTCCTCAAATGTCACCGACACCCCCTCGGCATGGAACCGCGCCGCCGTGAATTTGTCCTCGTCCGCTAGCATCTCCCACCCCGTGCAAATGTACGTCGGCGGCGCGCCGCGCCAGCTAGGCGCTAGCAGAAGTGACACGAGGGGGTGCATGATGTAATCGTCAGCGACGTACATGCTCATGCGTGGGGGGTTGGCGGGCCAGGCCGCGCAAGGGTCGCGGGACTTGTCGGCGTTGTCCTGCGCCTCGAGGCCGGGTAAATAATCGAAGGGGGCGTTGGTGACGCACGAGGGCGAGCTGTGCGTGATGTCCATCCAGGGCGAGTTGACGGCGACACCCGCAGGTAAGGGGACGGAGCGCTCCTGGCCGAGCCAGGACACGGTGGTTCCCGAGCGCTGCATTTGCATGAGGAGCTGGAGGAGCGCGAGCGAGAGGTTGCCGCCCGCGCTGTCGCCGGCAATTACGATGTGCTCGGGCTTCACGGCTTCGTGGAAGGCGTCGGCAGGTGGGTAGAGGAGGCCGAGGTATGAGACTAAGGCATCCATGACTGCCGCCGGGAACGGGTTCTGCGGCGCGAGCCGGTAGCGCACCGAGTAACACCTGCCACCGGTCCGCTTGGCGAGCTCCCTGCACGTGGGCCGATGGGTGGCCGGGTCCATGAGCCAGTAGGCGCCGCCGTGGAAGTAGAGCACCGTGGTCGGAGTCTTGACGTCCTTCATCATCTCGTCGTACTTCTCCCGTTCTGGGATCTCGGGCAGCTTCGCGTCCTTGGGCACGCCCGGCCTGTGTGCTGTCCACTCCGCCTCAACGGGAAGGACTTTAGGTAATTGGATCCTGGCCGTCTTGGGTTGGTCGCGGTCTTGAAGCCCGTCGATGACCTTGGTCAAGGTGTCATGGATGTGGCGCGCATCCTCCTCCGTTGCGATGGGTAGAGTGTACTTGCTGACCCATATCGTGCCACTGATCGGGGGCGCCCTCGAAAGCATTCTTTGAGTAGAAGTGATGCTCTTCGGCTTGGGGACGTCCATGAACGAGCGGATCATAGCGATGGTAAGTTCGGTTCGCAAATCCTGATATTTTGACGCCGGCGAGGCCTGCAACATGTGAAGCAGGGCCACCCGGGCCATAAGCGGGATTTTGGATACCAGCTGGAGGAAGAGGGCAGTGTTGTCCATGGCGGCGGGCTTCCTGGTGGATTTGGAGGTGACGGATGGGTTTGGTGGCGAGGACATGGTATCAGATCAAGAAGGAGGGAATTCTCTTTTATATCAGACCTTTAAACCCGGAGATCCATAAGAATAATGGGTATTCGGGTACCTAGGGATCCGTTCGTGCTGTAACAAAGTGTAGGGGCTCCTTGTCTAGTCGTCTTCTAGCGCTTCCACGTGGAGACTAGGGAAGGCTTGCGAGCGGAAGTATCAGTGAATCTGTGGAGTAGTTGTATTGTTTATCATGCTGGTAGTGGAAAAGGGAGCGAGTTGCGAGAGCCAGGCGAAGAATAACAATGCAGAAACACAGTATCCAGAGCAACGGACTTAACATGCATACCGTCCTTATCAATGTCACCTTGGGTTTGGACGAGACGAGGGCACTACGAGACTATGTCAATTGGCAAAGGAAGAAAGGAACAATGAATAGGTGGGGTTGATGTGGTTCCAAGCAAGCATTGCCCGAACAAGTAATAGCTACGAGGCTATGAAGATATGATTGGAAATCAAGACATGTCGGAGTTTTTGTTCTTTGGCATATGCAACCCTAGATCGAAACAAACAATCCATGTGGTGTACCTAGTCAATGTCTCGAACCCGGCATGTTAGCAAAGATTCCGTATCCGATCTCTCGGGAGCTTGGGTGCTCGTGCGCTACGCTGATGTAACATTTCGGCAGTGCCTTCAATACCTACCACAGTACATAAGTGGACAAAGTCCTAAGTAGAAGGCGATATGGCCATAGCCAAGTCGTCTCCCTCTTTGGCCGTTTGCGCATCTCTATTCGACCATGGCATATTTTGCCCCTCCCCTCCAGTTTTGTGGCTGAGGACAACTATCAAGAATTGCCTCGGCACTATCACAGCGGCGGTCAAAGACGGGTAGGGCGAATTCGGCGGTCAGGTGTACGAAATGTCTCAGGTCAGGTCAGTTCACGACCTAACATCAAGAAATGTGAAAATGATAGTCTTTGATATCGTGCTCTAATGCCATGTAACATCCGCGCTTAAAACCTTACAGAAATCCAAACGCGCTATCGTAATAGGGGACTGAATGAGTGGTCCCATGCTTCACAATGCTACTGTACCCTGTCCCGCTCAAACAACGTACAGGAGCCTATTACTGTACAGAAAACAAGGGGGAATCGCTCATTTTTGGTTTATGTTCATGCCGATTGATGTATCCAGGTTTCCCAGTTCCGGGGCTATTTTATCGTTGTGCCTGGTCGGAGGACAGCTTTTTAAGCGGCCTCGTCGCCTCCGTTGCTGCTGGCTCCATCATTCGCAGTACCGTTCGTCACTCCGACCGTCGAAGCCGAGGGGGTTTTGTTGGCCATGGCCAGCTGCCAAGCAGGGATAGTCGGCTTGCCCGCGGAAGCGATTCCGCTGCTGAAAGGCGAAGGCTTGGGGGCAGCAGGTTGAACGATGGGCTGCTCCTGTTGGTATCTGGGTTGCTCATCCTGCACACTCGCGGCTCTGCTGCTGGGGTCCACATTCTCACCGCCGAGGGCTGGTGTAGCAGGGGCTGAAGAAGGGATCACGTTTCCGTTAGCGTTGGGGCGAAGGTAGTTGTTGACGCTAGTCGAGGTGGCGGTTGGGTTCATGCGTTGCGAGATAAGGGTCTTGAGGCTCTTGAGTTCAGTGTTGAGCTCGCGCAGCCTGTTGTCGGTCAAGTCCTTCTGGTTGTTGAGTGCCCTTGGAATCGAGTCCCTGAGATTTTGCACATCGTCCCGTACTCTCTGCGCCTCGTCGTCCCTGCGTCTGTTGGCAGTCTTGAGGTCCCTAACCACAGTCTCCAGCTCCTCGAGGGCATTGTCGAGCCTCTCTGTCCTCTCCTGCTCCGAAGCCTTGAGGACCTCGGTGTCCTTGGCCAGCTGCTCAACCAGCTGAAAGGTCTTGTCGAACTGCTCGTCAACGGACTTCTTGTCCTGCTCGAGACGCTCCGGCGTGGGAGGAGCGATAAGAGGATACACATAGCGCTACCGATCGATTAGTATGTCCGTTCATGCATAATGCAAGCTGTTTTGCTGACCTACCTTGCCAAGATTGTACAGGCCATATGATGCGCCTCCAACTACGGTCGCCAGAATGAACAGGTCCCTCCAATCCCTCCTGGGGCCCTCGGTAGTTGACTGCGGCCATGCGTATGGGGGGTAGCCATAGTACTGAGGAGAACCACCCTGTGCTGCGACGGGACCGGCCGCCTGAGCATAGGCGGGCGACTGGGCGTAAGGCGGCGGTGGGCCTCCTGATTCGGCGCGGGCGAGCGCAGCGCTGACTTCTTCCTGTGAAAGGTTCTTTGCTTGGAGAAAAGCGATCCTCTTCTCGATTGGCGAGGCGGCGACACTGGGGTCTTGAAGAACTGGAGTATTATTGTCGTGTGAGCTTCTGACATCTCAATCTCAATCTCGATGTAGAGGTGGCAGGGGGACAAAGACAGGGGCAGAACACATACACTGCGCCGCCGAAGCGACCAGGTCCTCGCGGATGGCCATTACGGATGTTGTTTAATAGAAATGCGACAGATTGTGTTCCTTCCTTGGGGACTGGCGAGACGAGAGGTAGAAGCAAACAGCCGAAACAGTCGCGACGCGATGGTGGCAGATGGCGGTTGATGGAATAATTACTGACGGAGGCTGAATGCGATGGGATGACAGGAAGTGGAAACAAATGGCAGGTTGGTTGCCGTTCGGTTCGGGGGGAATGGCTGGGGCCGCTGGATGGAGTCCTGAAGCCGAGGTTCACGGGACCAGGGTCTGATTGTGCGCTAGATCAACAGTAGTACCTTAACAGCTGCTCATCACTTTTCACACTCATTCTCGAGAATTCTAGTGCTAATCTGATAGACCACCATCCCTCCCTAATTCTCCTTTTCCTCCGACAGGCCTAGAGCGCAGCTGAACACTGCAGTGACTGGCTCAGCGACTTCAGAGCTGAAAAGCACCTGAAGCGAATCAACACCCCCAAGGTCGCTTTGGATCCACTCTTTTCACCTCCCAATGTTTGGGGAACTGGACCGCACTTGGCATTGTTTGGCACAATGATTTCCCCGGCCCCACGCCTTTCTTTTGTTTACACTTGTGACGGAGCAACCTCCCCCACCATCCGTTCTCTCACAGAACGGTATCCTTATCCGTGCCGGCCTGCATGCTGACCATACTTATCGCTTGGACACGACGAAATCCGCGACTGCAGTCTCGCATTGATGCATTGTCCTTTGGAATAACATTAGCTCAAGGCGCATAGCTATTCGAAATAATCACCATCACGAGAATTAACGCCGACACCTATCTGACAGAATTTCACACAGTCCAGTACTCTTTTTTTTTGTTTATATCATCACGACAATTACGCGACTAGGACGGCAGGAAAAGTAAGGCGCAAATAGACGAGGCCTTCGCCGTCATGTCGCAAGACAGCAACGCAGGCCTATGGAGTGTTCGACGGCCAAGGGAGGTGCGACTTTCCCCCGCGACTTCTTCATAGCGTGTTTCCTCGGTTGAAACCTCTCCCCTTCATACTGACTCTGCTCTCTCTGCAGACCCTCCATGGCGTCAACCTCAACTCGGGCATTCCGGCACCACCCTCCACACTCAAGCGACAAAGCACGATCGGCACGATAGGAACGGGCCATGGCCGCTCTCTGTCGGGGAGGCAATCTCTGGCCCTGCCACGACCGAGCCAACCTCTTTTCCAGCGATCCTCCGACATTGGACTGGGCTCGGTGAAACGCGCGTCGGTTCATAATATGAACACGTCGCAGTTCAAACCCTATGGCACCCCAGGCAGCTCCGGTATCCCCCGATCATCGCAAGAACTCGACCGACGAAGCAGCGTCTACCGCCCGAGTGCGCGACCATCGGCCGTTGGCGGAGGTCCCTTAGCTGGTGGGCATATGAGCTTCTTCCAGCAAGCGCCCCAACCCGCCGGCGTGCCTCGCGATCCACGCCCCCTCAAGGACCGTCAATTCCAGAATCGCATTGGCCAGGAGCTGCTCGAGTACCTAGCCAAGAACAATTTCGAGATGGAGATGAACCACAAGTTGTCCGATAACTTCACAAAGTCGCCAACACAGAAAGACTTCAACTACTTGTTCCAATGGCTTTACCACAGGATAGACCCGAGCTACCGGTTTCAGAAGAATATCGACCAGGAGGTACCGCCATTACTCAAACAATTGCGATATCCATACGAAAAGAGCATCACCAAGAGCCAAATCGCCGCGGTGGGAGGTCAGAACTGGAGCACGTTCTTGGGATTGCTGCACTGGATGATGCAGCTGGCACAAATGCTAGAAGGATTCGCCCGACACCAGTACGACGACGCCTGTATGGAAGCCGGAGTCGACATTGCGGGCGACCAGATTATCTTTGATTTCCTCACCAGCGCATACCAGGACTGGCTCAATATGGATGACGAAGCCGGTGATGAAGACGTGGAGAGGGCACTACAACCGCATGTGCAGGGGATGGCGGAGGCATTTGAACGTTCCAATGCCAAGTATATCCAGGAACTCGAAATTCTTGAAGGGGAAAACGCCCGCCTACTAAAGGAGATTCAGGAGCTCGAAAAGTCGACACCCGACCCGGTCATCTTGGACAACCACTTCAAGATTATGGAGGAGGACAAGATCAAGTTCGAAGAGTACAACACCCTAGCCATGCAACGGACAGACAAGTACGAAAACCGTATCCAGGTCCTCCAGGAGGAGCTGGGCAAGCTCCATGTTGAGCTGAAGGAGGCCGAGGAGGAGCGGCGACAAATGCAGAAGGCGGTAGACGACCAAGGAATCAGCATGCAGGATATTGACCGCATGACCTCGGAGCGGGAACGTCTTCAGAGGAGCATTGAGTCCGCTTCCCAGAGGCTCGAAGACGTCAAGAAGAAGGTGGCCGAGCGCGAGATGGAGGCGAGCCAGCGTCTGGACGAGCTCGAGCGGCTAGTCGAAAAGTACAATACGGTTGCCTACCAGATCGGCCTTATCCCAGCCACGGCAATCAATGCCAAGGGTAAGAATTTCGAGTTGCAAGTAACCGTGAACGAGGGGACGCCCAACTTTGCATCATCGATGCAAGGCGTGTTAGGGCCAAATGGGCAGCCACTGGGCGGCGTGGAGAATGAAAGGTTGCTGGCCGACTCCACAACGGGATACCAGCCAGCCCATATCCTGAATCTGGATCTCCGAGGTCAAGTTAAGAGCAGCTTCCTGGCGCTCAGGAAGGAGGTCTCGGAGAGGAGGAAGGTGGCCATGGATGTCATGATGGAAGACCATGACTTGCTCGATCGCGCTAAGGAGGCGATCGAAGACAAGCGTAATGAGGTCGAAGCTCTTGAACATCGGGTGCGGGCGGCAGAAGAGGAGTATGAGAAGACTAAAGAGGTAATGCATAGTTGTGTGTCCGATGTGCTCCGCATCATCCTTGTTAACGACGAGTTCAGGTCACCAACGCCCAGAAAATGGCTTCAGATGCCCAGATCGAAAAGATGGAGAAAGAGCTCGCCAAGATGCGGGCGCAACTGTCTGAGTCTGTGCAGCTTATGGAGCAGAGGGAGATGAACACCAACATCGAGTGGGTTTGCCATGCCTCTTGTAGTGATAAAACAAGGTATACTGACAAGTTCACATTAGGTATGAGCAACTCACGCTCCGAGCCAACGCACTCCGCGAGGAGCTCCACACGGAGACGATGCGCATGCTCAACGATGTCATCAAGTTCAAGATGCACGTCCAGCGAAGTCTGGAAGAGTACGAGACCTTCGTAGCAGACGAGCTCGAACAGGAGTTGGGGATTGACGACCAAGATATGGAGAATGAAGATACTCTGATGGTCGATGTCTGAGTCGCGGTCACCGAAAAGCAAGCAACACCAAGCTGTTTTCAACTGTTCATATTCAAACTGTTGGGTTGTATGGATTGGATGGGAAAGCATTTATGAATAATATGAATTGTATGGGGCTACTACCACTGTCAGGTTATTATCAGGATGTTTGCTTGATGGACATGAGAGCTGGATTCCGGGTAACTTTTGGGTGAGCCAGGCGTTAGTCGGACTTGAGTTGCTTCTTATGAGTAATGCCACTTTATTGCTATGGATGGACTTGAGGACGATATGCTTGGTTGCCCTTCTAACGTGTACGTGAAATTTTTGGCTAGGGATACATGTGCCTGAGATATGGCCCGTCCTAAAAATGATATCCGAGTCTGAACGACGTCAAAGTCCCACAGACACGGGAACCCCAAAACCGTTCCCGTCATTCAGGGCCAGGGGGCTGATTGAAGACCCCTGATTTAAGCTCACAGCTTGACAGCCCCACTGATGAGGCGGCCCAGAGCTAAAACCTACCCCACTAACCACGAGCTTCAACTTCCCCGGACCGAACGCCGACCCATGCGGCTCTATCCTCAACTACCTCTCACAACTACATCTCACACTCACATTACCAACCTCCATGTCCCATTGTTGAACCTTCATATCATCCGCCATACAACAAATACTACGTCGTCATCAACCAATCCCACCACTCAAAACATCAACCTACACCCGACCAACCTCAAGCTATCAAGCCAGTCCGGGTCCCCCTCGAATATCCCCAGCCAAAATGTCAACAACACCTCCCGCCCCTTCAGACTCCTCCAGCACCCCCAACCCTCCTGCCTCCAAACCATCATCATCATCATCATCATCATCATCCGCTGGAACACTTTTACCAAACGACACGTACCCTTTCCCGCGCGAATTCTTCTTCCCGCCCTTCTTCACCCGCCAAACCAACCTAACGACGCACCACGCCCAGCTAACCAAATGGTCCACCCTCCTGCTGTCCTACTGCCGCCACCACCGGCTTTTCAAGGTGTCTCTTTCCCCCGACACCTTACCCTTCCACAACCCGCGCATTAACCGCCGGCTAGCGGTGGGTGACATCAAATCCGTCGTCGACTTTTTGAAAAAGGACGGGCGGGCGGAGTATGTCCCTCTTACTGGTACTAGTACAAGTAAAAAGGATTCAGAGCAGCAGGGGGGTGGTGGTGGTGGTGGTGGTGGTGGTGGGTGGGACGAAGTCCTTCGTCTACGTGGCGGACACAGAGGAAGTGGGGATCGTTGATTGAAGGGTGGACGAAGCCTTCGTCTACTGGCGGACACCAGAGGAATGGGGATCGTTGATTGAAGGGTGGGTGGAAGAGACTGGACAGAGGGGAAGCGTGTTGACGGTTTACGAGTTGAGGGAGGGAGAGGGGACGAGGGGTACGGAGATTTGGGGGATGGATGGGGATGTGCTTGTCAAGGCGTTGGGCACGGTGGTGAAGAGGGGGAAGGCGCAGATCTTCCAGAGTGGAGAGGATTCGTTGGGTGTCAAGTTCTTTTAAGCCTGCCAGGGCGGAGGGACGGATGGATGGATGGGTGGATGGGAACTTTAGAAGTGAAGGAGACAGATGGGGGAGTTTGCTTGGGTGGGTGGTCGTGGATAACAGACGCATGGTTAAGAGGGCATCAACAAGACAAGGGCTATGGACTATGTGCTGATACGTTGAGAGATGGGTTGATCAACGTGCCCTGTTATTTTGGGTTGAGGTTGGGGATGAGTGAGACAGGTGTATGCCTTATTTATCCATGGAATGTGTTCCAATATTGAAGCAAGTTACGAAAATAGGGACATTACAAGGTTTTGGAAGTTCAGGAATTTTTGAAGACAGAGGTGATATGGCCGTAGGGCAGTACGTGGCAGTCTGCATGATTCCTGGACTCGTCTGTCTGAACTCGTCTCGATCGTGTTATATACAAGAAACAAGTGAGCATCATATAAAGCTCGTCAGTAACTGCCGGGAGATCAACTAATTCTAGATCCTGCTTGTCTGCGTTAATATTCAAGGAATATCAAAACATGGGCGACGAGAAGAAGCATAAGCACTGCACATGTCAAAGGAAGTTGCGTCATTCTCGTCTTCTAACCGGTAAACCGCGTAGGTCAATTCTTATTCCTCATTTGCATCTTAACCTGCGTCAACCACCTCTTTTTTCTGAACCATTTCCCAGAAATTTTAGTGGCCATAAAAAGTCATCCATCCTCCCATGATATAGTAAAAAAAAAAGAAACCAGGATCAGAGGTATATAGCTTGTTGGAGCGCAAAGCCTCCGACCATGTTCGTTTGGTGGGCCTTCCTTCAGATGCCCGTCAACCAACTATCGCCTAACTTCCAGCATTACAACATTTTCGCCAAAACCCAAAGCCTTCACTAACAAGAACTCTACTCTCTAGGCGACCTGCTGGCATTCTGGCCTTCTTTGACGGCAGCCAAGATCAAGTCCTTGGCCTTTTCGACACCCTCCTTGGTACCAACAACCTCAATGGCCTCACCCTTGGCCTGGTCGCGGGGGACAGTGATCTTGCAGCCGCTCTGCTTGCGGATTTGGTTGACCTTGGCGCCACCCTGGCCGATCACGTAGCGATAGGTCCTGGGATCGGGCAAGATGAGGTAGCCAATGGCATCCTCCTTCTTGGCCTGCTCAATCGCATTCTCGATGACCTTCTTGGCCTTCTCGATGTTCTCAGGATTGCCGCGGATAACCCATGGGATGTCACCCTCCTCGGTCGAGGTCTGGTCAACAACAGTCCAGGAGTGGGCGTCGGCAGTCGACTCCTCGTCATCAGTAATCAAAGGAAGAGAACCACCATTGGCACGGAGACTGGCCGAAGCGGCAGGCTTGGCGGGAATGGAGTGGCCCGCATGGTCAATGGTGACGTGGTGGTCGCTCTTCAACCTCCTAAAGATCTGACCGTTGTTGGACACCGAGTGGTGGAGAGCGCGGGGGACCTGAAGAGTCTCGCCGGGTTGATCCTTCGTCAAGGTCTCGATGTGAGCCTTGGCCTTCTCGACATCGGCAGACTGGCCGACAATCTTAACGCCGGTCTGGCCGCTGCCCTGGCGAGGGACGTCAATGGAAACCTTGAACTGAGACTCGAGATCACGCTTGACATCGCCACCACGGCCGATGAGAGATCTGTGCTTCTCGACAGGGACCTCAATAACCTCGGTAATCTGGTTTTGGCGCTCAGCAACAATAGCCTCGATCTGTTGAATGATGTTGTCGACGACCGAGGTGCGACCCTCAATCTTGATGGTGTTATCGGTGTTGTCCTGCTTGGGGAACTGGACAGCACGAGCAATCTCGCGACGATCGTCGGAGCCGCCGGCCTTAACAACAATGTCACGGATGGTAGAGCCTACGAAGGGTTATGTTAGTACATATTTCGCAGCATTGAGCTTGCCGTGTGAGGGCAACTTACCACCTGCACCAATGAGGCTCCTGTGGTACTTCCGATCAACCTCAATAGTCTTGACAACAGTATCCTCAAAGACGGCCTTCTTCGCCTCCAAGGCCTTCTTGGCAGCAGCGACGGCCTCCTTAGTGCCCTTGATCTGAATCTCAACAAGGCCGTCAGCGGTGTCGCGAGCGGCAGGGATGTCAATGACCGCCTTGGTCTCGTTCCGGAGCGCATCGAGAGCAGCGCCACCAGAGCCAATGAGCGAAGGGATCTGCTTCTGCTGGACGGTGACGGTAGCAGTGTAGGAGGTATCCTTCAGGTACTGCAACAACGAGAGCAGTTCGTCACGAGCCTCGTCAGCACCACGCTTAGGTCCGCGCACGATGACTTCGTCAGCAGCCTGTTGGCGGCGCGGCTTGCCGACATCAGAAGCCTCAGCAACAGACTCGTCGTCGTTGGAGACCTTTTGGGTGCGAGGGAAGAAAATCAAGACCTTGTAGCGAGTTTGTAGTCGGTTGATCTGCGCCCCCTGAGCACCGATCAAAGCCCGATGGAACTGCGGGTCGATCTTGAGGATGTGAGTGGCCTCATCCTGGAGTTGACGGCCCAAAGCAAGAATGTGGGTCTTGGCCGCCTCAGCCTTGGCCTTGGGGCCCTTAAGCTCAACCTTGCCGTCTTGAACCTGGATATCAACATCGAACTTCTCACGGAGCTCACGGATGTTGCTACCGCCCTTGCCAATCAGGTGGTTAGCAAACTTTTGCGGGAACTCAAAGTCCAAGGTGAAACCACGCTCCTTCTCGTCAGCCTTCTCTTGCTCAATGAAGGCCTCGCACTTGGAAGCAAGGTTCTCGACAGCGGAACGAGGGCCCTTGATGTTGACCGTGGTGCCGATATTAGAGACACGAGCGGGGATCTTCTCTTGGCTCCTACGCTCGTCCTGCTCCTTGCGAATGAAGTTCCTGAGCTTGGTGTGGTACTTGATGGGAACATCCAAAGATGCCTGAATGATCTCCTCTTGCTGGTTAACAAGGCCGAGGATGTGCTGGCGGGCGTCCTGCAACCACTTCTGCATCTCGCTAACCTCGGACTGGCTAGGCTGACCACGAGGGATCTCGTAGCTAGTGGGGCTAGAAGGTCCCTCATACACCAAGAGAACAGGAGCGTTGGCCTCAGTAGTCTCAGGGACGACCAACTGGACCCTGTAATCCTGTCTAACACGGGGAGTAATATCCTTGCGGATATAAGTGTGGAAGAAAGGATCAACCTGAACAGTCTGGATACGCGCGGGAGGGTGGCTGTCCACGAGACCCTTGATTTCGGACTGGGCCCTAATGGCGTTCTTGCCATCACGAGCATAAAGCTCCCAAGGCAAAGCACCCTCGTCAGAGTAAGGAGTGTTCACCTGGACGTTGTGTAGCCTCTCGAGCTGCTCAATGGCCTTGCGCTGACGAAGATAACGGGTCACGCTGCGGGCATGAGCCGCAGCGCCTCCAGGAGCCTGACGGTGGAATCTGGAGATGTCGATATTGGAGCACTGCATGTTCATAGCGAGGTCCATGGCCTTGTCAAGACCCCGGTTCACGTGGTCTTGAGGTCCAATAATGGTTACCATGTCATCATCCTCATCGCTAGGGAGGATGATGGCGCACCCGGTGTCCTCGAAGAACTGGTCAAGAGGCACACCCCTGTCACCGATGATGAACTGATGACGGCCATGCTGGATCGACAGCTGTTCGAGAGCAAGCTGACGGCGAAGCTCCTCGGCACGTCGCTCAATGGCGGCCCTCGCATTTTGAACTGCGGTACGCTCACCGGCGAGCTGAATGTTGTAGTCCTGAGGAGCAGGCGCAAAGATGGGGCGTTGCCCAGGAGCAGGGACAACGGGGGTTTGCAGGGACCGTCCCTGTAGGGGAGGAACACGAATCTGAACTCCCAAATCTTCTTCGAGCTTATGTACCAAGTCGTTCTTGGGTCCGGCAATGAATGGATAAAACTCGGCAGGGATATTGCGCAGCTTGGTCTGGACGTTGGCGGCGCGCTCACCGGCGATCTTTTCGATCTCCTGCTTGGCGGCCGCAGCAGAAAAGGCGTTACCCTCGACGTGGACATTGATCATGGTATCATCGTCCTCGTCCGCGGGAGGATGGGATTCGTCAGCCTTTGGTAGCTGGATTCTCGCTCCAGTCTTCTCCTGGATAGCCTTGATGGTAGAACCGCCCTTGCCGATAATGTGCGCCCTCGCCGACGAAGGGATCCCAACGGTGATGTTTTGCTAAGAGAAAGTTAGTTAGCTCGATCATCCAACAATTCGATCCATAAAGCGTCCGGGCATAACCAACCTTGGTGCCGATTTGGTTAATCAAGTCCTTGAGTGCCTGGGTGGCATGCTCCTGGGGACCAACAGCGTCGAACCTGAGCTGGCCATTACCCAGAGCGTGCATGGTCACGTTGGCACGCGCCTTGCGGTTCAAATCCTTCAGAATATCGGGAAGAGGGCGCTTGAGCTGCGTCCTGGGAAGGATGTGAGGCGGGTCAAGCAACATGGTCTCGACATTGCGACCCGGAATGCTCAACGGGTGTGGCCCGGGCCCTTGCCGTCCGGAGCCGATCGGGGTGCTAACACCGGAAGGCGGTGCCGAAGTCTGCGGGGTGCCGTTGGCCGGAGCGGCGCCATTTGTGCTTCCATTGGCGTTGTTCTTGGCACCCCAGATGGGGGCAACAACACTCGCTTTGGGCTTGGGCCCGCCCAGCTCGGGGAACAGCTCGCGGGATTGCGTGTCGAGGGTCTTGGGCTTGGGAGCGGGCTTGGGGGCGGCGGGAGTCTCGGAGCTAGAGACGGGCTTGTGAAGGTCCTCGTCCTCAACCTCCTCGACAAGGACGCGGTGGGAGGAGCCGGCGTTGGAAGCTGTCTCCAGATGCTGTTGCAAGAGCTGCGCGGCAGCTGACTGCTCGGTCGAGTCGGCCATTATGATGGTGGTGATGATAAAAGGCGATAAAGTACCAAAGAACCGGGGGTACGGAACAGGCGCTTCTCGTTATCTGATGAGGAGATGGCAGTTAGATGGCTTGTTAGAGTAGAGGTAGGGGTAGCTTGGGAG